AGTTGCAGTGGTGATGTGTGTGATTGTAAGGGTTGGTTTGGATGTTGCTGCCATGGCTGCGGTAAGAGCGAAAGTCGGGGATGTAAACTTTTGATACTGTGAATGTGATTCAGTGACATGGAATATGAAGACCCTCTGTTCAAGGGAAACCGAGGTTTAAATACTTTGCTTTTCTGAAAATATTAGAAATTCTGTTTCGTCCTCCTGATGATGTAAGTTCGGCTCATCCCACCCGTGGAAATAAAGTTTCATTTTGCCACGAAAATGGAGAGAAATTTGTAATATCTCTGCGGGATGTCCACGGGTTTATTCAGCAATTCAGCCCAGTGGTTGTGAATCATGTTGAGTGATTTTTCGCTACTCTTTACGGAGTAAGCAAATGCCACTTCACGAAGGAGCATGGCGCGCAGGGTCGCTTTCACCATATTGGGGCCTTAATGTCTGAATTTAAGCCTGAATTTAGACCGCTTCCGGGCATCTATTTACAGTCTACCCACGGAATGACCATGCCCGATGACCTCGATCAAAATGAAGCTTTTGGTTTATTATAATGAGTGTAGTATACCACCTGGAAAAAATTGAGATGCACGAATTTGTATGGGATCAAAAGCTTCATTGAATATATGGCGAGAGATATCTAACTAATAAGTTACCCCAAAACGTGGTGATATATGAATTTAGAATTCAAAGCTTCATTTTACCTGTTCAAAAACCAAGGCACTTTGCTTGGTAGTCTACTTTAAGGTCTCTGTAATGTTAATTCAAGTATTCTTATTTTTACCAGGCAAATTCAGGAATAATAGGCCTCAATATTGTGAAAAACGACCCTGCGCGCTATCCCCCTTCGTAGCCACTTCCAAGGTTGCACATAAAAGGCTTGGCGGAGAATCTGGCCGTTTACGAATTAATATGGTGGGATGATTCAAGATCACTAGATGGAGTGAAGATAAATATCCCGTAAAGTGTGTAATTTACGCATGGAGTTAGAATATTTGCTGAGTGATGAAATTTGGAACGTTGCTATAGATTAACTTATGGTAGACATTAATTTGCACTTTGAACGAATATAAATCACATATAACTGTTTGCTAATAAGTTTTGTCAAGCTGCCTGCAGCTTTTCTACCTCTTTGATAAAGCGACTCGCCTTTCGAATTCTGTGTCCGTAAAAGTAGAAGACAACAGGTATCAAGATGCATACTGCCTCAACAATTCCCAAGATTGTGCTTGCCCAATTTAAGCCCAGAGTCTTATACATTGATGGTCCCGCAAGCGGTAGGAATGCTCCCATGACACTGCGAGTGAGCATATTTCCTGCAAGCGCAGATGCGGCGTAAATGCCATAAGACCGGGCAATGTAGTTTGAGGCGTAAATAAAGACGCATGCATTACCAATTCCAAAGGGAACACCAGCTAGGATGGGGATAATCCAGTGAACATTTGGAGTACAAGTCCAGGAAAACCACAATTGGCCAATGGCTAAAAGAGTAGCACCAAAAAAGACGACGCTGACCATAGCCTCTGGTTGTACCATGCCGGTTGCTGGATCCTTGAGATGAATATTGATGACTTTACGAAACAAAGGTTCGCATGCAATCGCGATCAAGACACCGACGCCTATACCGACGAACGAAAGACCACCGATGCCTGGCGACCACCCACGTTCTTGTTGGAAAGCGATTGGATACGCGACGAAACATAGGTAAAGGATGCCATAAACAATTGCAACGTAGCCATCCCAAAATATACTAGGAGAATGTTAACCTTGGCTTTGTAGCATGGGAGGGAGATAGTTTACCATATCGGCTCTGTTAGGAGCATCACGAAAGGTCTCTTGAGGTTGATTCTCAGTGAAGATGTAAAGCCGACACCATCGTCGTAGCGTGTCCACCATTTTAGGTTCTGTGTCTCCTTTCTTTTGATCGCGGCGCGCTTTTTCAAGATCACGGGGGCGTATGTTTCTTTGACAGAGGCTATCAGGACCAGGACCACAAGTCCAATGATGAGGACAATCCAATTTGTCCACCTCCAGCCAAGATATTGGAACACAAACCCTCCTATGATTGGGCCATATACAGGGCCGTTGGTGGGGCCAATAGACCAGAAGCCGAACGCTAAAGCACGGTGCTTATCGGAAACGATATCATTCACAGATGCGGGCGAGTTCGACATCAATGCACTTCCAAAGAACCCTCCAAAGAATCTGCTCACGAGGATTGAAGTGATGTTTTGAGCCAATGCACTCGGCAACAACAAAAGCAAAAATATTATCATGGAGACAATATAGACTGGCCGCCGTCCCACAAGCTCGCTAAGTGGAGCAAAAATGATGCTGCCTATCCCCATTCCAAGAAGATAAGTGGTGACACCAAGGAGAGCCACGATCTTCGAAACGCGAAAATCTTCTTGTAGTCCTGGAATCCCAGATGTGTACAGTGTGCTGGAGAGGCTGACAACTGTGGCACCAAGACTCATAGCAGCGACAGTGAGGCCTTTGTACCAAAGCGGCCACAGGCGGGGATTTTCGGGATCGTCAGAGTCCCAGTAAACTTCGAATTCCGGAGGTGCATGTATGCTGGCCAATTTGGAAATTGCTGGCTCGAGATGTGAGCTGAAGTAGGTTTCGGTGCCGACATTGAGGCTGTCGGTTTGTTCAGAGTCGTTGCGCAATGTTCCAGGATGATAGAGGTTGGGCATTGTGGTGCACTCCAATTGAGATTCACTGAACTGCCAAGAGATATTTCGGAGGTAGTGAAGGTAGTAAAAAGAGTACCTCCATTTTGAAGGTTTGCCCTTTATAGATATACACTTGGATAGTCGGCCTATCCCACTTGCCGGTTTATCCACAGATATTGATTTAGTTAGCGCCACTTGGGGAGTTATTCATCAAGTGGGATGACCCGTGGATCTTCATTGGTGAATTTCGTCGGGGCCCCACCGGAGCTCCCAGTCATTACCTTCTCTTCTCCCTTTCTGCCTCCTTCACTTTCGCCATTTCACAAAGTTGTGCAATTCCAAAGGTTTGCAATAATTCTGGACAATGCCGCCTCCTGCCGATATTCTCCCCTCGTGGTTCCAATGTGACTATCCAGATTGCAACGCCAAATATCGGCGTAAAGAGCACCTGAATCGACATCGTAATCATCATGATAAGGAAATCCATCTCGCCTGTCCTTATTGTGAGAGCGTCCTGACAAGGAAGTGAGTAGTTCTTCGATCCCCTGGGAAGCCTTTCAACTCAGGAGTTAATCAGTGACCTGTTGCGACGCCATATCCGGACTTACCATCCGCAGAGAGAACCGCCGCCGTCTCGAAAATTTAGGGCATGCAGTGCATGTCATACACGGAAAGTCCGTTGTGAAGGTGTATTACCATGCAATGCCTGTCAACATCGCGGCGTCTTCTGTGTGCCTAGTGGGGGTGAAACCGTAAGCGAACAACAATTTTTGATCGATGATCTCTGCCCTTTGCCGCCTATTTCCACGACTAATGATTCCGTTTCTGACGCTCCCCGGTGGATTGCTCATGACTATATTGATATTTACTTTAACAATTTCCATCCAAGATGGCCGTTTCTCCATCGAAGTACATTTGACTTCGCCAAGGAACCTTGTGTACTTGTTCAATCCGTTATCGCAATCGGACTTTGGGTGAAAGGGACTCAGGAGGCACGAGACGCATCAATACGTCTACATAACAGACTATGTTCTGCCTTTTATGCTCAAATGGTGAGAAGAAAAAGCATCATAACATTGACTGCATATAGAATTGTGTGCTGATATCATCCTTTTGCTCTAGGACCAATGGTGCATCTCCAAATCGAGTCCACGCCAACACACAAATACCTCATGGCCTTTAACATCATTTCAAAGTTTACTCTTAAATATCATCCTTTGTCTGTTCATTGCAAGAGAGAATGGTAGTACAGATTTGAGCATGCGGTGCCGATTACCGGACGACAAATACGACCTCTTGGCTGCGCTTGTTCAAAGCTGTCGACGGTGGGGTATTTTCTATTACCCTAACATGCTTCTGCAACATGATGCCGATGCACCACTCGCGCTTGTGTATGTGAGCGTTGAAGAGATCAAGAGATTTGGACTAGCCCTCTATAAGGTGTGCCGGTTGTGCACTCCCACTTCCTTTGACTTGAGCGGAGAATGTTCCAATGGTGGCAGAACCGATCTATTGACCCTGGCCGACTTGTCCTTTTGCATGCCAGACAGTGATGAGCTGTGGAATGCTCCATTGGGCGGTGAGTCCGAGATTTTAAACAAGTCTGATTCCTCCGCAGTCAGACGGGATAATGGAGATGCGAAAAACTGGATATCTCAAGCATCTGCTCTTCTACATGACGCACGTGTTGGCTTTGATTGGATATAGCAGAAACTATCATAGAAGATGCAGCTTGTTAGCCACAGATCAAAATGCAGGCAACAATCGAACATAATTCCTTACTATTTTCTTTCATGCTAAAGTGGCAAGGTCTTGATAAATGTGAAGTGACAGGAGTGTTATATTGCTTACCTGGTCTTTTACTGAAAACGCTTGTTTCTATAGTACTACAAATAAATTTGCTCTCTAACCGGCCGTACAAACTTTCAGTTCAGAATCATTTAGAGACTTTTATGCCATTGAGTTTGACAATTACCTTCGTAATATTTTTCTGTCAATAAACGTAGCCACATTTAACCCGCACCTTCGCCACACCCCGAGGTCCACAGCCACCGGTTAGGAAGTCATGTATTATGTCATTCAACCTTAGATCCATACCCAGGTGGGATGGCCGTGAAGTTATCACCCAGCCTGTCGAGGTGGGATGGCCGACCTGTCCATGATTATTTGTCCTTCGCAAAACCTACGAGGTTCCTAAGCAAAGCGTACCTAAGTACAACGTATCTCCATATAAACACATATAAACCCACATTTCTTTTCAATATCGAGAGTTCCCACTGCAACGCAATCCAATCTTCCATTTTCCAAAAACCACTTTACTCTACAATGTCTTGTATCTCTCAATCCTTCCGTGAGATCGTCGGGATTCCCCGCTCCTCGGCTTCCCCGCAGGACTCAACCCTCATCATTATCGACGCCCAGAACGAATACGCCACAGGCGCTCTCAAGACCGAGAACGTTACAGAAACCCGCAAATCCATTGCCACACTACTGGAACGTTACCGTCAAGCCGGTAACGGCAAAAACATCGTGCACGTCGTCCATGAGGTGCCCGAAGGCGCACCCGTCTTCACGCCAAACACCCCCTTGGCGCAAGAGTTTGAGGAACTCACCCCTAAAGCGGGCGAGAAAGTGGTCACCAAGAGCTTTCCTAGCTCGTTCGCAAAGACTGATCTGCATGCCTATCTGCAAGGTCTAGGCGATGTAGGAAAGAAAGTCGTGTTGGTTGGCTATATGGCGCATGTCTGTGTCTCCACCACTACCCGAGCGGCTGCTGAGCTTGGATATGATGTGCTGGTCGTGAGGAATGCAGTTGGTGACAGGGATATACCTGGTGTCAAGGCCGAGAATCTGGTGTCTGTTGTGTTGAGTGAGCTGGCGGATGGTTTCGGGACTGTGGTTTCCGAGGAAGATATTCGTGCATAGGCAACTTATGCAATCTGAAACCGCAAGGACTGTTGGATCATATTTACCTCGAAGACTTGCTGTTTGAAAGACCATCCAGCAAGTACACAGCATTGCTCTTATTCGCGCCACTTAGACGCCAAACGATGCGGTTAGGCATGGCTTTGAAATACACGAACGCTGTTCAACGGTGTCTTTATCTACATGTTAGTAAATGAGATCATACAGTGTAACGCATGAAAATTACGAAATGACAATCTTGTAGAACTGCGTAACTATGAAGGAGACAAAAGGTAAGCTGTAAGAGTCTGATACTATGGGTGCAATTATGTGGCCACAGAAATACTCGCACCCGAGCTCGATGCACTCACGACATTCGACGACCATCTGATTCTCTTGTGACCTCTTTTAGAAGGCCTAGATCAACCTGGTTTTGATCCCCTCGCTACCGGGCTGATTTAAACCGAGTCCACAGTTATCAGCCCGGTTAGCCCGAACGAGTGACATTTTCCGCAACAAGAGCAGTGTCACCATCCCTGAAGCTATTCAGAACCCCTGAGAGTCTGCAACAACACGATCCGACCCAGTCCGCATAGCCACCGACCGCTATAACACCTGCCATCCATCGTCAAAAGCAGCATCAGATCATCAAAAGATCAAGGATTCACAGCGAAGCCGAGATGTCGCTCCAGTACGATGAGTTCTTCCGTGAAGGACTCGACAACAACAATGCCGCCCCACGGGCAGGCATAGTACTGCGCTCTTCCGCCCAATGGAGGACGTGGTTCAGCCAGATCAAGGCTTCCGCACAGAGCAATGACATCTGGGAGTATATCAACCCTGACGATACCATTCCAACGCCGATGCCAAAGAAGCCACGAAAACCGGTCCCTAGTGACGCCCAGGACGGTGCTATCACCGTCAGAGAGCTCACCGAAGAGGCTGACAACTGGCTTCAGCGCCAGTTAAAACACCACGACCGTGATATGCTAGAGTATAGCGTCGTAAAGCGAAGTCTCGACTGAATCACCGACCATATCCGAAACACCCTCGCTCCTGAACACCAGCACTTCACTGCCGATATCATCGACACGAGAAGCCTATTGATCGCTCTCCGTGACCGTTTCTCGCCCGCTGAGAAGGAGAGGATGATTGAGGTTCGAATCCAGTGGGATACACATGCGAAGTTGTCAGCGAAGGACTCAGAAATCGACTCATGGCTCACGACGTGGGATAATCTATACACAGAAGCATTTAGCGCAGGAGTTCCAGACGTTAAAGATGCATACTGTGCCGCGTACTATTACACGGAGAGGAACTCGGCCCAACGGGCCTGGCGGCGGTTCAACTGCTTGGTAGTCATGAAGTGCTGTAGGTTCCGGTGATCGGTATAAACCTTCACAGGGTTATCAGGGGCGTAGCGATCAACAGGGGTGCAGCAGTTTGTGAGGAGCTCGGGCGAATGAAGCCTTTGCCGAGCAACTCCTGGATATATTTCCAAATAACCTCAAGTTCCTGTTCGGTCATCGGACGGTAGTTCTTTCCAAACGAAGGGGTGGCGACCTCTACCAACTGGATATCATGATCCTCAGGGCGGTGCGGTAGCAGGGTATCGGCCTCGTGCTTCATAAAGACATCGAGCACAGAGTGATACTTTTCAGGGACTCGTTTCTTCAGCTGGTCAACCGTATAGGCCTCTTTGTTGGCCAAGAACTTGTCGAAATCTTCAGGGCGCACCGCATTGGTAGTAGAGGCGCAGAGATGCTTGCGGCCATCTCTAGGCATAACGAGATAGCCGTGATGATCCCGGTAACTCACTAGGGAGATAAAACGTCGGGCAGAAACGATCGAAATACTATTATCAGCAGTAATCTGGGCCGTAGTCTTGCTCACTAAGGCTTTGGAGCCGCGGGAATGCGCAGTGCAGGGGGCACCTCGAGGTAGGCAACCCTCTGCGAAGCAGTGAGGTGAGTTGAACGTAAGGATGCAGTTCGTGAAATCAATATGGGAATTGTATGTGGTCAACCAACGGCTACCTAGCACTAACTTGTGGCGTGCCAAGGGGGCGATATAGGCTGCCAGTTGCTCGGTATAGCCGTCTTATGCAGTCGAATAGGGCCATCTGGGTGACAGTGAGATAAAGGGTGCCGCCCGCGAGATGGAGCAGGATCGGCGTAACAAGGTCTAGAATAGGCAAATTGATGGTGCGTACGAGAGAGGGATCAATAGCTTTAATTTCACTTCCATTATCTATCAGAACTGGTATTGTTCCGGGCTGCCTATAGAGCTGAGCAGACACAACCAGGTGCCGCCCTGCCTAAGCTGATCCTCCAAACCTAATGCTAACGACGATAAGAAGCGATGATCATTCTGAACCTCTCTTGAATCAGGTCCCTGGTCACGACTTTGATCAGGGACTACTCGTTTTTCGAATCGGAGACTTGCTCGAGGCCTGCTGCAGCAGTAACCTCATTTACAGAACGATAAGAACTGAAATAAGGGCAGCAAGCATCACTAGCACGGTAATTCGAGCCACGGCAGCTGCAACAGCGGCCAGCACGGGTCAGAGCAGTCTTGTTTTCGGCAGTGAACTTCGGGGGATTGCGCTGCGGTTCAAATCACTCACCAGTCCAACCCTCAGGCTTAGCACTGGAGGGAGGGAAGCGAGGACGGCAGCCACCACTAGCGAAGGGTGCAACAGCGGGACCAGCGGAGGCAGAGCCACGGGTATTCGAGAGCGCAGCAGTGCCAGAGCGGCCCTTAGGGGCGGACAATGAAGTGTCAGAGGCAGGGGTAGACGAGGTATTAGGTGGCTGTTCTTGCCAAAGGGAAAATTAACTTCCTTGCTGCCGCGCTCCTTGCGCCGGGCCATGTCCAGCACGGCAGCCACGGTATCAAAGGTCTCATGACTAAAGGATTTGCTGATTTAGGGAACTAAGGTGTATTGGAACTTGGTCACACGCTCCTCTTCGGGGGTCTCGGCGCAGATCCACAAGGGGAGAAGGCGCTAATAGTAAGACGATACAGACTCATTTCTGTCTTGTTTTACAGTGATTAACTGTCTTTTCGCGTCTCCCTTGAGGAAGTAAATACCTAGATACATTTCGAGCTCCTTAACTGGTAGGTCACGTTCGACCTGTAGGTGGCAAACTGGCTCATGACCTTGCAGACATCCTTTGAGAGGTATTCCAAGGCATACAAGACCTTGGACCTATCATCGGGATAGAAGGTACTATCGATGCGGAGCTTCTCGTCAACCGTAAAGCGCCATACAGGGTAAAGGTCGACATCATTATCACCGGTGCCCAGAGAGAAGGTCGGCTTCTCTCCGCGAAGACGACTAAAAGCTTCAGTTGCAGTAGTCTTAGTAGTGTGTTGACGCTCCGAGCGCTGGGTCTGGCTGCGGGGACGCAGGTTCTCGTGCAGATTATGAAAGGGGTTGTCTTCTACGCTCTTAACCGGCTCATCGACTCCATAGAGATCTTCATCTAGGAGGGAGACTCGAGGGCCCTGAGGCTGAGGGACCTCGGGTTGCTCGGGGCCCTTAGGATGCTGAGAAAGTTCAAAACGCTCAGCAGAGGCCTGTTCTGCGGCAGCTTTCAGCTGGGCAACCTCCTCTTGGAGGTGGAGGATAGTCTGGGCAGCCTCGGAGTAGGTCTTCTTGTAACGCTCAACGCGCGAGCCCTGGTGAGTTGCCAGGACCTCACGGGCCTTCGCCTGCTCCTCCAAAACCTGAATTTTCAACTTCATTATCTCGAGCTTGTGAGCAGTTTAAAAAGAAAGATTGAAGATTGCAAAAGGTTTTGAGTTATATTTATACCCTCGCAAATGGCTCGGAAGACAATGGCTATACTCGTGGCAAGAAGCGTCACATGCCGAAGCCGGTGGAGTCTGGCCGACGGTCAGCCAAAATCAATCATAGACAATCGCCCGAAGAATTAGGGAACTTTTCATGATTGCTATCTGCTTGCTTGCCTCACTTCAATATCTACTATTATTCGACTCAGTGTGAAGAGAAAGATTGTTTGTTTAAGATAATTTCCACCAGAAATGAACGTTGGCACTGATGGAGCACCCGCGGAAAGAATCAAAATAAGCTCAAAACGCAGAGGATAGGCGTAGGACATCTTTAGGTTCGATTCGAGCACGATTAAGAGCTTGGTCAGCTCACAGGACAGGCTAACTACACGAAGCAGGTTTGGTTACTTAGACCGCTGACAGAAGATTGTTGAGAGCTAGACCACATATTCATGTGAGGGAACTCTGATATTCAAAAAGGAATTGTGACTCACGACATCTTCGGAGGAAACCTATAGTCCTGAGAGTCAGGCTCTGCGGCTCGTATGTGGAGGCCACAATTGAATCTTGGAAACAACTCACCTTTGCCTCTAGGACTCTGAGGCTCTGAGGCAGCGCAAAATTAAGATAAGTCCTATGACAAGCTCTGGCCCCAAGGCCCAATGCATTGTTCCTGGGGGCTATTACCAATGAATACATGTGGTTTAACTTAATACCCAGCCTTATATTTCCCTTCCCTCTCGGAGACATTATTAATTTACACCATTTCTCGGGGCATGCTTGAGCCGATCTCAGATACATAGATCTCTCTAGCCATCCAGTCCTAGAATTAGTTACATTTGAACCACTTGACGATATATTGATCATCCATCTTGCGGCGACATAGTCAATTTTCACTTTACCAAAGATGGTTCATCACGCTGCGACTTTATAACCCAATGATGAGGGCATCAAGTTCGACGAGACCTATTATTTGAAAACCCACATGCCGTTCGTTGAAAGCATTTGGAACAAGCATGGCTTGCTCGGCTGGAAGGCCATCAAGTACCCTACCGCACTAGACGGGTCGCGTTCGGCATACCTCATTTCTACCCAGCTGGAATTTGAAAGCAGCGAAGGCTTGAGAGAGGCTTTGCAGGATCCAGAGACCTCCAAAGTCTTTGCAGACCTCCCGAACTTCACGAACGTAAAGCCTATAACTCTAGGCGGTACTCAAATCTAAGGCGAGAGTCTTCTTGGTAACGAGTGAGTTTGACCTTGATATTTTCTGCTCATAAGACTGGGATAATCTGACAGAATAGGGGTTTACACCGCTGGGAGGAAAGCATAGCTGCCTAGTCAGGGTTGAAGTTCAAAGATGGTTTTGAGCTTGTTATGTGTACATATCAAACAAAACTTGATCCTAAACCTTACCCAATAGTTTGAGTATATATTTTATTTTGGTTCAAGAAGAGAGTCCCAAGACGGAACAGAGCCACGTGATTTAGGCGACCGTCAGGCTAAGTCGTTAAGCAGGCGAAGGATTCGATGAGATATCTGGTGGCAAATTAACTCTTCGTCTAAGTCCTGCAACCAAGAGGTAATGGCACTCATTGCTCGCAGCCAGATGAGAGACATCGTCCCCAATGTATCAAGAATCCCCCGTCCAGTTTGGGCTGCCGGACTCGGAACGATTGGCGGGTTCATGTTTCTTCGATGGGCGAACTCTTACCTGTCCAAGTGGGGGCTAAATAACAACGTCAAGGACAACACATGGGACTGGAGCCGGGAGATTGTCGTTGTAACCGGGGGAAGCGGTGGCATCGGGGCGAAAATCGTCTCGTCTTTGGCCAACCGTAACATCACGGTTATCATTTTGGATGTGGTAGAACCTCACGAAAGTCAGGGTAAGTGAAATGATGTCATTCAGAGCTGCCGTTCTACATCTCCTTTGCCAGTTGCCTAACGGATAAACTCGAAAAGCCCGCAACGTTTTCTTCTATAACGTTGATATTACCAATGTCGAAGACCTACAAGCCACCGCGAAACGCATCCGATCGGAACACGGCGATCCCACCGTTCTCATCAACAATGCAGGAACAGGGTCCGGCAGGCCGATCCTTGAAATTCCCACGGCGCAAGCTCAGAAGGTCTTCAACGTCAACATTGTATCGCATTTCTTGTTGATCCAAGAGTTCCTGCCATCAATGGTGTCCCGGAACCACGGGCATGTAGTCACCATGGCAAGTACGGCCTCATTTCTCACGCAGGGCGCCAACGTGGACTATTCGTGCACCAAAGCCGCGGCTCTATCGTTCCATGAGGGACTCGGTCAGGAATTGCGATTCGTCTACAAGGCACCTTCTGTTCGAACGACGTAAGTTCTTTCCCATTGCGAGTGTCGGTTATGTTGGCTTGGCAGGTTGACTAAACCATTGCTTCACTCAAGTATCGTACACCCCAGCTGGGTTCGTACCGCTATGATTCAGCGGTTTCTTGACAAAGGCCTCGTGAATAATGCTGCAATTGACCCAGAAGACGTGGCGGGAGCAGTGGTTAATCAGATACTGTCTGGCTATGGAGCCCAGATCGTGCTTCCGCCTAGTTTGGGGTGGCTTTCGCTGTTTCGGGGTCTCCCATCGTGGTGGCAGGAGAAGATGCGTGGCTGGCTGACGGAATCCTATTTGCAAGGAATTAATTGACGAGAGGGCGTGTAGGTATTATTATTTTGTAAAGAAGAAATGTTTGTTTGTACTCCAAATCCGGGGAGGAAAGCGGTCTAGACGGACCCAATCGGTTGACAGGCGGAGTCCCCTCATTTCTTGTCCGACAACCCATCTCTCTCTCTCTTTCTCTCTCCTTCTGCACTCGTTCCTTTAGCTAGCCGTTGACTGCTTCCTTCGTAACCTTCTATCGTCACCGTCATCATTAACCATTCCAGAACCCCTTTCTTACTGAAACATTCCGCCATCATTCAAATACCCCTAACCATCTCGTCAGAGAAGAACCTACCTCCGTCTTAAACCCTCCCATCCTACACCAGAGGAGATCCCTTTCACGCTGGTGCTATCTTGTTGAACCTGGCCTTTGTTAAGCCGTTCTCGCTTCCTCACTCTTCTTTGGTATTCTATTCGCTCAATTTCAGGTGTCACCAGGTAGTCGCTCGGAATTCGCTCTTACAACCGACCCTCGTTCCGTATCACCGTTTATCCCTTCTGCCGCTTCCCTCCGATCCATTTGCTCCCATCGCCTAAATCTTTAATTCCATCATCCACTTCAATACTTTTCTTGGGCCCATCTCGTATGTTTTTGGAAAAGGCGCCGGATCTTCATATTTAGTCACTTGGGTGGACGGCCGTACGGCCGTCTGTCAGAGCAGTCGGGTGGAGGAGTTTCGAGGAATCAAAGAGGGCTACGACAGTACTGGACCACGACGGATTACCTTTCAGCAGAAAGAAATATTTGCCCAGTGATAGGAGGCTTCACGGTGTACTCCGTATAATATTTCGAAAAGAAGGTCGAACAGGGAGACTGGTCTCGCTTTTTCTTTGACTTTGCCGCGTTTGCCACTTTGGCCGGCTCCTGTCAGTGCTGTTGTTCCACGTGTTCGGATATGGATGCCCAGTATCCCTTTGCCTCCCGCGACGATATTTGGCGCGTTTTTGAAGAACTGAAGGAGCTTCATGCTACCCAGTTCGAGCAGGCGGAGCGGATTGCCAGGCTGGAACGACGAAAAGACGAGGATGCGAGATTGAGAAGTGTCTGGGGTCCTTTGTCGCCATTTCCCAGTTCCGTTGGAGGTACAGCACCCACAGGTATGCAGACGTTTTCATTTCGAGGTCGCTTTTTGTTTGAATCTGATTGGGCTGACCTTGTTTTCTCTTCTTGCCGCAGAACCTATCTTTCATTCGCCGGCCGACGCTTTCAAGGGGTTTGACCAGGGACACCATCCCGGCGTGGCGAGCACGATGGGTCTTGATAATGAAGATGAGCCACGGCGTGGGACATCTAGAGCAAATAGTGTTCGGTTTGATGAAAGCGCCATCCACGGATATTACGGACAAACTAGTCGTTCCAGCAGCGAGTTTCCGCTGAGGACTGGGAGCGGCATGGGGGCCCATCCGCTGACCGAACGCTCCTTGTCACACCGGTCAGATGGGAGACAGAGTTCATCCGGCCATTCTCACCATTCCGCTAGGGCCAACAGTCTGGGCTTGGACACAACTAGCAAAATGATGAGCTCCTCTGTCAGTGGATCCCCTCTCATCCCTCCCCCTGGGCTTTTCCTGCTTGGGCCTGTTCCGTGCATTATCCGGTGCTGGTTGACAACCAATTTCTCCAACGATTCGCTCCTGTACGCGGCTGTTTGTTCGGGGTCGTATGTTTCGTCGCTGGGGACCGCGATGATTCGGAAGCTTGGTCTGGAAGATTTAGTGATCCAAGAAGACGGCCTGCAATTTATCAAGCTTCCGATGTATCTGCCTGAAGCTAGTGTACATCAGGCATCGTCACGGTCCAGCAGCCCAGAACCCCAGGTTCCCTCACTGACCGTCCGGTTTCTCGTTCGTGAAGTCGATCCAAGTGATCTCTCCATCCAAATCGCCATCGGAAGCGACGTCCTGCGCTCTCACAATGCTGACGTGCTCTTTTCTCAAGACAAAATTATTATGGTGGACGACGAGAGAAACAGGATATCCATTCCTCTAGTTCGGCCGGAGGATGACTCGGCCTTCAAATCTCTTCGCACGGTGTCAGATCCGTCGCTTTTTCCGCGTATCGAATCACGCCACCAGGGCAATGAGATCAACGGACACTCGAACGTTGGTCTCATAGGACAACCGATCGGTTCTCCGCCCCAGGGCAGATCCGCCAGTGGCTCCATCGAGGAATCTCAAGAGAGCCGAAAGGCCCAATCTTGGGAAACCCATGAGCCTCCTAGCGCCGATAACCTTCAAGCTTCGAACAAGCCCGCCGTAGCATCGGAATCTCAGGCCGCAGGGTCGACCAAGGTGAAGCCTACCGGAGTTTGGGTCTCGTGGAAACGCGACTCCAAACTGGATGCGAGCGCATCTGCGGCTGGTAGAGCATCTCGAGGTCGTCCCATGAAGGTGCTTCGACCCACCAAGGCGTCCTCGCGCACTCCGCCAGTCGGCAGTGTCCCACGGAGCTCTAGTGCCGATCTTGGAGAGGCACCGGTCTCCTCTCAACCGGCTTCGTCTCGCGCCTCGCCTGACGAACCACGAACCGGAAAGCCTTGGGGATCTAATCCGATCGGGGGAGCCTCTGCCTTTGGGTGGCTTAACTCCACCCAGCCCCCCAGCCGGGCCGTGACGAATCCTAAATGAAACAGATTAGGTTTGTGTCGGCGGAGGTGGACTCTTAAGATCGGTTTGGTTTCAATGCGTGAGGCACGGGGAAGGTCTGGTCTTATTCTGTCAATAGGCACATCAGACTTGGGCATGTACTATGCAGTAGCTGTTTTAATTCGCGTAGTAGCAAAACATTCCCATACTGGTGATCATTAGCCGTTGGATTAAATTGAAAATATATGTTTATCATGTGGCAGCTCTTGGTACCCCGTAATCCTCGTCAATCATAGCATTGCTGACCCGAGCATTGTTGACCCGAACTAGATCCGGCATGCACAGGAGGCGAGAAAAGCGACAGAACGAATCAAATCCTCGAAAACACCTCCAACGACCCCTTCGTCTCCTCCTTCATCTCCTTCACCAACCCACTCACCCCTCGAAACTGCTCATGCTTCGCATCCCCCAACATCTCAAACAAGATACTCTCACTACTCGTCACGATCGCCCCCGCATCACGCAGTCTCGCCAACGCAATCCCCCTCTCCTCCGCATTCACACTACTCACCCCATCCACAAGCACGTACACCCTGTGTCCCCGCTCCAGCAAGTCCAGCGTCGTCTGCGTCACGCAGATATGCGTCTCGATGCCGACGATGATCGCGTCCAGCGGTTTCCCGGCGTCGCCGGTAAAGGGGCCCTTAGGTAGGAGGGCGTCTATTTCGGGCGTGATCATCGAGAATAGAGTCTTGTCGATGTTGGCGCGGATGTGTGGGCCCTCGAGGTGTGGTTGGAGCTCGGAAATCGTGTCGCCGAGTTTCGAGCGGCTTTGCGTGGTGATGAAGGTTGGGATCGAGAGGGCTTTGCTGGCTTTGAGCATTTTGGTGGTGGTGGGGATTCTAGGATGGGTAGGTGTGAGTATGTAGGTTTAAATCTTGGGGTTTAGGCATTGAAGAGAGGAGGGGGTTAAATACAGTTTGGAGAATTCGTAGATCGGGGTGCGGAATTTCTCTTGGAGATCGCAGATGCTAGGGAGAGAGAAAGAACAGGGTTAGTCTGGCGAAGCTAACAGAATAGACTGGGAGTTGAGATCGAAGTACAATAGTGCTGGGTTGCCTGGATTGCATCGCATCTGGTTAATTCTATGACGGACGTGAGGGGAGGGGCATCGAACTCACGGATACGAGCTGCTCGTGAAATAGACGCCATTGTGAATAGATTGATATGCGCGATGTATATCGAGGTTCAATGCTAGACCGAGATTCGTGGTTTCGGGCGTATAAGCCTTGTGGCGGACGAAAGGAGGGAAATGACTGACTTGAAATAGAGAGTTGCAACGGAGGAAGTCGGGCGGGGAAGTCCGCGAGGAGAAGATGCGCCGTGCGGGGAACGTTTGACATTCAGATGCCTGAGGCATAAATCTCATTGATGGGTTCTACTTTTGGTATCTATATCCATATAGTCCAGGTGTGGACTTTTTTCCTTTTTATATCTTTTTATACTAAACTTCACCTCACCGACTACAATACGATTTCTCGCACCTTAGTCCGTCCTGCAATCCAGCTATGGTCGCCCTTCAGAGCGGCCTGGCGGATGGCATACAGCTCGTCGAGGAATGCAGGCACGAAGCTTCCAGGTCCGCGAACATGATCTTTGGAGCCCGCATTCTCGGCTGCAATTTCGTACATCAGAATACCGGAGAGAACAGCGAGGAGTTTGTCGGTCGGGTGGGTGGTTAGGAAGCAGCCAGAGACGGTGCCAACGGCGCAACCAGTCTGCGATTTGTTAGCATGATTTCTCATTTTCAGAGCGAAGTGTGTTTGTTAGGCTTCTAGTAGTGGATCATAGGTTAACATACTCCCGTAACCTGTCCAAGCAGCTTGTGTCCGTTCTCAACGGCCAACACTCGCTCTCCGTCGCTGAGATAGTCGACAGCGCCGGTTAGAAGAACGACATTATCTATTGACATGGATTAGCCTCACATTCCGGGGATTCAACAAAAATGGGCTATCCGTACGTTCTCTCCGAGCCAGATCCCGAGCCAATGTAGCCTTCGCTTGGCTATCAAGATTGCTTGGCCCGCTGTCGACGCCACGTTGTGTCACGCCACTGCTTCCATAGACCTGCCTAATCTCTCCTTCGTTGCCCTTGATAAGATCAAAGTATCCGCCTGCCATGAGCTGCTTAACCGCTCCGCGTCGGATATGGGTAGCAGCTGCTCCGACAGGGTCATAGACGACAGGGTTGCCGCGAGAGTTGTAGGCCTTGATAGCTTTGAGATAGTTGGGAACGCTCTCGCTGGTCAAGGTGCCCATGTTGATGAGTAAAGCGCCATCGAACTGAGCGAGATCAACGGCTTCATCGCCGTAGGGTGACATGATCGGTGATGCGCCCCTAGATAGGTCTTAACAAAAGTAGGATGGGGTATTTTCGCCAGATTCGAGGATACGTACATGGAAAGGGCAACATTAGCTACGAAGTTCGCTACAACGAAGTTGATCATGTTGTGTACCAAAGGATGAGCCTGAACAACCTTCTGGACTATGTGTGGCACATTTTCGACCAGGGCAGAGACCTCTCGAGCCTGGGGTGCCGGGCCACGCACGAAAGGTGGTGGAGTAGCGATGTGTTTGACGAAAGCCTCCGCAGCAGCCCTGGGATCTTCAGCTCCCATGATAGCGCTGACTATGGCGACGCCATCCAATCCCTTCTTAGGAGACTTGGACTGGTAGAAGACTCGTTGCACATTAGAGAGGTTGATACCGCCAATGGAAACGGTTCCGACAGAGAGGCCAGAGTCTGCAATGGCGTTAAGAATAGTCTGAGTGCCAGTCGTTCCAAGAATTTGTTTCGTATTGGTTTTCCTAGTCGATGTGAGTGATTGACTACGAGATAGTTGAGAGGAAACAACAATCCATCTACGACATCTTCACTTACGTTGGAGTCGCGAACATCGCTCCGATTCCGAGATAATCGGCACCAGCATCAACGGCTTTTTGGGCTTCCTCGATGTTACCCGCGCTAATACCAATGATGGCATCTTTGGGCAAAAGCTTCTTGGCCTCTTGGATAGCTGTAATCCCTTAGTATCAAAACTTGCACTTCAATGATAGACATAGTGACATACTCATATCATCCTGGCCAAGGTGAACTCCTTCAGCTCCCGCAGCAAGAGCCACGTCCACTCGGTCGTTGATCAACAAGGGAACCCCATACTTCTGAGTAATCTGGTGCAGCTTTCTAGCCGTCTGCACCTGTTCCCCGGTGTCGCTCGTTTTCTCTCTGTACTGAACCACCGTCACACCTGCGCGACCCTAATCAGCTAAAAGAAATACCCGACAATCGGCAGACTTTACCTCCTTTGAGGGCCTCTTCCACCACGGTACACAGATCACGACCCTTGAGGATGGCAGGGGTCGAGTCCGTGACCAGATATAATGAGAGATCCAACGGCATGATCTAAATGGAACAGTAAGCTCTTCATGGTCTTGATCCAAATGGGATGGCGATGATGGCGATGAGGGGCAACGTGGGGCTGAGCGCGACGCGACAAACAACAACGGATTGTGCATGAAACTCGCATTGCAGTAACCTACAGCAGGATGCCGGCCAATGGGCTACTGAGCCGTTTACCAGGATAGTTGATTGCGCAGAAAGGTGCGCAAGTTTGGATAGAAGCTTTCAGTGACGTTGGGGATCGGGTGGGGTCTGCGCCGAAGTTAGTCATGCTGCGTCTGCCAGGGCCGACTGGTCAAACTGGTCCTGTTTTCACCTCGAACTCATGAAATCTTCACTTAATGGGTACGATGAAGGGGTTGGAATGAGGGAAGAGGGTGAGATTCATTCGATCATGTCGTCTCATCAAGCAATGGGACTGAAATATTGTGGTCGATGCAGGAATCATGCAGCAGAGATGGTGATATATATGCTTCAGCCGCCGACGCAAGTGTAAATCTACATCTAACCTCTACCCTTCCAGTACATAAATTCCCTCATATGAGTTACCTGACAGTAGCTACTCGAGGACAGAGTTGTCCTTGACGATAGCGAACATTGGTACAAGGCTGCAAGACCGTTGTCATCTGTTCCGTACGTGTGAACTACATAGATTCGAACGATAGGAATACTCCGTACTGAACGAGATCCTACCAATGAAAGAATCTCTTTTGACCACGATTTGATTGGATTTCTATGGAACTTCATAATGGGCGAGAACGGCGAGAAATCGCCCCGACAACCCCAATAAATCAATGGGCCTTGGGAATTCAGACGTCAGGCAGGATTGCGGGACATTCTTGGATGACCGAGCAACGACGTGGGACAACTTGGCAGCGACACCCTAAGTCCGAGTAGGACACAATCTGAGAAAGACTCGAGGTACAGGAGTGACTAGGAGTAATTGCTAACAAGCAAGACGAGAAAAGCAGGAAAAGCAGGAAAAGCAGGCAAAGCACGTGCTCCCGGAAGCGGGCGGACCGCAACTCCGGGCGGGAGCGACTGACTCAGCACGAACTTTTCACGGGTCTTGGCGACTGATTCGGTTCGGTCCCTTTTTTTATTGTTTGGCACCGTTTTTCTTCCTTCCTTCTTCCTTCCCTTTCTCTCTCCCACCCACTCTTCCATCGATCTCTTATCGCAGTCTAACCATCATCATCCCATCAGCCTTTGGCGCTGTTATTTCGTCTTCCCAACTTGCCAGGCTGTTAAATACAGCTTTAGGTACTAGCCTCGCGTTTTGGTCGCCTCCCACCTTTTCACTCTGGTTAGTACGCTGTTTTTTGGAAGTCCCTCCACTGTGGAATATCCGTTCGTGCGGGATCTGACTTGTTGTTTTTCGCCCCTCTCTCCAGAAAACCATCCATTGGTTTCTCTCTACCTGCCAGAGAAAGCCACAGAATCAAGTCACTCGAGAACTTGTCTATGTATTCGTCCTGCGTCAGATCTTTCGAACACCACCTGCCGCTCAAGCTGCAAACGTTTCGCATCGCGCCGAAACCTTGTAGTATACACCAGAAGTCCTGTGGCTGAAAGCCTGCCTTATTCGCTGTGACTAGTCGTTTCGTCGAGACGATCTCAACCGCCACCATTTTTTACTCACGGAAACCAACTACGCATGTCTTGTTATTTCAAGGCATCCCGAGTCCAACTTTCCTCCCGTCCTAGACAATTCTTCATCTAGAAAGATTACTCATTTTTTCTTGAAGAGACTATCTTCTTCGTCATCATGGCTACTGTCAACATTCGTCGGGATGTCAGCGATCCCTTTTACCGCTACAAAATGGAGCGCCTGCATTCCAAGATCGAGGGCAAGGGCAACGGTATCAAGACCGTCGTCGTGAACCTGAACTCGGTCGCCGGGTCCCTCAGCCGTCCTCCATCCTATCTGATCAAGTACTTCGGTTTTGAACTCGGTGCCCAGGCCAACGCTAAGCCCACTGATGATCGTTGGATTATCAACGGTGCCCATGACGCTGCCAAGCTCCAAGACTACCTCGACGGATTCATTTCCAAGTTCGTTCTTTGCAAGAAGTGCAAGAACCCGGAAACCGACGTTATCATCAAGGAAGAGAAGATCATTCTGGACTGCAAGGCTTGCGGACAGCGCTCCGATGTCGACCCCCGCTTGAAACTGAGCACCTTCATTTTGCGGAACACTGATTCTGGCAAGGGAGGGAAGAAGGACAAAAAGGACAAGAAGGCTCGCCGTGAGCAAAAGAAGAAGAACGCTGACACAGCGAATGGAGAAGAAAATGGAAGCCCAGGAGACAGCAACTCCGACAACGCCGATGAGAATGGCGACGATGTCTTGGCTGCAAACAGCGATGATGAGCTTACTCGCCGCATCCAATCCGAGGCCAAGGGCATCGAGGCCGACGAAATCGAGGACGATGACTGGGCTGTCGATGTCTCCGAGGAGGCTGTCAAGGCCCGTGCTAAGGACCTCCCCGATGACCTGAAACGTTCTCTTGTCCTCGAAGATGCATATGAGAATGGAGCCGATGGTCCCTCGGCCTACGACGAGCTTGGTAGTTGGATCCTCAACGCAGCCACTGAAAAAGGTGGCGTTACCAAGGTTGACGATGTGGAGATCTACATGAAGGCCAAGGAGTACGGCATTGAGTCCAAGCACAAGACCGTTGCTGTCCTCGCTCAGACTATCTTCGATGACAAGATCGTTAAGCAGATTCCTTCCCGTGCCGGTCTTCTCAAGAAGATGATCACTTCTGAGCGCCACGAGAAGTCTTTCTTGGGTGGTACCGAGCGATTCGTCGGCGAAAACCGCCCCGAACTTCTCTCCCAGATCGCACCGATCTTGCTTGGCTACTATGAGAACGACATCGTGTCTGAGGAAACCCTCAAGGCTTGGGGTGCAAAGGCCAGCAAGAAGTATGTCGACATCTCCACCAGCAAGAAGGTTCGCAAGGCTGCCGAGCCCTTCCTGCAGTGGCTCGAAACCGCCGAGAGCGAGGAGGAGGAAAGTGATGATGAATAGATTGCTGATCTCAAGATCTGTCACTCCACTCTGTTGAATTTTCTATGTTCGTGCCTTTTTTTTGTTAAAACCAACTATCATTCAGTCATTTGCTTAGTGCCGGATATCGGCTGAATCACTCCAATGCTTTTTTTTTTTTTCAGGCAGAAAATCAGAACTAAAAAAATGATCAAGGGGATTTTATCAATTGTCTAGATAGTCATTTATCAATCAACTACTTCCCTTTGAATTTATTCGTCCCATGTCGTGTAGTAGGTTCAGAATTGGTGACTGGGAGAAGGAAAGCCGAATCCTGATACGTGATTTCATATGTATGCATGCTATCATGCTCTATCGGAATTTGGCGCCCAGAAGGGAATATTTATCCCCTGTAGTAATCAAAGGTCGAAAGTTACATCTTCGATATTCAACCTATATACTCAAAACGCTAACGTCGCAAATTTCAACCCACTCCCCGGCATAGACCAGTTCTTCAAAGGCTCATCCTCCACCTCCATGATCATGGGTGTCTGCATTTGGCGTGTTTTGGTTCTCGTCTTGGTGGTAAGACCAAGCACCTGGGCTCTCTGCTTCTCGAAAATAAACCAGGTGAGGTCTGCGTTCCAGGTTGTCATTGCTAGGATGGCCTCTTCCATGGACTGGATCTCTGCTTCTGGGGAGGCGTTTCCCTCGTGACTCTGCACATGATTTATATTGTAGTAGTCTGGTCCAGCGAACCGTGCAATCCATGCCCCTAGGAACTCGCAGATCTGGTCGCCCGTTGAGAGAGGTAGACGTACGTGAGTTAGGAGGGTTATGAAGAGAGAGAGGAGCGATCGCCAGAGGCTGTGGTGGGGTGTGAATGCGCGGGTGCCAGAGGGAGCGGACCCTGTTGTGGAGAGCGAGAGGGATTGGGTTAGAGGGACTAGAGTGGTAGTTTGGGTCTCCTGGTTTTGTTGTTGTGCTGCTCGTCGCTCGATGGCTCGCTCTGCGTCGGCGCTGACTTTCTCCCACGCTCGACGGTATAGTCGTTCCCAGCGGGGATATTCGGTTTCGATCCTGGTGGCCATAAAGTCGCCTGCGTTCTTGCACATTTGCTCGACAGCTAGACAGGCTGTTGTGGTGACGTAGATTTCTTCTTGGAAGTCGAGTCCTGAGGGCCCGGTTTTGGCTTCGGGGGTGGTTGTGCTGGTAGTCTTGGAGCGGGTTTTGGTCATCAGGGCGTCGGAAGAAGATGTGGGCCCGAATGAGGTAGGGAAGGTGATGCGTGCGGCTACTGAAGGCCATACGTCGTTGATGAGTGGTAGGAAGCTGTTTTCGTGTGCTGCAAGGATAGGCGAGACCTTGATGAGGATGGAGAGGAGAGAACGGCGGAGGTAGGGAGAAGGAGAAGATAGATGAGAGGGGATGGATTTGACGATGTGCAGCAGTAGGTTGTGAGACTTATTCAATGGTTTCTCTTGGTCGTCAGGCTCACGCGGCGGTGGTAATGACTCGTCGGGTTCTTCTTGATTCAATGCATCGTCCAGGTTGAAGTTTTGGTCCGGCTTGTCGGGTTTCTTCGATTCTGTGGTCCACGGCTGCTTGAGGTGAGGCATATCGCGTGGCTCTTCCGACAGTTCTTCGGAATACTTTGCACGCTTTGCCTTGCGGTTCGCTATGTCTTCTGCGAGGGTAGAAACGTGCAGCCTCTTGTAGTGCTCCTTGCGATGGTCAACAGATTTCCCTTGGCCATTCTCGATTGCGAGGAACGTGGGATTTCTGGTTCCCTCCTCAACAATAGCAGCGAGTGTTTTGAACATGACCTCGACCAGTTTTGGATAACCATGGTATAGGTCCAAGATTCCGAAAATTGAGTCCACCAGGTCATCAAGGTAAGGAATCAATCGCACGCCACACAGCTTGACCATCATGAATAATACCTGAGGTGGGTATGGTGAAACATCAAACGTATTGAGTTTCAACGCCACAGAATTAACCAGGTAGTCGACGTTGTCAATTATCATGGTGCTCGTGCTTTCATATTTGCAAGATGTTGTTAGAATGTTCAAACAGGTCATGGCATGTGTCTGGAGAATGGAGTTGCTGGAGGCTAGAAGCTGGAGCACAGGATACAGTGCATCCATTAGCTCTGGGCGAAACGCTTCTCGAAGTTGTTGTGCTTGCAGTGCTACCACTTCCAAGGCCAGTGCCGAGACTCGCCATTCTCTAGACTCATTGGCAAGCGGCTCATTAAGTATTGGGAGTGAGATATAATATAGCTCTTCGATCATACTGGCCCTACTAGCAAGCAAAGAAGAAGAGCCAACATCGTCAGATAGGAAATCGTCAAAAGCTGCTGAGGGCTGGGTGTTGCTTTTTAGGAATGCCAATGTCAGCCAAAAAGGAGCAATTTCGACAGTACCGCTCCCTTGATGGATGCGATTGATGACCAAGCGCGTAATATCACCATCGGAATCTGATTTATTGAGCCGGAGAATCATAGACTGCAGATCCCCTAGAGTCTTTTGCTGACTTCTATGTTCCAGCAGCAAGGGCGCAAATGATATTGATTTGCTGCCACTATGAATAACATCCAAGGTGCGATCATTCGATGGTTCAGAACTCAAGGGCTGCGGGATATTTGCCGACTGGTTCACTGCAGCAGCAACGCTATCACATAAACCTGATGCGAGACTGCTGTTGAGAATGTCCGATCCCGACTGAAGTTGCGACAATATTTGAAACGCGGTCGATATCTGTTTGAGGGCCCACTGTTTGGCTGTTTCGTCATTATTTTGCATGGTCCTTGGAAATGCAGTAATCCAAATATGCAGAGAGTTTTTCAGGGAATCCAGCACAGCCGGGTAAACAGTAGCAGTGTGTGAGAGCGAAGAAAACGCTTTATTGGGTGTTTGACCCTCTTCGAAGTCTGACAGAACGACAAGAGTGTCGACAACGATGGGAATTGACTCATGTAAAGTTTCCTGGCATTCTTCCACTACCATCAAGCACAACTCCAACAACGACTCTTGCACCTCTTGCCTTTCGTGTCGTCGTATTTGAATGATGTTTGCAAGCGCAAGTTTCATCTGAGTGGCCGTAGCTTTCAGCCAAGATTCATCAAGAATTATTCGGTCATTTGCCTTCTCGGACTGAGTAAGTGATTCTGGTTCGGCGCTTGCGGCCAGGTCATTCAGGACTATTCTCAGCATACGAGTGAGAATTTGCAGACACACACAGAGCAGCTTGTAAGAGCGTCGTGTCTGCGTCGATGGCTTCAGGACTTTTACCAAAGCCGAGACAGTCCGGGGCATCACACTAGCGAGGACAACGCGGTCGGTGATGCGGTTGTAGAGAGCATCAAGCGCATGCGCAGCCGAGACGCATACTTCGTCAGACTTAACGTCGACAATGCCTTCCAGCAAAATGTACACGGTTTGGTCTACAACCGTTGCCGTACCAATCTCGTGGTAAATCGTCCGCTCAGCAATAGGGCCTTCCAGAACTTTGAATATAGCCAAGAGACAGTCGAATCCTGCAATGGCCAATTCCACAGGCTGGGACTTTGAAGCCTCATCCGTGCCGGCCTTGTTAGGTGTGCCGCCCACGATCAACGTTAATAGGATCATGAGCTGTTTGCCCATTTGCGGGGATAGTCGCTCTCGCCATCCTTCAGCGATGAGGACTCGTAAACACTTGACAGCTAATTCCAGGCAGTTGGCGGGGATTCTCTGGGTTTCATTGAAGATATGCGATAGAGGAAAGAATGCATATTCTGCTAGCTTCTCGTCGAGTGCATTTTGCTTTGCAAGATCATTTAGAACATCATGCACTGGACGGAGGGCCTGGAGGACCTCATTGGACGATGCTTGCCGGCCGCGAAATTTGAGGCCAACAGCACTCAGCTCGACACATGGCGCACGAAGCTTAGGATCTCGTCAGCATGGTTTCTGCAGCCTTCCAACTTGAATCGGTTTCATACCTGCTTGAAGTATTCCTGCCGCGAGCTGTCCATGGTGACAGAAGCAGAGCTGAATGGAATTCTCTAGTACTTAAGCATCTGGATTGTTACAAGGATCCTCTAGATGATATTGATGCAGAAGATGTCAAGACGCTCTACAATCCTGACTAATTGGATTGACGTAGAGCCACCATCCCCGAATGGGAGGCGGTCAGATATAGGCTGTTAATACTGCCGGATCATGTTTGCACTGTTGGCATTGAGAAGAGACACGTGATTTTAATTGATCGCGTGTCACGTCGCGTTCCCGCACAGGCTGCCAACCGGGCAGGTGGTTGCCTTTTGGCTAGACATCCTTTACTCGACGCTTATAAGCGGCACTTCTCTTCTCTGTTGGTCCCACCGGATGTCTTCCTAAGAATCCACGAAAAGGACGTTTTGGATAACGTCTATGTCCGCTCTGCGCGATTGCGTGACAATTGCGCTTCATCTACACTGTCGGAGACCTGTGACCCGTATCCCAACACAACGAGGTGGATTTCGGATTGCGTCTTGCGATTTCGCTGCCAGTCATCGCTCTAAATCTCTTATAAGACTCAACCAGAGGCAGCCAGCAGCATCGTTCTCGACCACAGCGCTTTCAGTCCATCGTCCATTTGCGCTCTTCACCATGTCCGAATCCAACAAGAGTAGGAGACAAGCTACGTTGGGGTATGTTCGCGATTCTCAAGTAACTCTCGGGTGTGTGTCTGTGCGAATGCGACTAGGATTTCAATTCGACAGATTCTGTACGATTCTGATTGCTAACTTTGGCTTTGCCTCGTAGGAGATTCTTTGGTTCCAATGCCGACCCGAAGGAGGCCCCCAAGAAACAAACAACCTTGGCTTTCTCAGGAAAGAAAGATAAGGCCTCCAAGGCCTCTGCGGAAGTCTCTGCGGAAGTGAATGGAGCTACTACGAATAGGGCTAACGCCGATGAGGTTGATGCAGCGGAGTCTTCGAGCCGGAACACAAACACCGAAAAGACGAATGGAAAGCAGGAATCGAACAACCTCAAGAGGGAGAACTCCGGGGAAGATAGCGATGGGAGCGATGTACAGCCTATCCAGAAAAGGCGCCGGAAGAGTCCTCGGAAATCTGAGTCCACCGAATCCCCCAAGAAAAAGTCTCCTTCACCCAAGAGTCCGAAGTTGAAGAAGGAAACCAAGAAAAAAGAACCATCCCCTGCCGCCACTAAGAAACCGTCCGAGGAGAAAACTCCGGAAGCGGAATCCGAGCACGAGTCGCCATCGGCCAGCGAAGAGGAAGATGAAAAGCCAGGTGCCATGAAGGAAACAACGGAGAAAGTACAGGCTACATTGAAAGCAAGCGGGAATGAACCATACCCTGATTGGAAAATCGGCGATCCTGTGCCCTACGCGGCGCTGTGTACGACTTTCTCCCTTATCGAAATGACTACAAAACGCTTGATCATTCTGGCTCATTGCTCTCTGTTTCTGCGCCAAGTCCTTCGCTTAACTCCTCAAGACCTTCTCCCTACGGTGCAATTAATGATAAATAAGCTCGCCGCGGATTACGCCGGCATCGAGCTCGGAATCGGCGAGTCTTTGATCATGAAGTCGATCGGCGAGAGTACGGGTCGGAGTCTGGCAGTCATTAAAGCGGATCAACACGAAATCGGAGACTTGGGTTTGGTGGCTGCTAAAAGTCGATCGAACCAGCCAACCATGTTCAGGCCGAAACCTTTGACTGTTAGGGGGGTCCATGAAGGCTTATTGGGCATCGCTAAAGTCCAGGGCCATGGATCTCAGGATAAGAAGATATCTGGCATCAAAAAGTTGCTTTCCGCCGCCGACGCTGCTACAGCAGGAAAAGGTGGCAATGGTGTTGATATTACCAAGGACAAGGGCGGTCCTAGCGAGGCTAAGTTCATTGTTCGATTCTTAGAAGGAAAGCTGAGACTTGGACTGGCCGAAAAGACGGTTCTTGTTGCGCTTGCTCAGGCTGTGGTTGCACACGAGGCAGCTCTCAAGGGTGAGAATGCCCCTGCCGCAGAGAAGGTGGCGGAGGGAGAAGCAATTTTGAAGACCGTGTACAGCGAATTGCCTGCGTATGAGGTCATAATCCCTGCAATTCTTGAACACGGGCTACTTAAATTAGGTGAAGTTTGCAAACTCCAGCCAGGTATTCCTATCAAGCCTATGCTTGCTAAACCCACAAAATCTCTTACCGAAGTGCTTGATCGGTTCGAAGGAAGGGACTTCACGTGTGAATATAAGTATGATGGAGAGAGAGCACAGATTCATTACGTTGCCCCAGATTCTATTGACCAGTACCCCGGTGCCACGGCTACGTTACAAAGAGACACCAAGGGCCTTTCTGCAATTTTCTCCCGAAATTCCGAAGATCTGTCCAAGAAGTATCCGGATGTGCTTGCCAAACTGGATAGCTGGATTAAAGATGGCGTGACAAGTTTTGTGCTAGATTGCGAGACAGTTGCTTGGGATACCGAGAACAAGAAGGTTTTGCCCTTTCAGCAACTGATGACCCGCAAGAGAAAAGATGTCAAGGCAGAAGATGTGAAAGTTAAAGTCTGCGTGTTCGCATTCGATCTTCTGTTCCTGAACGGGGAGGTAATTGAATTTCCCCCCTATAATTTGACGTTCAGCGCTGACTCGTGGTGCCACGAATTCTAGACAACTGTTAAGAAGTCATTGCGTGAGCGTCGTGAGCTGCTGCACCAATCCTTCCAGGGTATCGAGGGCGAGTTCCAATTTGCCCAATACGGCAACACCAACGTTGTCGACGAAATCCAAAATCTCCTAGATGATAGTGTCAAGGCATCGTGTGAAGGTCTGATGGTGAAGATGCTGGATACCGAAGAGAGTGGTTACGAGCCCAGCAAGCGGAGTCGAAACTGGCTCAAGGTATGTTTTGCTCGAGACGTGACGCCCGTGCCTGACCCGGAAATTAACTGCGAGTGTAGGTGAAAAAGGATTACCTCAGCGGTGTTGGCGACTCCCTTGATCTTGTTGTTCTTGGAGCTTATTATGGCCGTGGAAAGCGCACTTCTGTTTACGGCGCATTCCTCTTGGCAGCGTACAATTCGAGCACGCAAACTTACGAGACGATTTGCAATATTGGCACGGGCTTTTCTGAGGCCATTCTGGAAGAGTTCCACAAAGCGCTCTCCCCTCTCGTCATCGACCGGCCAAAGCCCTTCTACTCGCATTCGACGGTGCCGAAGGACCAGCCCGACGTTTGGTTCGAGCCGCGACTGGTCTGGGAAGTGAAAACGGCCGACTTGACTCTCAGCCCGCGATACCAAGCTGCCGCCGACGAATTCGTCGGAACGACGGGGGGCGGGAAGGGCGTGTCTCTCCGATTCCCACGATTCATTAAATCCCGGGACGATAAAAAACCCGAGCAAGCCACGACCACTCGAGCCGTGGCGGAAATGTATCGGAAACAAGAGGCGGTCCTGAAAGAAAATGCCGGCAAGGGTGGCGTGGATGATGATTTTGAGTATTAGCTAGATGACATGATTGGCGTCGCCGAATTGCATGTATCCTTGTATCCATATTTTTTAGATATTTCGTTATGATGACGAGCGTTGATTTCATTTGCAATTCAGCTCCCGGATGAGGGATTCGAGACAAATTCCGATCGGAAGGAGCAGTTGGAAATTAAACGATAGAATCGCGTAAGCCGGGATCCGGGGGCGACCGTCCGATTAATCAATCAGCGAGATGGAGCATCATAATGCCATCATGTCAGCCGGGAATATTCCCAGACATTTGCTGTTTATTGCTTCGGAGGGCAGGATAGCGCTTATCACCGGCGGCGGACTCCGCATCGGGCACTGGATGAGGCTTCTCATATCAGCCGAGTCTGTCGTGTAATGATGCCATCTGCAGACTAGGAACACTAGATATGGCGGACTGGCTTGGCATTGCAACCCAAGACGTGGGGAAATGAGGGCTAACGAGGGCGAAGAGGACGATGTAACCTGTTTATCATTGCTTGTCCGGTGGGTCACGTTGTCTGCCCGCCTTCCTCCTTTAGGCAGGTCGCCCTGCCGTTCCCTGCGGAGTCCGTCTGCCTGCCTCGTCCATAAAAGCCTCGCCGGGGGCCCCTGTTGTGCTCTCCGACCAGGTATTCGAGCTTCGGAAGCTTCTCTTGCAGTCTCAGTCTGTGAGTGTTCGATCTTCTCATCATGGGAGCGTTTCGTTGGCTCTCAATTGCGGCCGCTTCGTCGGTCGCTTTGGCCCTGACCCCGGAGTAAGTTCATCCCTGCGAACCCACCCCCCGTACCATGGGCATTGGCGCCCCATTGTGGAGCTTGCTGACCGAGTCGATCTACACAGACAATTGCTCAGTGCTCCCCGGAGATCTGAGGCGATTCCCAACCCCTCTGGTGTATGTCAATTTTTTCCCCCGATCCATGGGTCCTGAGGAGTCAATTGCACTAGGAACGCTAACACCCACCTCCAGAAACTTGCCGTGTTCTCGACTTCCCAATACTCCTTCGACACGCATAAGGGTAGTTCCTCGTGGAGCTTGTTGGACCTGAAGTCTGGCGACACCAAGCCTCTCACCAACGACAGCAATGTCTCGGAGATTCTCTGGCTAGGTACCGATGACTCTACCGTGCTCTACGTCAATGGCACCAATGCAGAGGTCCCCGGAGGCGTGGAGCTGTGGGTGTCGAAGATTTCGGACTTTACCAAAGGGTGAGTGGTCTAGTGATGTCTCGTGTTATACTTCAGCTTCAATAGCTCATAAAACGGTGTAATAGTTACAAAGCCGCATCTCTGCCTGGTCCCCTGTCAGGATTCAAGACCGTCACCACTCACTCGGGCGACATCAAATTCGTCGCGTACGCTGAATCATACGCCAACGGTACCGTGTACAACGAGGAGCTTGCGGAGGCCGCGCTGAGCTCTGCCCGGATCTATGACAGCCTCTACGTGCGCCACTGGGACTACTACCTCAGCACCAGATTCAACTCCGTGTTCTCTGGTACCCTGAAGAAGTCTGGCGGCCAGAAGTCTCAATATAACTTCAAGGGAGAATTGAAGAACCTCGTGTCTCCCGTCAAGAACGCCGAGAGTCCCTACCCGCCTTTCGGAGGATCCTCGGACTACGACATTTCTCCCAACGGCAAGTGGGTGGCCTACAAGAGCAAGGCACCTGATGTTCCCCGTGCCAACTACACCACGTCATACATCTACCTTGTCCCCCATGACGGCTCCTCCAAGGCTGTCGCTATCAACGGACCTGACAGTCCCGGAACCCCTAAGGGCGTTGCTGGAGACTCCAGCGGCCCTGCTTTCTCCCCCGGAAGCGACAAGATCGCTTACTTCCAGATGACCGACGCGACTTACGAGTCTGACCGTCGTACTCTGTATGTCTACAGCATTGGCTCGAAGAAGACCATCCCTGCTGTTGCTAAGGACTGGGATCGTTCTCCCGACACCGCCAAGTGGCTTGACAAGAAGAACCTGATCATTGGTAGCGAGGACGAGGGCCGTCAGCGTCTATTTTCGATTCCTGCCAACGCCGGCGACGACTTCAAGCCCAAGAACTTCACGAGCAATGGCGCTGCCGGCTCGTACTATGTCCTCCCCGATTCCACCATCCTCGTTACTGGCAGTGCCATCTGGACCAACTGGAACGTGTATCTTGCCAGCCCCAAAAAGGGTGTTTTCAAAACCTTGGTGTCTGCCAACGAGATCGATGCCGAACTCAAGGGACTTGGACCCGCTGATGTCGACGAGTTCTACTACAAGGGTAACTGGACCGATGTAGGTGATCCCGAGCTGAGTAATCCTCTGGACTCGTATTAACAGCACTACCTTCAACAGATCCAAGCCTATGTTGTCTACCCCACGGGCTTTGACAAGAACAAGAAGTACCCTCTCGCATACTTGATCCACGGTGGTCCCCAGGGCTCGTGGGCCGATTCGTGGAGCACCCGGTGGAACCCCAAGGTGTTCGCCGACCAGGGCTACGTCGTTGTCGCACCTAACCCTACCGGCAGCACTGGCTGGGGTGATGAGCTGACTGACGCTATCCAGAACAACTGGGGTATGAACCTCGCACTTTGATGAACTAGGTCCATGTTGCTAATACCATTTCGCAGGCGGAGCTCCTTATGATGATCTCGTCAAGGGCTGGGAATACATTCGTGACAACCTTGACTTTGTTGATACCGACAACGGAGTTGCCGCTGGAGCCAGTTACGGAGGTTTCATGATCAACTGGATCCAGGGAGGTGACCTTGGTCGCAAGTTCAAGGCCCTGGCCAGCCACGACGGTACCTTCGTGGCCGATGCTAAGATCTCCACCGATGAGTTGTGGTTCATCGAGCGCGACGTGAGTCTTATCCTGTCTTTTATAATATGCCCAGTACACTGACTTTGTTTTGCGACCAGTTCAACGGTTCCTTCTGGGGTGCCCGTGACAACTACCGCCGCTGGGATCCCTCCGCCGTCGAGCGGATCCTCCAGTTCGACACCCCCCAGCTTGTCATCCACAATGACAAGGATTACCGTCTCGCCGTCTCGGAGGGCCTGGCCCTGTTCAACGTCCTGCAGGAGCGTGGTGTTCCTAGCCGCTTCCTCAACTTCCCTGACGAGAATCACTGGTATGTCTCACCCACCATCATGTACACACTTCATTGCCTGTATCAATTGCTAACTGGTAACGCAATACAGGGTCGTCAACCAAGAAAACAGCCTCGTGTGGCACCAACAGGTGCTTGGCTGGCTGAACCGTTACTCTGGCGTCGAGAAGAAGAACCCCGATGCCGTCAGCCTGGATGACACTGTCATCCCGGTCGTTGATTACAACCCTTGATTCCTCGGCTAATCGTATTATAATCCGAGGAGCTCGAGCTTTCTATTGATAGGCCCGATTGGCCTTGTATAGGTAGATCTTTTTTTTTTTTTTTTTTTTTTTTTTTTGGTTCTTCCTTGTCATGATACATGATGCACATACCTAGCTTAGCATAATGAATTTCCGGGGTTTTTGTCTTCTGATTATCACATTACTTTGGTTAAAACTGAAAAAGTGTCTGTTTGCTGGATGACTTGATTCAATATTGCATATCTTGCAGTGCATACCTAATTAAATGACAAAGGACTTAAAATAAATGGAAAAGTCATCAAGGCGTAAGGCTAGAAAATCGTAAATTAACGAGAACAACCGTTTCCATTTTGGGATATCCACTGGCAAGTAATGGTGACTAAAGAGGTTGGTGTGTGAGACAATTTAGGTCATCTATATTGAAAGTAATAGGGAAATGTACTCCTTTATGCAAGCTATCTTGTCGCCACTTTTCATCCAGGTAATGGGATTTGGTAATAGGCGCCTCGAACTAAAGGCAACGGCGTTCGATCGGGCCAAAGCGTGGCAGCGGCGGCCTTAGCAGCTTCGCACTGTTTCATGTCAACCAACATTCCAACTTGGGCAAAGAGATCTATCTGGTTCGCGACCCAATATCTGCATCCGGCTCCCATCGAGGTGAACTCGTAGCGGTGGCGTCCATGCTCGGTTAATTTGTGCAAGACGCCCGCCACCGTAAGGCCGGGAATCACGTCGAGCGGAAATGCCATTACGGCGTCGGGTGGCAGGGCCGAGCCTAGCTCGCCGATGGTCAAAACCGCCTTAGAGCCCCCGGTGAGGATGGTACTCGGGACGACGCCACTCGCTTGACAGTTCACAGCGACCGAGGTACCCTCGGCGGACTGGAGATAAAAACACCAGTGATTTGTCTTGTCGCATTGGATGTGTGGCACGGCATAGATGCGCGAGACGGGGATTTTCAATATCTGGGCCTCATGCGACGCCGGCTCGAACCGAATGGGCTTGTGGTCGGGCATGGCTAGAGAGTGGGTGGACACGAGGGAATTATTAGCTGCGCCGGGGGGAAGGGGGCCGAGACTCGTCTCGCGGAGCGACGAAGCATTCATCTGCTCAGACTGCCCCGTAGCAGATGTACGTACTTTGCTTCGGTTGAAGCCTAACTTTCTTAGTGCTTGTCTGAACTCCACACCCATAGAGAAGACCTTTCCGAGGGGCAAGTGCTTTCCGCTGGCGATCTGATCTAGCTTGCTTTGATCGTGAGTGAATCAGTTGCCGCAGTCATTTCCCCTTGAGTTGGTGATGGATAAGTTTTAGCATGGAGACGAGGGAGTCCCCAGGGTTAAATGCAGCAGACATGCAATGGCCATTCGGAGGCTCCCGGGTTGCTCATTGTAACTCCCGTGACTCTCGTAGTATTTTGCGGGAGAAACCCATCGAGAGACGGTAGTCTTCGACGTCATGAAACGGAGGGTTTGCCGATGCAACGGATGGTCGTAAGAGCAGCAGGGGGTCCACCGGCGACGAGCACATGGTCGAGCGAGTGGACGAGAGGGCGAGAGAGCGACTCTAGCGGCTGTCACTTCCCGCGCGGTGGGGAAGGCGGTAGCACCAATGGGCAGTAACTCCTCCGTACTGCTAGCTCGCCGTATCCGTACGCTACTGCTATCATCTATCGCGACCTCTCTCAATCGCCGCTGCTTGCTTTCCCAAACTTTTCCATCCCATTGTCCTGCCTCTTGCTCCCCACTTTTTTTTTTCTCTTTTGCTTTTCTCCCCTCATAATGCTTTGTATCGCCCGCGCGACTCTCTACAATTCCGTTGCCTAATCAATTCTTCCCTCAATCCCTGCGAATTCCTTCTAACTGAGCCTCAACCACCACGCCGAACTCTTGTCTCTGCCGATCCCTTCTGGGGCTTGTCCTTTAATTCCGCCCATAATGAGGTAAATCTATTTCATAGACTCCCCTGACTCCCCCGTTGTATGCCCGCTAATACTCATCTTCACCCGCCCGCAGGTTCGGTGAACACCTTGGTTCGTCGATGATCAAGGAGTACTACTGGTACTACATCGCCTACGAAGACCTCAAGAAAGCCTTGAAGACGGGATACGTGACCGAGCCGACCCCCGAAAACTCGAAACCCGATCGCAAGCCATGGACGGAGGATAACGAGAAAGACTTCGTCTCCTTGCTGGAGAGCGAGCTCGACAAGGTCTTCAACTTCCAGAAGATCAAGAGCGAGGAAATCGTCCGCCGCATCCAGGTCAGCGAGGCGGAGGTCTACAGTGTCATCTCGCGTCTCGAGAGCTCGACCGATTCGCGTCGTCAAAGTGTCCGTCCCGGCGCTGCTGCTCCGCCGTCCGATGAGGATTTCCTGACGCTCGAGCAAGTGTTGAGTGACATCATCGCCGACGTGCACGACCTGGCCAAATTCACCCAACTGAACTACACCGGTTTTCAGAAAATCATCAAGAAACACGATGTAAGTTTTGAAATTGAATTCTTGTTTTCGATTCGGTCGGGGAAAAAAATCTTAAAAAAATGAAGCCCTTGGTGTATCTTTTTTAACACAAGTTTAGAAAGAAACGAGGTGGTATCTCAAACCGGTCTTCGCCGCCCGACTCAACGCCAAACCATTTTTCAAAGACAATTACGACGCTTTTGTCGTGAAGCTATCTAAGCTGTATGATCTCGTCCGTACGAAAGGAAACCCGGTCAAGGGAGATTCGTCGGCCGGAGGCACTCAACAGAACTTTGTCCGTCAAACCACGAAATACTGGGTTCACCCCGACAACATCACGGAGCTCAAACTTATTATTTTGAAGGTAGTTACAAAAGATTGCCTCCCTACTCAAAGTCCTTCAACTAACTAGAAAAGCACCTCCCCGTCCTTGTCTTCAACCCGCAAAAGGACTTCGAGGAAAAAGACACCGCCATTTCGTCCATCTACTACGACAACCCTGAGACATGGGAACTATACCAAGGTCGCTTAAAGAAGACCGAAGGTGCGGAGGCAATCCGACTGCGATGGTATGGTGGCATGGAAAGCGATCAGATCTTCGTCGAGCGAAAAACCCATCGTGAGGACTGGACTGGAGAGAAGTCGGTGAAAGCCCGATTCTCTCTCAAGGAGAAAAACGTCAACGCATTCCTTTCTGGTCGCATGACGGTAGAGAGTATCTTCGACAAAATGCGAAGGGAAGGAAAAAAGAGCGAGGACGAGATCAACGACTTGGAGCAACTGGCGCGCGAAATCCAATATCGTGTCATTACCCGCAGATTGATGCCCGTCACGAGAACCTTCTATCATCGAACTGCCTTCCAGCTTCCTGGCGACGCGAGAGTCCGTATCTCTCTTGACACGGAGCTGACCATGGTCCGAGAGGACAATCTTGACGGTCGACGAAGGGCCGGAGACAATTGGCGCCGAATGGATATCGGCGTCGATTTCCCTTTCTCCCAACTTCCCGCTGAGGATGTTGAACGGTTCCCCTACGCCGTTCTCGAGGTCAAGCTCCAGACGCAAGCCGGCCAGGAACCGCCGAAATGGATCAGGGAGTTGACGGCCAGTCATCTCGTGGAGGCGGTCCCCAAGTACAGCAAATTCATTCACGGAACGGCGACGTTGTTCCCCCAACGTATCCACCTTCTTCCTTTCTGGATGCCGCAGATGGATGTCGACATCCGCAAGCCGGCGACACGCCAATTCGGTATCACACGGCCCCTTCAAAGCACATCTATATCTGCCAATGAGACGCAGGAAGACGACGACTCGGATGACGAAGAGGACCAGGAAGGCAATACCAGAGTGGACCGCCGTCGAATGGCGTCAGCTGGGGATGGAAATGGTCTATTCGACGACGCTGATGGAAATGCTCTGGACATCGAGGAACGCATTGCCGCCCAGCCGCTGCCCGGGGACGAGGATTACCCGCTGTACGACTCTGACGAGGAATCGGTCGACTCTGACGAACTTGAGGAGGCCCGGCGAGTCGGAGGAGCCTACTACTACCAGCAATTGATGAAATACTACACCCACCGAACTGGAAAAGCATTGTTGCACGGATGCAAGGCACTTATCCCACGTCCTAGACCGACAAGCCTGCCCGCTCCCGAGCAAAATGGCATCAGTGTTATCGGGAACCAGCGAACTCACCAACGATTTGCGGCACCCAAGGGCAAGCGTAAGCACTTCCCCTCTCTCTGTTCATTGTTATTGTTCTAACCAACTGCAGGGATCCACGTTCCTGTTCGCGTGGAGCCGAAGGTGTACTTCGCGGCCGAACGAACCTTCTTGTCATGGCTGGAATTCTCGATCCTGCTGGCTACGATAGCAGCTACCTTGCTCAACTTTGGAAACGATTATATCACATTTGCCTCGTCATGGGCATTCACTATCCTGGCTGCCTTGGCTCTGGTATACAGTCTCATGTTATACATCTGGCGCGTGGACAAGATCCGCAAACGACGAGACGTCAAGCGCGTTTACTACGAGAAATGGGGCCCTACCATCGTTAGCGTTGGTCTTGTTGCCGTGATCATGGTCAACTTTGGACTGCGGATGCGACAAGTAGGGTTCACCTCTAAGGTCGTTGACATTCAGATGGGCCGAGTATTGGACGACAGACAACTTCATGCGGACGAGCTATGATGAGACTACGTCCTCCCCCCCCCGGCCCCTATTCTATTTTTCGAGCTCTGACGAACAATTTGTCCTATTTATCCTATTCACGGTCTTCTCTTTTGTCTACCATCATTCTTTTGTCCCACAGAGCTTCTTCTGCCCATATATTTTGGAACTTTTGGCTTATGCTTTGTTCCCCCTTTTCTTTTTCCTATTATTTTTTACCTGATACGCTGGCAAAGGCGCTGACTAGACTACGTATATGAGCAATCATGGCATGTACGAAACGAAATTCCCTGTACAAAAATGCGTTATCTGAAATTGGAAAGATGCAACGGTTGTTTGGTTATGATATATTAATTCCTCGAGTAATTTAGTGAAGTGAAAGTGAATACAAACTGAGGAGATTTATGACAACCGGTAAATTCACCCCGTACTCAATTATCTGTCACCTAGAGGCTGTAGATACCTATCCCTGCGGAGGTGTTCAGGCGAGGCTATCGCCACTACCTGACCGGACATTGATTAATACTACTACCACCTACGTTCACAATGACAATGAGAATCAGAACCAATATCAAATGCCGCTACCGCTGAAGTGCAACTTCGAGACTCGAGTACAGTACTGCGCCGATGAAGTTCGAACGACCTAAGAATAGCCACCGAAGATGCAGATCATCGTGTTCCTGACCCATGCACGACCCAAACTTTCAACCTCTGCGTATCGTGTCTGCAGATTTCACGATCCAGCATGCAGGAACATGGGCAAATGGGGGAACGATCAGCATTGACACGAACCTTATCTGACCTTCTGCCCCAATGAATACGATCAGGGTTTGCTTGGCAATCCGGATTTCTCAACCCCTACAGGTCAGATATTCCACGAATTTTGGGGGCTTGGGGGCCCTAAGCCAGCTTCTGCAATGAATCGAGTATCATTATGCGAATTTGACCAAGAAGCGACGAGAACTAGAGGATGGAAACATGGCTAACTACAGGGACCTGCCAAAGACAGCCCCATTATACGCCATACTCCGTGACGTCTCGTATTCTGTGGATTCAAATGCCGATCTTCATCGACCAGTCTCGAGAAAATGATTACGTTAAATAAATAAAGGATAATAGTCATTTCAAAGCGGTTCTTGGTGCCCTAAGGGGCATATAAAAGGCAGACTGGAATCACTCCACAAACACCATCAGCAGCAACCAATTTCCAAACCGTTGAAAGATTCCAAATTTCTAATCACCCGTCTTTTATATTCTAAACACACGCAACATCAAAATGTCATCCTCTAAGTTCCTCGTGACTCCTCTCATCCTCTCCCTCGCTGCTGCTGCTGCTGCTGCCGCCGCCTGCGTCGGGCCCGCCGTCAACGACGCTACACTGGACCTGCTAAAGGGCTATGAGAAGATGATTCCCAACCCCTACGACGACGGCTACGGGAATCCCACCATCGGATACGGCCATCTATGCCAGGACTCTTCCTGCTCAGACGTCTCCTACTCACAGCCTCTCACCGAAGAAACTGCAACGAAGCTGTTGGCCGATGACTTGGAGGTCAGTACAACAATGCAAACATAGTCACAGCAGCCCTAACACATGGCTAATCAAACCAATTCAATCATCAGGGCTTCCAAGACGCCGTCACCAACGCCCTCGCCGACCCCGTGACTCTCAACGACAACCAATACGGTGCACTCGTCTCCTGGACATTCAACGTCGGGGCGGGCGGCATGCAATCATCCTCTCTTCTCCAGCGGATGAATAACGGAGAAGACGTGGATGTTGTTGCGCAGGAGGAGTTACCCAAGTGGGTGCACGCGAACGGCGAGGTCTCGGAGGGTCTGGTGAATCGTCGAAATGCTGAGTTGGAGTTGTTTGCAACTGCTAGTGAGGGCAAAGCATTGCCTGCTCCTTGCTAGATTTGATAACTGAAGATTGAGAGGTCAGATTGGACGGGGGGCAGCTGACTGTGAGTGGTTAGGATAAGTGGGTTTATGGAACGATTGGGAGTTTCGACTGAGGAGAGGTTAACAGTAAATGGGGCTTAAATTTGTCTTTTTCTTCTCCAGAAGACCACGAGAGTGCAACTAATAATCAACTATCGCATGTACACACAGATTACACAAACACCAAACACCAGTCCTCCGTTATAAGCTGAACCCGTTGTTATCGACACGACTGACTCAACCGACATGGAGAGTTCGCAATCGCATCAATCTAGATATTATGTAGTCCGTTGCATCGTAATCTCATCAACCAGCCTTGACCTCCATATCAGACAAGCGCACCCCCGACGCGACGAATGCTTCTCCGCGCGCCGTCGCCCAACACATTCACGTGGCCCTCAGTCTCCAGGGCCCGCACTGCGTCCGTAAACTGGGTCCCGTCCAAGGCGTTGTTTTGCTCGTTCAGCACCCGGAAGACCTCCGCCCAGCGCGCTGTACCGCCGCTGCCAACCTCGTCGACGGCCGACAGTATGCTGCGCTTCAGAGTCTCGCGTTGACGCCTCTCGCTGGCGCTGGTACCCTCCGTCAACAAGCCCATGTCAATCAGTCCGGTGCGAGAGTCCGTGGCGGCCTGCTGGATGGCCGACCGGATCAGACGCACCGCCTCTTCCACGTCGCCAGCGGTCACCTCGGGGGACAAGCGCATGCGAGCGTGCGCCTCCGACAGTCGGATCATCGACTCCAGTTGACGAGTCGTGGCAGTAATTCGTCGGTCAGCGGAGCGGATGTCGTCTCCCAGTTTACGCATGTTGACATAGGCATCAGAAAGGACCTTGCCTGCGGCAGGCGTCAAAACTGGGTGGATCTTGTTCTTGGCGTAAGTGATATAAGCCGTAAGGAATTCAACGGGCTAGAGGTATCGTCGGTTAGTCAAGTATAATATGAGACAGGAGGCCATTCCACTTACCAGAATCTCTTGCTCACTGGCATTGTCCGGTCTGTCCTCGAGATACATGTTGACAAGATGCTTTGCTAGACGACGATCTTCTTGTTCATCCACGCGATCGAGCACAAGGTAGACCAAGTCAAATCGAGACAGGAGAGTGGGGGGCAGGTCGATATTCTGCGGCACTGGCAGGTTGGGGTTATACCTGCTTCCAATGGGGTTGGCAGAAGCCAGAATGCTGGTTCGGGCATTCAAGGTTGTGATGATACCGGCCTTGGCGATCGACACAGTCTGCTGCTCCATCACTTCGTGCAGGACGGAACGGGTTGATTCGTTCATCTTGTCGAATTCGTCAATGCAGCAAACACCGCCATCAGAAAGCACAAGGGCACCCGACTCAAGAACCATCTGGCGCGTTTCGGGATCGCGAGTCACGTAGGCTGTAAGACCGACGGCGGAGGAGCCCTTTCCGCTCGTATAAACACCGCGAGGTGCGATTTTGTGGACATACCGAAGTATCTGCGACTTCGATGTCGACGGATCACCACAGAGAAGCACGTTAATATCGCCACGATAACGAGGGTTACCGCCCTTCTCGAACGACTTGTTGGTTCCTCCAAACATCTGGAGCAAGATTCCCTTCTTAACGTCGTCCATTTCGTAGACGCTAGGCGCCAAGGACCGGGACAAGAGCTCGTAGATGTCGGGTCGCGAAGCAGTGCGCTTGATCCGCTCTTCCTCTTCGGCTGTAACTTGGCGGGTTTGCTCGGCATCCACGGCAGCTTGATCAGAGAGGTCTTCCTCGACGGTCGACACGTCAATGCCCAGTTTTTTGCGGTCAATCTTTTGCACGTGCACAACATCGATGTAGGTTTTGAAGAGTGTCCTCTGGGTGCGCTGACGCGGGTTGATTCGAACGGGGTTGCTGCGGAAGATACCTGTGACTTCAACTCGATCACCAGCCTTGCACATGTCCACCAGTTCCTCATACACGCAGAGGGAAACCGAGTGCGGCGTTTGACCGTCGGGGATGCTATCAGGGGTCTCCTGAAGTTTGATAACCTGTTTGTCGGAGAACACGCAGCGATTGTGAATAAGCTCCATCGAGTTTTTTTCCTTGCACGCTTGTCTAGGACAAATTGTGGGTTCCGCGATCCTTCCTCGGTCAATGTCAACCTGAACTCCATGATTGCAAACTTGGCAGCGGAAGAAAGCTAACAATTGGACGCCGGGATTAGTAGAGGAATACAACTGTTGAAGAAATGATCAAACAAACCTTCTTTCATATCTGGGATGATGGGAGTAGCTCTGATGACCAATCCCTTAATGCTCACCAACTTGTCCATGTCTAAACAAATTAGTAAGGAGGTGGAGAGCAGGGAAGGCTACCGTAAAACATACCTGCGGGGTCAAGTTCACGCATGTTCACGGATGAATCAAGTCCAAACGGCAGAACTTTGAACACCTTGGTCTCTACCTCGCCAACAAGATCAGGAATCTCATTCAGAGGCATATGACCAGTTTCGACCATGGCGTCAGAGCTAGGGACCGCAGGGGCGGAGCTCAAGTCGCGAGAATGTGTCTGGTTTCGCTGGCTCTTGGTTCGAAGGCGCTCAACTTCCTTGATGGCAAGCTCAACCATAACATCCTTGATAGTCTGATCCATCAAAGGAATGATTTCTGCAGGGTAGGCATGCAATTGATGCCACAGTTTCAGCGTTGACGGGTATGATTTGAGGTTTTTCGTATCAAGGGTAAGAATGCGGACACCGAGTTGACGCATCGTGTTCAGGGTGTTGATATATTCTTTCTCCTCCGCCGTATCACCCATAAGACGGGTTTCGTCTTCTGTCGCACCTTCTGCCCATAGGCGGTACTTGGTTGCAAAGTTGTAAATGAAGTTTTTGAAAGCAGACATAGAGTCCTGGAGGGAGATATTCGTACCCCAGATCACACGGGACGAACTACCACCGAGGGCATCAGCCTCCGAGGTACCGGGATGGAGGTTAGAGAAGGTCGCATCTGACTGCGGCTCTGCATCGGCAGAAGGCATTCCGTTCGCATCGACAAACACCCTACGCCGGCGACTAGGGGTAGATCCAAACCCTAGATCACTGCGATGGTGGACACGTCCACCAGCAGAGGGCCGAGACGAGACGAAGAGGCCGCTGCTGCTACTGGGGATATCGGATCGGGGCTGGCGGCTATGGGCACGAGTGGGACTGGAGCTTGACATGTAACGAATCGGGGAGGAATCTATTCAACGTTAGTTCCAAAAGTATGGCCATCTAAGATCCGGTAAACAAACCCCTCATGGTGGGACCGTTTCCTCGGGGAGTCGTTTCTCCTTCATCCATGGCTGAAGAGGCTCTGATGGGCGAGCTGGGTTCGTCCATTCGGGCGTCTGGCGTTTCGGCATTGCTATTATTTCCTTTCGTGGGCGAAGATTGAAAGAACAGGGGAGACGACGACGGGACGGCGGCTTCACCCCTGATGCGCCTAGACGCACGAGGAGTTGTCTGTAATAGTTCATCTCCTCCTCCGGGAGTCGGACTGCTAGGCGGCTGCTGCTGTTGCTGTGACCGAGTGGAACGAGTTGACCGGGCGGGGGACGAGGTGGTCGTGTCCTTGGTCGGACGACCCCTACGGCGAGAGGAGGCAGGGGAAGACATGACGAGCCGGCCCTACAGGAGAGCAGTCCACAAATAAATGAACTTGACCGAGCCGAGCGAGAGCAATATCGAACCTGATGGCAATGAAGCGGCTGGGGTGGAGTGGGTGGACGTGGTGGTGGTTACGATATGAAGGGCGGCAGCGGGATGGCAGATGGATGGAGTTTGATTGATTTTCTCTTCGTGGACCACGGAGTACGGAGTCAGTTGCCGGGCAGCAGCGACGCGTGCCGACGCGACCGGCGCGTTAAGAGGTTTCCTGTTCGGGGCGACGCGGGTCACTAGCCACTTGGTCATGTGACTTGACTACTAGACAGGGGCTAGTCTAGGGCTAGTGGTTCATGCTGCGCCACAGAACCACCCGCGGGGGGAAACCTCAGGCACGCCATGCCGGAAGGAGATTAGGTTAGGGTAACTCCGACCTCCGTAGGCATCGACATTCCCTGGTTCCATTCAGGATCCATCCCTGCCAACAAAGGGGCCCATCGTCATCGGTCAGGGGTTTGTTGTTATCTCCCCCCAAAGAACAATCTGAATCACTCCAACGGAATGAAATTGAATGCCATCACGCTAGTTAACTAACTAACTCCCTATATCGGCTGACATATTCCCTCTTCCATTTGTCCCCCGATCGATTCTCTCCCTCTCCAGGTCTCGAGACGGAGAATCATCCACGCAGGTGAGACAACAGCAGGCGCTGTGGAGCCACAAGGCGAAAGTTTAGTTTCAGCAGGCGCTTGATGTCATTGCAGAGCAACGATCTGCTCATCCCCAGCGCATATCGTAACTTCCCACAAATCGCGGCGCTTCTGCCCTGCTGACTTGGCACGCCGCTGAACATGAATGGTCCATTCCTTTAGCAATCGGTGCCACTTCTGTCATGCCGTTATTTACTTCTTCTTTTTGCGTCGCTTCATTGATCCCTATTCCGCCCTCTTTAAACGCCCACCTTTTCTAAAAACAGTCCCCTCGTGCTGCTATTTTCGATTCCTCCCTTACTTGAGTCAACGACCCCCCGCTTCCTCCATCGACATGCCACTTTGATCTCCAATAAATCCAACTCGTTATGCGCTTTGAATCCCCGTCCGCTATATCGCCGTTCCGCCTTCTCTTTCTGCGCCGCGTTATCTCTTCCGCAAGCACGGTCGACTTTGACCTCAAAACAATCTTTTAGAACTTATTAGCGAGGTCGTCGCCACATCCCACCATGTCCAACGATCTAGGGAAAGCCCTGGAGCACGCTGGTGGTACGGGGAAACAGCGCGAAGGTATCGGGATCAATACCTTCCTTGCATCATTGGGTACTGCGATCGTGATTTTCGCAGTTGAATTTCTATTGTTTTTGCTTCTCAAGGGAAAGCTTACTCGCATCTAGTGAGTGTCTCCATGGTTAATTTGCATGGCTTGGGGTATCGCTAACGTCACTTCGAATAGCCAACCAAGAACCTACCTCGTCCCTGATAGGGAACGTACCGCGCCCTCCCCGCCTGGATTTTTTCGATGGGTCGGCCCTGTGTTTCGTACCTCCAGTTCTGAGTTCATTCAAAAATGTGGTCTCGACGCCTATTTCTTCCTGCGATACCTACGAATGCTCCTGAAAATATTCGTACCGCTAGGATGCCTTCTACTACCGACTCTTCTACCTCTGAATAAAGTGAACGGGAAGAACCAGAGTTACAAAAATGGGACCGCAAGTGGAGGCCAATGGAACGTCAGCGGTCTCGACCAACTAGCCTGGGGAAATGTCACCCCTGAAAATACGAGTCGCTACTGGGGCCACCTCATTATGGCTTTCATAGCTATCGTGTACGTATGCGCCGTGTTCTTCGATGAACTCAGAGGGTACATTCGCCTTCGACAGGCTTATTTGACTTCCCCGCAACATCGGCTTCGCGCATCTGCGACAACCGTGCTAGTGACTGCTATCCCTGAAAGCTGGCTTACGGTGGAAGCCCTCGATTCGCTGTTTGACGTATTCCCTGGAGGTATCCGCAACATTTGGATCAACCGAAACTACGACGATCTCAACGAGAAGGTGAAAGAAAGGGATGAATTGGCTCTAAAGCTCGAATCTGCTGAGACCGACTTGATTGTAAAATGTAAGAAGGCACAATTGAAGCAGGCGAAAGTTGAAGCCAAAAAGGCTGGCAAGGACGCTAAGGTGGTCGGCAAGCAAGAAAAGCAGGTGGCCGATAGGAAAGCTTCTCAGCTAGCGATGGATGCTGGTGTTAGTTCAGGTGACCCACATCAAGCCCATACGCTCAATCAAGTACTTCACCGTCGCGGCGGCTCCAAAAAAGAGCAGGATGAACAAGGGCATTGGAACCCTTTTGATCCGGCCATCGAGGCTGCCGAAGCGGTCGGCCAAGGAGTGGGAAAGCTGGGGAAATCTGTTCTGGGTGGCCTCAAGAAGGTCGAGGACGGAATTGATGGAACCCTAACTCGTACCGGAGGCTTTGTTCCTGAAGACAACCCACATGAGACGGCTGGAGAGCGGGGACGGTTTTCTGGTGGCAATGGGCCGCGCGAGTCTCTCTCGTTGAACGCAAAGCCCAGAGAGGCTGGCCAAGAGAATGGTTCGAATCACAAAAGCCCGAGGAATCAAAGCCCCAGTGCTGCGGGCCTAGGCTCATCCTCTCAACCAAAAAGGCCTTTCTGGAAAAGTCGAGGTTCAAGCAATTCTAAAACTAGCAGCAAGACTGAACCAGACGAGCTTCCTTTGACCGGCCCCGAAAGCCCCGTCGACGCGGAGGAAACACTCGACTCTGACCCCAATATCCTGCCGACAGGAAGAGAGGACAGTAAAGCCAATAAATCCGGGGGTCGCCTGGAAGGAGAAAAGGTGGACGGGGAAGAGTATCCAATCGCTTACAACGAAGATTTCGACAACGAAGACTTTGGAGAGCCATTGTGGAAGAAGTACATCAAAGACAAAGATCGCGACACCATGCGATTGCCAATCTTTGGTTGGAAATGGATGCCATCTATTTGGCTTATCGGAAAGAAGGTCGACACCATTGATCACTGCCGCAAAGGAGTGGCGCGACTGAACCTAGAAATCGAGATTGATCAGCAACACCCGGAGAAATTCCCGCTGATGAACTCTGCGTTTATTCAATTCAACCACCAGGTGGCAGCACATATGGCTTGCCAGGCGGTCAGCCACCACGTCCCCAAACAAATGGCCCCTCGCATCGTGGAAATTTCGCCCGACGACGTCATATGGGACAACATGTCAATCAAATGGTGGGAACGCTACCTCCGTACATTCGGGGTTTTCGCTCTTGTCTGCGCCATGGTGATCGGGTGGGCGTTCCCTGTAGCTTTCACGGGATTGCTTTCACAGCTATCGTACCTGGAGGATGCTTTCACCTGGTTATCGTGGATTTCGAAACTGCCAGAATGGTTTGTCTCTGCCGTACAGGGTATCCTACCGGCACTGTTTTTGGCCATCCTTATGGCCATATTGCCTTTGATCCTCCGTTTTCTTTGCCGAACTCAAGGTCTTCACACTGGCATGGCCGTGGAACTCACCGTCCAGCATTACTATTTCGCCTTCCTGTTCGTGCAACTTTTCCTGGTTGTGGCCATTTCGTCTAGTTTTTCCACTATCATCAACAACGTCACCAACGTCACCAGCTGGCCGGAACTCTTAGCACAAAATATTCCCTCGTCCAGCAACTACTTCTTCTCGTACATGATTCTGCAAGCCATGTCAGTGAGTGCTGGTGCTCTGGTTCAGATTGTGAATCTTGTCAGCTGGTTCATCCTTGCTCCTTTTCTCGACACGACTGCAAGGAAGAAGTGGGCGCGAACTACTAATTTGAACCAAATGCAATGGGGTACCTTCTTTCCCGTTTACACTACTTTGGCGTCAATCGGTAAGATACCAAAAGGAACAACGTCAAGGCCGAAGCTAATGTCTAGAATAGGGCTGATCTATTGCGTCATTTCACCACTCATTCTTATCTTCAACATCCTTACATTCGGTCTCTTCTGGTTCGTTTATCGGTACAATACCCTTTATGTCACCAAATTTCGCTTCGATACTGGCGGGTTACTTTTCCCTCAGGCCATCAATCAGCTATTCACAGGATTATACGTTATGGAAGTCAGCTTGATCGGACTGTTCTTCTTAGTCCGTGATGTGCAGGGCTCTGTTGCCTGCAAAGGTCAAGCAATCTTCATGATTGTGGTGCTCGTTCTCACGGCAGGGTATCAGATTTTGTTGAATGAGGCATTTGGCCCTTTGATTCGTTACCTTCCCATCACTCTAGAAGACGATGCCGTCCGCCGCGATGAGGAATTTGCACGCGCCCAAAGGGCAAGATTAGGCTTGCCAAGTGATGACGAGGAAGATGATACAGTTGAGCACCAACTCGCGGAGAACGAGCGCCGGGAACGCCAGGCTGATAGGGCATCTCACGACATCGAGTTGAAGCAAATCGAAGCCAACAAAGAAGAGCAGAAACACAAGCATACGACAAAGCGCCCTGGGATGGCGCCCAAACGTTCATCGTGGGCCAATTCACCCTCAAAAGGCCGGTCAACATACTTTGGTGGCAGGTCCGACGCCTCTGTTCCCAGTGTACAACGCATGCGGGAGAAAATCGCCGAGGACGCCGAGAACCAGGGCCCCCCTGCCCGCAACATTGGCCAGGGAATATTTGCTGGTATCCATGACGAATTAGAAGATCTAACTCCAGAGGAGCGCGATCAGCTGGTCCAGCGCGCTTTCCAACATGATGCTCTCCGGGCCAAACGCCCAGTGGTCTGGATCCCGCGAGACGATATCGGTGTCAGCGACGACGAAGTTTACCGTACCCAGCGATTCAGCAAACACATCTGGATCAGTAACGAGTATCAAGCCTTGGATGGCAAGTGCCGCACTATCTTCAGTCGTAGTCCTCCGGACTTCTCTCAGGTGGATCTGATTCAACTGTAAATATGGACAACACGGTCTGTGTACAATACAAAGAGAGAGAATGGTCTGGGAACATTGGTGTACATAATTGAATGACTGACATGACACATCTTGTTGCTTTGGTCGGTTCGCCGTGGCGTTTTGTGGGGTATTTTATTTGGCAGTCTGATGATTTCTCTCCAGGCTCAGCATAGCACGGGCATCTTTATTTCTTCGTGACCATTTCAAGCATTCTTAGAATGAAAGACCTATATGTCCACCTAGTGCAACCCAGCTGTATGTATAGTAGTGGTGGTCGTGGTGGTCGTGGTGGTCGTGGTGGTGGTCGTCGTCGTCTACTACACCCATCGCGGTATAAACCCATTCATCCAAACCCCGAATTTCATTGACAGTCAGCTCGCCCGCGCCAAATTTATTCTTCTTTCGCTTCTTTAGTCTGGCAAAGAGTAGTTAATTCCTCCATACTTGTGGTTGCGAACAACTCCAACTTAGCATTTCGACGATTCACCAGACTTCAAGGGACCTACCTCACCGTTCGCATGCGCCCACTTCGGCGAATCCTCTCGCGCAACAACATTCACGTATTCTTTGTTATTCATCTTCTTCTCGTAGAATTTGGTCTGCCTCTCTGGCTTCCCCGGTAGCATGGAGTATCCTGGCAATTGCTGAATGGATCGAAAGCAGTAATGGACTCGGAAGCTCGTGGGACGTGCCATTTTGACTGAAGGTGACCGATTGAGGCAAAGACCTCAAGAAGCGATGCCTTGGGTTATAATTGTGAAGTCGGTACACATTCCGTTCTTCGGTCTCATTCAGGGTGAAATCAAATCGACGGAACATCTCGTATAGATATAAGTCTTCTGGGGTCATTAATTGGCGACTGAGCGAAATTGGTCCTCGAGCAGAGTGAAAGAAAATATCGATACAGGTTGACCCAAATTGTAGAGGTGTCCATTTGCTCTCCTTCGTTCTTCCAACTACCCATCGCAAAAGGAATAATGTGTGCGCATTCGGTGCTAGTCACAGGCGTATCAGAACCCCGGGGAATACTTTTCTCTTCAAAATCACCTGTGATTACGCATTTCTGCCCATCACGTGCCAGATAGACTCTTCTCAGCTAGCTTTGCTCATCAAGCTCCGAGTCTTCCATGTCAGACCGATAGGAGATAGTTGTCCTTGGTGTTTTAGGTTGGACTCTGAACGGGAATAATAAGCCCTCGACAAGCGAGCGCGCATGTCTGTTAAGACTCAAGTCGTCTTGGCAATTTAGTATATCATCGATCAGGTTGCCTTTACCGTCTCGCGGGAGGTTCTCGAGAAATGCCATTAGGACACATTTCGTATCATCTTTTGTGTTGAATCGTCTATATTCTTCAAGGCGTTCTAGAGCCATTTCTGCGAATATAGATGTAGATGAGCTGGTACTTGAAAGTGGAAGCGACGCTGGCTTTTCTTGGGGCATGATTAAAGGCGAGAGAGGGTGTGGTTGACTTTTCGACATGAGAAAGTCATTGATAAATGGCAGATAGATGATCAACAGATGGTGGATAGATGATCAACAGATGGTGGATAGATGATAGATAGATGATAGATAGATGGTAGAGAGATGGTAGAGAGATGGTAGAGAGATGGTAGAGAGATGGTAGAGAGATGGTTTACTTCGATGAAAGGCCATTCAAGTAGGACGGTTAATAAGATGAGTCACAGATAGATTATCACCCAAAGTTTATTTCGGAACAATTAAAAGGAAATCATCCATACTCCTTGTGGCCCTCATTGCCACTTTCGTTAGTCTCGCCGTCAACGCCGTACCCTCGGCCAGCTGAAGGGCACCACGAGAAGATGATTCCAAAGCCCTACGACGACGGCTACGAAAACCCCACCATCGGATGAGCAAGGAATATTAGCCAAAGATGGGAGCACGGACATTGCAAGGCTGTTGTCTATAACTCGGCTCGGATACCAAAGAGAATCAACTGACCGTGAGAAGTGATTTGTACAGTAAAACACCCGCTAGCTGTCATTTTGACGGTGATCGTTCATCAGTTGCATTTCCGAATTCTGTCTATGTTTAATCCATGTATCTGCACAAGGGCAGTCGGTATTTCTCAATGCGCCAGTATGGTCGGCGCACGCCGTTCCATTCCTCCTCCAGCGTAGGCACGGGGATCTCCTCCCAATCAATATCGAATCCTGCCTCGAACAGATCCATCTCCACCACCTTCTGGTAGACATCGTAACTGATCTGGCGATCGGCACCCATGCCGTTGAAGAAGCTCCATTTACCTTCCTGGTCCAGCAAGCCGATGACCTGCTCGCTGAAGAACTCGCGGAAATCACCGTACGACTCGGCGAAAGTATCGTAGTAAATGGCATCGAACTGCTCGCCTTCTCCCACCAGGGCAGGGAGGATATCCTGCCATCTGCCCTCGTGAATCTTGACTCCGGGTTTCTGGTCCCAGCCCTTACTCTTCATTTGCGCGACCACGTCCGGATGCGCCTCGATGATGTGGTGTGCGGCAGGCGACTGCTCCTGTAGGAATCCATCCACAATGCCCATGCCGTGGCCGACGTTGAGCACACGCAGTCCCGGGGTCGGGAGAAGCTTCTTCGCCGACTTGGCCATGATGTCTGATTCCCAGGCCATCATCACACCGTTCTGGTCCTGATCCAGCAGGCGATCCTGCTGGAAGGTAAGGTTGGAGTCTAGGTAGCGCGATTGAGACACATCCGGCCCGGCAGCCTCAACCTGTGTAGCATCAACCAATTCAGGCGCCGTCTGGTCATCGACGGCCGTAGCCTGCTCGTCCTGCGTTTTCTCAGCGTCCTCGCCGCCTTCTTCCTCGTCCTCGTCCATCTCTGACAGCTCCTCGTATCCGTCTAGTCGGTTAAGCAGCAATTCAGCCCGAACACCCGCATCCACAATCATTTCGTACAGCTCGTTCTGTCCAATGCGTTTCGCGATACATCCGGGTGTCTCGTTGTTCAGATCTAGGTCATTCCAGATTGCTCCCTCCTGCAGGAGGAAACTGACGGTTTTCACGCCCGATTCCACGACGCTTTTGTCCTGGCCAGGCTGGACGCCATTTGCCTCGGCACCATTGGGTGCCCCATTGACGGGCTCATCGTCCGCTTCACACGCCGCGATGGCCGCATGGAGGGGAGAGTATCCTGTTTCCGTGTCCTTGACGTTGGCGGCGTTGGGGACGGCCTCTTGAGAACGGATCAGGCGACGGAGCTTGGGGATATCATGTTGCGAAGCGGCAAGGAGGATCTCTTGGGTTTGGAGGTCGATTTGAATCTCTGCGTTTGGATCGATTTGGATCTCTATGTTTTGGTCGGCCATGTCTGGCGGGGAAATGAGTTAGCTTTCGCTGTCAATCGTTGAAGACTTTGAGGACCGTCAATGCGGGGCACCTGCGACCAGGGAAGAGGGGTATGTGTACTTCTTGCGGAATGGGGATGATCGGGATATGTTTGAGAATCAAGGCAGAGAAAAAAGGCCAGTCAATATATATAGCCTTTGGCACCCACCGATCTATAACTGAAAGTGACGGTGGAGCTGGGGAGATGCAGAAGGGAAGAGTCGCCGAGTATAAAATTTCCGCCCGCCGCTTTCGTCGAGGCGCGGAGAAAAAGCGAGAAATCCACGTTACGCGAACACCGAGGAAGAGAGAGCTCTACACGTCGCCATCAACAGGCAGGTCCAGAATGAGAGAAGAGAAACATTTCGCCTGATAATTCGGAGAAACTCGAAGACAACTATTTGTACAGATACCCCATGCTACTTCTCCCCTCAGGGTCGCGCATTCCACCGCAACGTCGAGACCGACAAGAACGAGCACCATTACATTTCAATTAAAAACAGACCAAAGTCAAGAGAAGCTGCTGTCGCCCTCTTGTAATAAACTCCTTTTCTCATGCGAAGGGGATTATGCTTATTTTTCCTCGCTGTTGACGTTGACGTTCAAGCCCAAGCCCTGCGAATCCAGGTACAGCTTGTTCTGGGCGCCGTTCTCCTGCAGGATCTGGGCAATTTGGCGTGCGTTCTCAATCTTTCGTAGCTCGATGTAACTCTTGCTCTTCTTGATCGCATCTCCGATCAGCTCGGCGGACCGGGCCTCACCCTGGGCACGGACAATGAAAGCCTGCTTCTCTTGGCGGGCCTTGTCGACCAGGAAAGCCGCCCGTTGGGCTTCTTGCTGAGCAACCTGCTTGGCTTCGACGGCGGCGGTGAATTCGGGGGAGAATGTTAGGTGCTATTATGGACACCGATCGCATTAGTCATCGTCGAAGAACTAGCATGGAACAAACCGGGTTGGAAAGGGCATACCGTAAGCGACACATCGTCAAGGGCAATGTTGAACCGGGCTGCGCGGCGGGCAAGGTTATCCCGCACCAGTCGAGCGACATTCTCACGCTGAGTGATCAGCTGGCTGGCGTTGAACTGGGCCACCACGCTTTTCAGGACCTCGTTCACAATCGACGGAAGCACACGCTCGTCAAAGTCTTTACCGAGGGTACGGTAGATTTGCGGAAGGGCATCGACTCGGGGTCTCGACAGAACACGGCAGGTAATGTTCACCATCTGCAGATCCTTGGTACCCGTCAAAGAGGCGATGTTCCGGGGCTTCGCGCGCACGTCATAGACAACCGGCGTCTCGACCCAAGGAATGTTGATGTGAGTTCCTTCACGAGAGAAAAGCAGTCAGACAAGAACTTGGCAAATGATCCCACGGGGCTAGCATAGACCATACCTTCGCTGTAGATATCCTTCTTCACACCACCGATCCTGGAGTACTTGATGGCACGGTGACCACCATCAACTATACACCGTCGCACGTCAGTCACGATCTAAACATACTGACTTGAAGAGCCACAGCTATGGCGAGAGGCCAACCATACCGTTGAAGAATGAGTTCGAGATGGCATATCCTGCGAGACCGACAGCGACGAGGGCGGCAATGGCACCACCTCCGGGGCCTCCACCGGGGGGCCGGATGGGCATACCGAACCCTCCGCGGCCGCCGGTCCTCTGCAGCATCCGCTGGAGCTTCTCCAGCTGTTCCTTTGGTGATTGAGACATGATGGGTGATGGTGTGGGTGAGAATGGAGGAAAAGCAGGTCGGAAGGTGAGACGAATTGAAGCCGGCGGAGGTTCTGCGGCTGCTCTCACCGCCCGCGGCATTTCCCTCAATTGCATCGCCGTTCATTGTTCCTTCCTCGTCTTTGTCAATCTTCTCCTTTCCACAGAGGCGCAACGGCTTCCTCCTTCCAATTCATCTGCTTTCTTGCATATCTCGACCCTGCTACCATCGCCCAACCAGAAAGTGTGGCCATACCCCCGCTGAGCCCGATCGCGCACGCTCTTCTCGCCAAACACGGAGAGCTTGACAGATTGATCGACAGAGCTTGAAATTCTACCGAGTCGCAACCATGGCGCCTGAAAGAGCTGGCAAAAGTGTTTTCCTGGGGAATATCCCCTATAGTATGTTCTCCATAGTCCCCTATCGATGTCTTTCAAGTGCTAATCTCTGTCATTGCAGATCTCAGCGAGGAACAGGTCAAAGACATCCTCAGCACCGCCGGCACAGTCACCAAATTCCGCCTGATGATGAACCCGGAGACAGGAAAACCAAAGGGATATGGCTTTGCAGACTTCGCCGACGCCGACGCGGCCGCCTCTGCAGTTCGAAACTTGAACGATTACGAGATTATGGGCCGAAAGATTCGTGTGGATTGGCCCCATAACAATGAAAAAGACTCGATCCCTCCGGATTATTCGCAGACAGGCCAAATGCCCGGACAAGCAGATAGACAACTAGGAGGTCAACAGCAGTCGGCCCCGTTGCCTCCACTGCCCCCCGGTGTGGAATTGCCCCCGCATCTCGATTGTCCCAACGCGATCTCTCAAACCCTATCCTCTCTTCCTCCCAATCAGCTCCTAGAGGTGCTTTCTCAGATGAAGCAGCTGGCCACCGTTGAGCCTGCGCGAGCCGCCGAACTCTTGCGAACGGCCCCCCAATTAGCATACGCCATTTTCCAAGCCTTGCTTCTGATGAATCTAGTGGACTACAACACCCTCGGCTCGGTTGTGGAGCAAGCCGCGCAGCCTGCTGCTGCCGCTCCTCCTCCTGTTGCTACTACGCAGGCCTTCCAGCCTTTCTCTGCGGTACCTGGCCAAATCTCCACGCCTCCGATGGCCAATACACCTTTCAACCCCCAGCCGGTACCGCAACCTGCGCCGCAACCACAGGTTCCTGGCCAGGACGAGCTGCTACAGCAAGTGCTCTCCATGCCCCAGTCGACCATCGATGAACTTCCCCCAATGGAACGGACTCAGATTATGCTGCTGCGACAGCAGCTCATGCAAGGCGGAATGCGATAAATGAGCCTAAACGAGGAGGCGTTTTGATGTTCTTTGATTCATTTTGGATAATCGACTTTTCTTTTGATCAGCAGATGGGATGGCGCATATGGTTCACTTGCAATTGTCATTCGGATGTATACTTAGATACGTGGAAGATATCCCATATTTGGTTCTTTTCCTTTCAGCGGAGATGTCGTGGTCATGCAGACTATCGAATTTAGCTTCTTAGTTTTTTCGATGCAGTCTGGTTCTACATTCCTTTCGGTTAGATTTATCGTAGTCATTTGTAGTAGATACTTATTGGGTGGCTCCTAAGAATTGGAATGGCCAAACTCGGAGCTTGAAAAAAATATATTCCCACCAACAGACAGCCCCAGAATACTCCGCCCTTCGTTTCGTATTCTTTGCAGATGGTCAATGTAAAAGAAAGAGAGAGAGAGAGAAGAGAGAGAGCGAAGATAATACCACAGGTATGCCATTCGTTTCCGTGTACAGGCAAAGTCCTCGCCGAACCTCAGGCATCAATATAAATCCATAATGTACAGTGAGACTATTCCCAAAAATCTGGGTTATTCGGTAGGCTACAAAGGAAATTTCTTATCTGTTGAGTTATACAAAGTCTTTCTTCTGCTGGATTGGTCAAGAAGATCAACAAAGCTGATGGATCTAGAACATTGATAGGCCTTCATGCTTCGCCTAGATACTATCTCAACTACCTAGAATGCGCTATGAAGATCCAAATGAATAGTCTGGAGCTTTGTTTCCAGCAGCAAACAGGAAGGAAATATTGGGTCGCTCGTTATCTCCCGTTTGTAGTTGGGTTTGTCTTGATTGCCTACTGGCCCTGAAGGAATCAGGTACCAGCATCAAGCAGGGAAAACTTCCAGTCACAGTACAAATTTTCTCCCCTGACAAATACAGGGCATAGCTTGCATTTCTTTCAGTTGGAGGGCAGAATGTTTGCTCTATGTGCCTTCTAACCGCTGTACTATATCAAACGGATACTTGATATCTACTCAATCCTATAGATCTGGCAGTATGTACCAAACAGTATAGACAAACTACAGAGATACACACCCCTCCAAATTTCTCATCCAAGCCCAAGACAATGAAAAGAGTCACGTAGCGCAAGTAAAGGCAGCGGCGCAATCAATTCACTGGTAGACGTCCCAGGACCCGCATCATGTTCGGTTCACCCATTGCATCGTCAGCCCAACCACCACTGCACTAGGCGAAACGTTCCATTTCTTCTGTCCTAGTGCCTTTCCTCTGTTCCCCCCTCCATTTCCCACTTTTTTTCTTCTCCCCCTCCTCCTTCTCACCTTACCCCTTCTCACCGCTTTCCTTTTGTTTACACCTTCTCACCACCATCCACTCCACGTGATCCATACGTGCCCTATCTTGATATCTTTATCATTTGGACTGTTGGATGCGTGCAATCTACTTCTTTGTCTACTTTCTTATGTATCCTTCTTTTTGGGTCTGTTTTGGCTTGGAAAAACAGGAGAAACGTACTCTCAAAACAGTCCACATGATCCTGACGTGTCCTATCCTGACTCTCTTCACATCTTCACATCTCCCTACCTTTCTCTCGTTGAACGTGTCCAGACAATCCTATTGATTGGTCTCTTTGTGTATTCTTTTTTGGGTTTTCTTTGGATCTCTTTCTGGCCAGGAACAGAGATCTTGTCAGCTCCAGTGATTTGGATGTGTCTTGTCTCATTCCCATTCTGTTTCTCACGCCTTCACGTTGCTTCGCTTCTACGAGTTGTTTGTCTAGGACGTGTCTTTCTTCAGAAATACTAGGCTCTGGTTCTTTCTTTTCCATTATTTCATTTTTCTTTTTGGCTTCTGGCTCTTGTTGGGAAAGACTGAAGAAAGAGCTCATCTACTGCACGTGATCCGCTCATACCCTATCTCACATCTCTTCACATCTTCACATTCGCAATCTGCGTGTCTTTGAGCGTGTCAAAGTGAGAAGACTGTCTTTCAAATCTTTGTGTTCTCTTCCTTGGACTTCTTTCAAGCCAGGTAGTGAGAAACCTCATTCACTCCACGTGACACCATCATACCCTATCTCATACCCATCACAACTTCATCCTTTGTATCATCGAGCAGGGTTAAGAAAGTCAGCTTGACTGTCTCTTGTCTTCTGTCTACAACCTTCTACATTATACACATATCAGTCGAACTGATAGTCTGTATCCCGCACTTGTCTTGAGAGAAAGACACCTGAAAAAATCTTCCACATACCCCAACCCCAATCCCAATCCTTCACCCCCAATCTTCAAGAAAGCAAGAAGAAGCTCCTCAAAGATGCCTCCCAGAAAAAGAAGATCCACCGCCACCCTCGCCGGCGACAACAAACGTCCCCGTCTTGACAGAAAAGGCTGGCCCAAGACCCAATCCGAGTGCGAGTTCTACGGTTTCCGCAATCCCGTTGAATACGACGCCGACGTGGACGAGAACATCCCCGAGCTGGTGCGCAGTCGGCCATACGATGGCAAGAAGCACTACAAGGCGCGCTTGGCAGAGGGGCTTCCCCCGATGCATGATCTAGAGGAGATCTATCAGTCGATCACAAGCAAAGCGCTAGAGCTGGGCTTTGAGAAAGTGCTAGAGCACCTTGGAGGTAGGCCGTTGCGGGTGGCGACGGTATGTTCGGGGACGGAGAGTCCGTTGTTGGCGTTGGAGATGGTTAAGGCTCGTAAGTTCTTTCTCCTTTCCTCATTCTGTCCTTTTCCTTGTTCTTGTTCTTGTTCTTCTGGGTGATTTGAAGAAAGAGGGAGGAGACAAATGGAGGGAGGCATTCCTTGACCGACCGACTGACTGATTGAAATGACAGAATTGAAAAAACATTTTGGCATGACATTGCAGTTTCGACATCTCTTCAGTGCTGAGATCGTGCCGTTCAAGCAGGCGTACATCGAGCGCAACTTTCACCCTCGCCGTGTGTTTCGGGATGTGAATGAGCTGAAAGATCGAGTGGCGTAAGTTATCTTGTTTCCTGACTACCGGTTTCAGAACGTTTTGTTGAGAAAATTTTCATTTTCATTGCCATTTGTTTTTGGTTATTTTCTATTTTAATTGTTTTTTTGTTTTCTCATTTCACTTATCTTTGACAGAAACCCCCAACTAACACTGACATTTTTTATGAAACAGAAAAACCGCGTACGGGTCTCTGGAAAAGGTCCCCAAGAACGTGGACCTCCTGGTGGCAGGCTTCTCCTGCGTTGACTTCTCCGGTCTTAACAACAACCGGAAGACGCTCGACGACAAGGGGGAGTCCGGAGGAACGTTCTGGGCGATCGTCCGCCACGCAATGGTCTACCGCCCCCGGATGATCATCCTGGAGAACGTCAGCTCGGCACCCTGGAAGACGATCAGTCAGGAGCTCGCGGATATTGACTACCTGGGGATTCATGTGCCCGTGGACACCAAGGCCTACTACCTGCCTCAGACCCGCGAGAGAGGGTACATGCTATGCCTTGACATGAGGCGGATGAAGGTTCAGGGCCTTACCGACCAAGAAGTCATCAAAGGATGGCCCGAACTCGTTCAAAGCTTTCGGCGTCCGGCCAGCTCCCCCATGGGTATGTTCACATTGTCCGCAGACAACAAGCAGCTGGAACAGATCGAGAAGGACATGGCGGCCCATCAAGCGGCGGCGACCACGCGCTCAAATGTGGGCTGGGCGAGGTATCAGCTTCGCCACCACTATTATCGCATGGACAATGACCTTGGCCACAAGCGTCCCGTGACCAGGTCCCAGGATAACGGTGCCCGACAGATGCTCGACTTTTGCTGGAAGAGATTCTGTGCGGTCGTTCCAGAGAGGGTGGCTGAGACCATCGACTGCAATTTCCTTCGAAAGCTCCAGGGTGATGGTTACGACATGAGCTATAAAGAGTAAGTTGAATCCCTCTCTCCATGTAGGTTTCATGCCATACTAACGCATCTTTCAGGCGATGTTTGGAGCTCTCTCAGGGAATCGAGCGGGATATCGACAGTCGGGCTTATGGCGTCATTGGCTGTGTCACTCCCAGTGGCATTCCTTATCTCACCACAAGAGGAGGCCCCCTGTGCGGCATCGAGGCTCTCAGCCTACAAGGATTGCCTGTTAGCAAGCTCATCTTAACACGGGAGTCGCAGCGTGACCTACAGGATCTGGCAGGAAACGCAATGAGTTCGACTGTCGTCTGCGCTGCGATGCTCGCCGGTCTGATTATCGGCCATGCAGTCTTCGAGAAAGGTAAACGCCCCTCTTCGCCCAGATGCAGCACCTCCAAGGCCAAGAGCATCACTTTCAAGGAAGCCGTTCCGTTGGCCCCCAGCAATCCCGATGCGCCTCGTTCGGATGACGTCTCTGACATCGGCACACTTTTGGAAAGAGCCGCCCCCAGTGCCAGGTACTGTATTTGTGAGAAGCAATCGACAGTCCGTCAGGACATCCTCAGATGTACACTGTGTGGGCACACTGCGTGCGCAAGCTGTGCTGGCAATCCAAGCCATTCATACACCCCCCTGCAAGTGATGAGAAACCCACCTGCGGACTTCGTGACGGATCTTAGAAAGATCATCCCCAACAGACTGGCTGTGTCCGGTATAACCGCGGAGAGCTACAGTAGCCTCAAAAATGACACCTCGGTGATTTGTCCTTCCGTCATCTGGGAAGACTACATAGCCGCTGTGATTCAAACGGTGGGTGACGAGCTCCACTTCTCAGACATCACACGGGGAACAGCTTGGGTGGTCACTTACGTGGGTGAACATTCGACCCTCAACCTTGTCATTAACCCGGCAAGCGGGGTCGAATGGCGTCTATTTGCCAAGGCCCTCGAAACCGAGCCCGCGCGTTCAGTGAACCGGGAGATTCTTGCGAAGCCAATTGCGCGGATGCGGGTCACGTCAAACTCCATGTTTGAAGGTACCTGGCAGGTTTGTGCCCCGCTGAGCTCAAGCTTGGATCTCATCTTTGAACCGGCGGGCGAGCAAGTGCCGACTTATGAGGCAATTTGCGGCCTGCAGGGAGAAGGAGTCCCATCATCGAAAGTGTGGTCCCAGGTCGTCATCCAAGGCTCCGATGAGGACACAAGCAGCCTCGAGGTCGATTTCCGAGGGACATACAAGCTTTTGCCTGAGTGTGGCACGGCGAGTGCATCTCTTCACAAAAAGGAGGCCAGCGAGGGCAAGCCAGCGGTATATCTCTTCCTGGATCCGACAAAGCTGGGCGAGCCAAAGTACGACTCATTCGTCTTCGCCTTGGAGCATGCACGAGATCCTAGCTATGCACCGCGGTTAACTATTGCCGAAGTGACTCACACTTGGCGTCCGAGCAGACAGCCCAAAACTCACCAGGAGTCTGTCCGTACCTATCATCGCAGATGGGCCGATGTCAAAACGATCTACTTGCAGCCCTACTCCTCCGATGCCCCTATCACCTTCCAAAGCCTCGAGCCGGGGCACACTATCTCGATCGATCACACTGGCTGCAGAACGGAGAATATCACCTTGTTATCATTGTCAGCACCAGTGGACACTATTGGCTCGTTTGGGGGCGTAGGAGCGTGGGAAGTCATCAATCCTTTGGACTCACCGGCTGAGTTGAGGGATCTCGCTTGGTTGCTGCTCAGAGCCACCACCTCTACCGGCTATGAACAGTGGAACCGGATCATGGAAATGCAGGCATTGAGTAGGGATGGCAAATTTTCTGGATGTACTGTTTGCACTCCCCAGAAGCCAGCGATGGTCTGGAGCTGCAATAAACGGGGTCTCATCAAAGCCTGCGAGGATCCTCAGGACGCTGCTCTATACGAGAGGCAGCTCAAGTCGAAGCCAGTCCCTTTCTTGGTGTTCCGCCGGGTGGACGAGAACGATTTTGGAAACTTGCGAATTACCCTCAATGTCCAGACTCTCCTACACCAGGCGTACAACAAATTTCTTGGCTCAAGCACCGTTGACGGTGTCTCTTTTCTTTGGCGCTTGGTTCCTAACGCACACGAAACGAGAAATTTGGCATTCTCAAAGTTTGAGCTCGGTAACAACGACGCAGACCCCCCATCCATCCAGCCCCCCAATTTTAAGCTCACGCTGCGGCCAGAACAGCTTCGGTCTTTACATTGGATGATCAAGCAGGAGTCTGACGAGATCGAGCCTTTCGTTGAAGAGGAGGTGGAGGAAGCCCTACTCCCTGAACTGACGTGGCGGGCGGAGGCGAAAGTGAGCGCTCCCAGGACGATCCGTGGCGGTCTTGTCGCAGATGACGTTGGTTACGGGAAGACGGCCATCATTCTTGGATTGATCGATGCGCAATCCAGACGGGACAATGCGCCCAGACCTGCACTGACAAACGGCTTCATCCCAAGCAAGGCGACCCTCATTCTGACTCCTCGCACGATCTTCACACAATGGATGCTCGAGATCACCAAGTTCCTTGGGGCGAAATATAAAGTCCTTGGTTTCAGTAAGAGCACTGACCTCGACGAGGTAACGATTCGCGAGATTCAAGAGGCGGACATTGTCTTAATCGCCTGGGAAGTTTTCGGTGATCAGAAATATTACCGGAAAATGCAAATGTTTACCGGTATGCAACGGGTGCCCCAGCCAGAAGGTCGCAATTTCGTAGACTGGTTTTCCGAGGCCCATCAGGCCCTCACCGGACAGGTTGACACCCTCATGAACAAAGGCCCCTCTGCATTCCTCGACTCCTTGCAGGCCAGACGCCAGAAGTGGAAAAATGCCACGGCGAATTTTACCTACACCCCATCCAAGCGACTGAGAGGAAGGCATTATGCGGAAGCCAATGCAGATCAACCTCGCGATGCAGGAATTGACATCGAATACGCAGCCTTATCTGCCAACGAGGAGTCAGACACTGATGACGAAAGAGATCCCGCCACCCTCCGGTCCAAGATATCCGAACTCGTTAAACTCCAACCACTGAGAACATTTGCTCCTCCAAAGAGGAAGAAGAAAGGAGAGACGGGGGAGCAGGACGTGGAAGGAGATGCAGTGAACGAGGAGGCAAATGAAGAAGCTGCTACGGTCGAATCAGATCGCGATGACACCGAATATGAGGACATCGATGCTCCCTCAGGCCAGAAGTCTGCCCCCTCGAGCCGTGATGCCAGCTCAAACCACGAAGTTCTTGCCAGAAGAAATAAGAAAGACAAGACCACCAAGCAGGGCCAAAACTTGTTCTGGAGTGACAGAGAAGGGTTCGGCATAGACAGAAAGACAAAGGATCGAGATTGGGACACAACGAAAAACCTGACGATCCATGCTTTCTCGTTTGAACGTCTAGTGATCGATGAGTTCACATATGTGAAAGTTGAACCCAAGCCCATCGCAGCTCTACAAGCTCACGCGCGATGGGTGCTCTCCGGGACGCCGCCCTTGAATAACTTCGCCGATGTGAACACGATTGCGCCGCTTTTGGGGATCCACCTCGGTGTCGACGATGATGACGTGAAGACACATAATAAGCTTCGAAAATTGAAAAAGAAAATTCAGTCCGACGCGGAGATCTTCCAAGCTTACCGAGCCCCCCGAAGCGAGACATGGCACCGAAATCGACATGAACATGCCCAGACGTTCCTCGACCGCTTTGCCCGCAAGAATGTTCCTAAGATCGGCGAAATCCCGCTCACGGAGCATTATATCCTCGTTACTCTATTGCCAGCAGAGACAGCAATCTATTATGAGCTTCATAGGCAACTTTTGGGGTTGGAGGAGCAGGTCATTCGCGGCAGCCGGAGTAAAATCGGCGGCGAACGGACAAAGCAAATTGACGAGGTCATTAGCAGTAGCAACTCAGCCGACGAGGCACTGCTCAAGCGCTGTACAACTCTTGCTCTCAGCAACCAGTGGAAGAACGAAAAGCCGGAGGTCACCACCTGCAAGTCTCTCATTGAGACGCGCCGGGGCCAAATCGCCGATGCCAAGGAGATGTTCACTAGGGAAGTCAAGTTAGCCACTTGGCTGCGGGGAAAGGCTGACAAGAACGAACCTCATTTCCCGAAATTCAACGAGAGTGTGAAGGGAGATGGCTTTGGTGACAATGCGGTGACAGCCGAAGCCGAAGCCGTTATCCAAAAGGCTTCTCTTGATCAGACGGAAGATGATTGGCAATTCTTCTTTTTAGAGCCCAAGCAAAGGACCGGCAAAGCAGCGGCAGGAGAGACACGTGAGAGCGCAGATGGAGGTACGCCAACGAATCAGAAAAAGGAGGACAAACTGCCTGCGCTGCCGGTAAGGCCAGAGAAGAAAGATGATATCGACGCAGTGCTGAGAAGAACCGTGGCAAACATGCGCAGTTATCTTGCAGAGTGGGTTATGCGAATAAGGGCCCTCAGATTCCTGGAAGCCATGCATCGCGTGCAAGCGAAGCTGGAGTTGAATTGCGACAAGTGCGATCAGAGGGACCTCAGTCCAAGTAAAATCATCATCCTCGATTCATGTGGCCATTCGATCTGTTCCACCTGTGCTGTGCAATTCAAGACCAGCGAAGAGTGTGTGCTCTCCACCTGCGACGGCGTAGCCAAGAAGGAGAATTTCGTAGACGCATCAGAGCTTGGCGGCAACGAGAAGGATGTCAGCGCACGATACGGAGGGAGCAAGATGGACAAACTGATTGAGGTCATCGAAAACATACCGGAAGGCGAGAAAGCGTTGTTATTTATTCAGTTTGAAGAGCTCATGAAAGCGGCCTCAAAGGCCCTCACTCTCGCCCAGATCGAGCACACCGCAATCTTCGCCGACGATAAGGCGTCCACGAAGCAGCTAGAAAGGTATCTGACAGAGGGATTCAGAGACAATCGCGTTTTAATGTTAATGTTAGGGAACGAAATGGCGGCGGGCCTGTAAGTCAAACCCAGCGGTTTCCGATCCATTATGCTCTGCAAGCATGGCTGACGTCTGAATTAGGAACCTCCAAGAGGCCAATCACATCGTATTCCTCTCCCCAATGCTTGCAGAGACTCAGTACGATTATGAGTCAACAATGATCCAGGCAGCAGGACGGGCCCGGCGGTACGGACAGACGAAACACGTCCACGTGTATCACATTCTGGCCAAACGGACTGTGGACGTGTCCGTCTTTAAGTACCGCCGGGGCTCCGTCCTGCGACAGGGGTGAGAGGGGTACAGTGTGACTCTTGGGGGGGAGGGGGCAAACAATGAAGACCGTACGCTCAGGAGTAAGGAAGGTGGGGGGGAAAGAGATGAGATGAAGTTTGAGAGTTCAGTAGGGGAAGTGAGAAGAGGAAGAGGAAGAAGAGGAAGTCTTAACTTGAGGCTGGGCCCCGAGCACATGACCAAGGAAAAGGTGGAAGTTCTCGCTGAGGAAAGAACTCAGCTGGAAAGTCACGGTGAGACTCGAAAACACATGGATTTATTGGATGCTGCTAAACTAACTCTTCAATAATGGCAGGTCGCGAGAACCGCCCACCATGATCTGAGATTTTTGGCCTTCCTTCGAGGAACAAAAAAAAAATGAGGAACAACGTACTGTACAATAATTGACGCCTGGAGGTCCCTGTTCGTTACTACCAACCAGGATAAAAAATGAAAATGAATATGAAACTGAAAACTAGACAATCACAAGACATCAAGCCAAAGACAAAACTCCCTTCGCTTGAATTATGAATTATCTGGAATTTATTGCTGCTGATCCAAAGCACCGTCCTTTCGCATCATCGTCTCGGGGTCCCACACGGGCTCCCGCAGGTTCGTGAGTCCAATGCTGTTCTCACAGCTCTCTCGGCCGCTCAGAGGTCCGGGGGCAGGCACCTTGACGGGGTTTCCGGCCTCGGTGGCAGTCGTGGAGTCCTTCAGCGCGGTAAGCAGGGTCTTGATCGACTCGGGAGTCAGGTCCTCGTAGTAGTCATCGTTAATCTGGACCATAGGAGCGTTGACACAGGCACCCAGACATTCGACCTCAACGAAAGTGAAGAGGCCGTCTTCAGTGGTGTGTCCGGGCGTAATGCCAAGGTGCTCCGTGATAGCCTTGACGATCTTGTCACTACCGCAGCCACCCAGCTGGCACGGCGTCTGAGAAGGGATCGGGTCAGTATGTGTCACAACCCCATTGTCGAGCGGAGGGAGTATGGAAGATATCATACCGTTGTGCAGAGCTGGACAAAGTACTTGCCCACGGGCTCCCGGTTGTACATGGTATAGAAGGTTGCGACTTCGTAAACCCGCATGGGGGGCATCTCCAGGAGGCGGGCGACCTCGTTCATGACGCTGATGCTGGTGAAGCCGTGCTGGCGCTGACCGAGGTCCAGCAGAGGCATGACGGCGGCCTTCTTGTACTGGGGGGGATAGCGCTTGAGGATCTCATCGGCGAGTCTGAGGTTCTGCTCGGAGAACTGGAAGGGGATGGTCGGGTTGTTGGTGGGCTTGTTGCGGTGCTAATAGGGATGACCGGTCAGCAAAACATCGATCAGGTCGATAATCCGTCGCATTGGAATCAATTGAGCCGACCGAACGGATCCGTGATATCCGCGACAGCTCAGCCCTCCTGGACGGGCTCGTGCACAATTCTCAACGTACCACGGCAAGGGAGTCGCTCAATCGTTGCGGACCAGCCGAGAAGGGTCTGCATTGGGACTTGGGGACGGACTGGAGCAATTGACGACCGACCCGCGGGACGACGGGGAAGAATTTGGAAGCCATTGCTGGCGGCGGAGGGGAGGATGGCGAGTGGGAGAGGAGGGGGACGATGAAGATGAAGACGAAGATGAAGCGATGAGATCGACTTTCCACTCGGAGTCGAAGAGGCGTTTTGCGGGTTGCTGCCTGGGGCCAATCAGGGGCGACAGATTACTCCCGCCTTCTGCGCCAATGACCGCTACAGGGCAGTTCCACTTCTCTTCCATCATCACTTCTCTCATCAACTGCATTCAAGTTACGAAGTCTTTTTATCATCAGAATGGCCGATTTACTCTGGTTTCATATTCCTACACATTCTCCATCTTATAAACCTCATACGCCACCTCCTCGTACGGATGCGCCTGGACCAACGCCTCCACCGCATGCAACATAATTGACCGTCCCAAACACATCACCTCGACCTTCATCTCCTCCACATACTCCAACGTTCCCACCGCCCCAATCGCCGGGTTCGCGCCTCCCGCTGGCATGAACTGTCCCTGTCCGGGCATCTGGAAGCAACACTTGATATATTTACCTCCCGGGAAGGTGCCGGCGCCCGTTGCGAACACGGCGTCCTTGACGGTATCGAGATGCGAGTGGGGCACGAAGAAGACCAGCTTGTAGCGGTCGGGGATTGCGTCTGATGACATGGCTCTTGTTTGTAGGTGTAGATGTCGATGTAGACGAGTAGTATTGGAGATGATGAGTCCTTTGGTAGGTCTCGAAATGCGAGTGGCCGGTGTGGAAGGTAGGAGGGGGATGCGTAGACCCGATTGCGAGAGCGATGCTGGGGCGTGAAGGAACCGGTTCCTGGCGTTACGAGAGGGCTTCGAGATGGCTTTGCAACCAGTAGAGAAGGTTACGCTGGTCAAGGAGCGTGCTTGCATCGTCGAGCTTTGAGAGGTGAAGATGACGTCGTGACACTCGAGCTAGGCTTGTTTGCGTGGGTGGTGGTTAGTAATCCGTGGGGCTCTAACTAGTTAACTACTATGGAGTACATCGAGCATGTCTGCTTACCTCCTGTAAGCGCCTGAATGAAATGTGATGATAGCGGGCCCTGTGCTGTATACCTAGCGGCCTGGTATATAGAGAAAGCCTACCTCTCTTAGTTTTTCGCAGCAATTGAGTGCTGGTGGCAGCCTGAAGCTGTGGCTGTACTTTACTTCCAGGGGATATGGTATATAATTATGACGGAGCAGGTTGCTGGTCTCTTACACCTCTACAGTCCCTGGTACAAAGTAAAACAGTCATTGCATTTCATTAATCATCCCCTAGGTATTCCACCTCATACAGCCACAGCCCCATGCTTCTTAACGTGAGCATCGATATGACCCAACAACTCCGCCTTCCTCTGCTCATCAATCCAACTCTCACTGACACTATTCTGCGCAATCACCTTCCACTCGTCCACCGAGAGCTGATGTGCCTCCTGCACAGCACAGTAGTTATCCAGAATATACCCCCCAAAGTAAGCCGGATCGTCACTGTTAATCGAGAACTTGACGCCCGCCTCCAGGAACGTCCGAATCGGCACCTCCGCAACGGACTTGACGCACCGCAACTGCACATTCGAGATCGGACACACGGTCAACATGACGCCGTCGCGGGCCACGCGGTCCATCAGCACGGGGTCCTCGACGAGACGAATCCCGTGGTCAATCCGTCTAGCACCCAACTCCAACGCCGTGCTGATGTACGACGCGTCGCCTTCCTCGCCCGCGTGCGCCGTCAACCGGATCCCCCGCTCCGAGGCAGCGCCGTACAGAGACCGGAACATGTCCTTCGGGGGCCCGACCTCCGTCGAGGACCATCCCAGGCCATGGACGAGGTCAGTGTCAAAGGACTGGTGCGCCAGAGCCTCCTCGTAGACCGAGGCAGCCGACTCAACGGAGAGATGGCGCACAAAGCAGAGGATAAGACGCGTGGAGATGCCAAGTTCCTGCTCGGCGCGCTTACACCCCGCCACGAAGCCCGCGACGATAGTAGCGTAGGGAATCTGGCGATCGCGATGCACCTGGGGGTCGAAGAAGACTTCGGCGTGATGGACCCCGTCGGCGTGGGCTTTTTGGAAATAGGCCCAGGCGAGATCAGCGAAGTCGGACTCGTGTTGGAGCACCGACATGCCTGTGAAGTAGAAGCCGAGGAAGTCGTCCAGCGACGTGAAGTGGCCGTAGCGCTGCGTCAGGGTCGCTACGGACTCGTAGGCTGGGTCCTGGGGCAGCTGCACGCCGTTTTTCGCGGCAAGTTGGAAGATTAACTCCGGGGTGAGGCAGCCTTCCAAATGAACGTGGTGTTCACATTTGGGGAGACCGTGGAGGAAGTCGTGCAGGTCGGATTGACACATCGTGCTGAGAAACGAGTGTAAGGGGAGACAAATAAACCCAATGGAATAAAATGGGGGTATGTAAAAAACGATTGGAAAATATCCCGGATACAATGAGCGACAGTGAACAAGAAGAAGAAAAGCACCGAACCCTTTTTGAAAGATTTCTAGAAGCAACAGGTTTACAAGGCAATCCAATAAACACCCCCATCGAAGCACGCCGGCCTTAAAGGCTTAAAATTTAGACTGCAGAAGAAGCAACGACCCACTCCGATACTCTCTCCATAATCTGATAAGCCGATGGCCTTCGGGGACTTCCGACGGAGAACGGAGAAGATGTTATCTACTTATGAATCATCATGATAATCACAATATTGACAATATAATAATATAACTAAATGTAAGAATTCTATCCGATAGCAAGCTCATTAACCATAAATCTGAAACAACTCCTTCTACTCCCTCTATATCAGAATTCACTTCATACCCGGAGTTCGGCTCCGGCAGCCTTGCGCAGTCGGTTCATGACCGCAGCGGCCAGATCACCGCTCTGATCCGAGATTCCCTCTACGTAGATGACATCGACCTCCATTTCATCCATCGCCCGCAGTGCAGAGAACAGTTGGCGCGCGATCGTCTCGACATCCGTGCCCAGGTGGCAGTCAAACGTCTCCTTGGCGGCAAGACACCCGTTAATCCGGTCGTTCACGGGGGCCGAGAATCCCACCAGATTATCAACCAGGGAAGGGATGGGCTTCAGCGTCTTCTTGATCGCCTCGTCCGACAGTAATCCCAGCCCCTGCTTCCAGTTGCGGGTCCGTAGGATGCCAATCATATGTGCACCGATCGCGGTATCTTCCAAGTCCTTGCGGATATGCTTGGATACGGCCTTCTCGTCCGAGTCCGGCTCGAAGAGCACCACACGCGCCTTGGGCGAATAGTGTCGGTACTTCATGCCAGGCGCCCGAGGAACTTCCTTGACCTCCAGACTCCCGTCGTTGTAGCCGATCTGCACATTCTCCCACCCAGCACACGTCCGGAGCTCCTCGATGCCGATCCCACCCGGTCTCAGGATCGCAGGTGGTTCCGACAGCCCGTCCACCACCGTACTTTCCACCCCGACTCCACAAGCACCGCCATCCAGGATCAGCTCAATTCGACCCTCCAGGTCATGACACACATGCTCCGCACTAGTCGGGGAGGGTTTCGTAGACGCATTAGCCGACGGCGCGGCCAGCGGCCTGTCCGTAACGTGGATCAGCAGCCTTGCCAGCGGCGACGAGGGCATGCGTACGCCAAACGTCGTCAGGTGCGAGGTGACTTCCTTCGCGAGCGGCGAGCCCGACGGGTTCGACAACAGAATGGTCAACGGACCCGGCCAGAACCGGTCGATCAGGGCATGGTAGATGGCGGGGATCGAGTTCTTCGCGGTCATAGTCAAGCGCGTCGGGCTCGACTGCACGGGGTTGAGCACGCGCTCCAGCATCTCCAATGAGTCCACGTGGATAATCAAAGGGTTGTCCGAGGGCCTCTGCTTCGCCCGGTAGATCCCCTGCACTGCATCGCTGCGGGTCGCGTCCGCGCCGAGTCCGTATACCGTCTCCGTGGGGAAAGCCACGGGGATGTCGCTCGTTCGCAGAAGATTCGCGGCCTCTTCGATCGCGGCGGCCTCGGGTGTTTTGCCGTCGTGCTCGCTGTCCCACCATTCGGCCAATGACTTGTTTCCGGGTCCCTCCTGGTTCAGTCGACGGACCGACAGAATCCGAGTCGTCTTCTTGGGCGCCATCGTGCGGGCAAAGGTCGTAAAAACCCGAGTAAAGCTGTGCGGACGGCCGCCAGCGACAAGGCGAGAGAAGAGAGACACCAGCTTGACTGAAGAAATTATTGCTTTTCTTCAGGCTTCCCAGAAATTTCACGAGTCGCGAAAATGGCACTCAGGTCGTCTAGAACAGGCAGAGAAGCATGAAAATCGGTCGAGTCGCGCGGGGTTGAGTCAGGGCCGGATGCGAATATAAGGCTAAGTGGGGGGGGGCAAGAGGGCTGTTGGGTCACTGACGCCTTATGTGTTAGAGGAATTCTTGATTCGACGCCCGCCTCGTCCCACTTGGAAGAAAACTTACCCCAAACTCAGAGCATTGCGGCCTCAAAAGCAGAGTCGAGCGTTGGTCGGCGAAGAAACCGAAAATCTTCGCGATGACGTCGGGGATCATGACTAAGCGAGGCAAATGGTCCTGTTTGATGGCAACAAGTTTTTAGGACAGGCAAGGGTCTACCAGGATGGTGGAAGTGTTAAAACGGCGAGGGAAGGCTGGTGAGTGAGGAAATCATTTCCTGGTTCCTGTTTCATGTTTTGTTATGGAGGTCTACACATACATTTCCTAAATGGCTATCTCAACTTCCTCAATTCCTAAAGGGGAAATCCAAAGGAAAAGAAAATAGATATAGTTTAGATTCTTAAGCATAATACCCCAGACCTAATCGTCTATTTCTTCTTGCCCCCTTTGCCTCCTTTACTACCACCGCCGCCACCTTTGCTCTTCCCCTTTGCATCTCCACCTCCACCTCCACTGCCTCCGGTCATGATTCGTACTTTGCCAACAGGAATCGTGTTGATGATCTCCGTGTCTTTCCAGGTCTTGAGAAGTTCTCCTTCCCGAGTCCGAATCTTCTCTGCAATGACTCTGGGGATGCCTGCATCCTCAGCATGCTCCTTCTTGACCTTTCCAGTAGTTGTCTCGGAGATCCATCGGCCGAGAATCTCCTTGACGGCCTTCCCCTTCTTGACCGAACCCGGCTGTAGCTTAGTCTTGTACTTGTACCGACCAAGTGACGCCCACGGAGCGCACACAGCGATGGCTGCAAGGATCTCGTCGTCAGGGTGAGGCGTTCCCACCAGCGCCGGAATCCAGTCAAGATCCGCGGCCTCAGCAGCGGCCGTTTCCTCATCGTAGTCGTCCCCAGCGCCCTCCTCAAACATGGCTTGTCGTCGCTTTTCGGCCTCGGCGGCGCGATCGTGCTGGGCCTTGCGGCGCTTCTTCTGCGCCTCGACTTCTCGGTCCCGCTTCTCCTTGGCCTCGGCGGCCGCGGCGGCCTTTTCAGCCTTCGCCTTGTTAGCACCGAGAAGGCGCAGAGCCAATTCTCGCTCTTCGTCGTCCTGGTCGGCGTATTTGGCTGCGGCCTTCTTTGCCTTGGCCTTCTTACCTCGAGTCACCGGCTGTTTTTCTTTCTTGGGAATGGGCTCGGCTGACTCGATGGGCTTGCCTTGTCGCAGTTGGCGCCGTTCCCGGGCAGAGAGGTGCTTCGTATCTTGAGACCTTCCGCCATTGAAGGCTTCCAGGTTTTCTGTGGGTGCTTCTTCTCTCTCCTCTTCTCCCTCTCCTTTCTCCGCGATGTCATCAAGATCTTCTGTTACTTTCAGGTCATTATCGTCATCCAGCTCGGCACCTTCAGCATCCTCCGCAATGTTCTCGACAGGAGATTCAGACGGGCCTCGCTGTAGCGGGTTCCGAGCAGGCACACTGTCATTGTGTTCGGGTTCGTCGTCCTCTTCAGAACTTTGATCGTCTTCTGGTTCTTTCTCCAGCTCGTTTGAGGTTTCGGAGGGTTTAACCTCCTCTTCTGCATGTTGCGTCTGCTCTGTCTGCTGGGCTTCCTCTGCTGCCTGGGTCTCCCCATTTTCACCGGCGGCCAATTCGGCAGAAGCAGTCTCATCAAAAATGGCTAATTTGTGGTTCCGAAGACTCTCTTTGCTGACCTGGAACATGACCGCAAAGCCTAGTACAAGCTGGGATGGCGCAAGGAAGTTCTTCTCTCCCTTCACCAAGAATTCACCCGTCGGGAGCAGACCGCCAGCTTCAGCGGTCTTAGTGACTTGGCTCGCATGGGCCCAGTATGCAGACATGACAGCTTTGGATTCCCAAGCATTGGACGTGGCAACACAGAGGTTTCCCGCTTGGGACAGAGTGCTGGGTGGAATGGGAGAGTTCGAGGCAGTCGATCTGTTCTTGACGATCATGGGCCTGGCACCGTCGAGGTCGGCGTTGACGAAGATATCGCCTTTCTTCAGATGGCGGCGGTAGAGAATCTCGCTCTGCATGGCATCGCGCCCACTATTTTAATCATTAGACAGGAACCTTTCCGGTACAGTAAAACTAGAACTTACCCCAAGACCAGGTATCCCTCGGATGAAATGAAGAAGAGGAACTTCTCAAACCAGAAGGGCTTTCGGGCCATATGCAGGACCTGTTTCTCCTGCTTGAGACCCTTCTTGAGGTCCTGGTTAACCTTCTTCTCATGGCTCTTCAAAGCCTTCTCCGATGACTGCGTCGTCCTCTGTTCTTTCACCGCGGCCATTTTCTTCTGGTCATAGTACTGCGTGGCATTTGCCCACGGCGAAAGACCGAGGTCAATGTCAATGGTCAGGTGTTCCGGTGTAGAGCGTGCAGTCTGGGCCTCTGCGTCTTCCTCGTCCGATTCGGACTCGTCGCTGGAGAAGAGTCCGTTTTCTTCCTCCTGTTCCTCTCCGGATTCCCCCAAGAGCAAGGTAATTGTATTCTCGTGCAACTTCAAGGGCAACTTGATGATTTGCGCGACGGGGTTGCCTCGGCCCTGTTCCATCTCGATCAAGCGTGCGATTTCCACCCAGTCCATACCCTGTGCAATCAAGCCATTTACGGCATCCATCGCCTCTTGAACCCGGTAGACATTGTCCTCGATGGCACCTGCTTTGCGAATATGCAGTTCCTGCGTGTTCTTCAGCGCACCGATTCGTTTCTCGTGCTCCTGTCGCACTGCCTCAAGCTTTCGTCTCGCCGTTTCTTCGCGTTCCGTAAGCCGCGACTCCAGTTTCTGCGTCTCAATCGAAGAGAAGTACTCGTCCACCGTCGCATTCAGCGACGGGAATTCCAGAATGGTCACACCCGGCTTCTTCTCGAACTGCCGGGGCTTGAAAGGATGGAAGTCCTCGTACAGCAAACTCGGCTTGTCCGAAGGCGTCTCACCTTCCCCGGTCCCCTGTTGTGTCTTCGATCGCGTATCCGGCTGAGCAACAATATATCCCGGATGATTCTGCTGCGTCGACAGCCGGGCCGTCTCGCCCTCCGCTTCCCTCAACACGGCCTCCACCTTCCGCAGCAGGTCCTCATCCTGCAAGACCTGGTCCAGCGGCGTCGCGGGGTCCATCTCCCTTACGGCAAACGCATGATCCAGCAAGAGCGGCGGATACTCAGGGAAACCCTGCGACAGAGCCTTCCGCAGCACGTCGGCGTTCTTCTTCTTCGACTTCTTCGGCGCCCCGTCCTCGCGCGCAAACAGCGCCTTCGCTTTCTCCACCGTGTCGCGGATCCGGTCCATCGTGATCGGCGGCACGCCGTTGTAATTCTGCTTGTTTGTCACCGTGTACTTCAGACCGACGCGGGCCTCCTCGCCCTCAGTGGCCGAGACCTGGCGGAAGACAGCGAGCATGTTATACTCGCGATCGGTGACGATGATGTTCCCGCCGGCGAAAAACTCGAGGAACATGTGGTAGGTGTCATCGCTGAAGGAGATGTCGATGACCCGGTCCGTGCCGATCTGCTTGATGGAGGTGATGCGACGGGTTTTGAGGAATTTGCGCAGCCGCGATACGAACTGCGAGGGTGCCGTAGCGGTCGCTCGCGAGTACTGCGTCACATGGCATCGGAATCCGGAGTCGACGATGAATTGTTTGCGATGGTCGGGTTTGGCGAGCTTGAATAGGAAGATTCGCTACCGCTCTTCATTCAGCATCTTCTTACCGACTACAATGCGAAGACGGTGCTCGACTTACCGAGGATAGGTCGTAGATATTTGATACTCGCAGATTGACCAGCTCCGAGGCCAGTTCCTGGGAGATGACCTGGTGGTTGGTGCTGGTGAGTTTCCCACTATCACTTTTGCTTGTTCGCTCCAGGAACGAGAGGGTGGTAAGTAACAAACCTTGACGTCCAGGGACGAGAATCTCTGCTTCATCTTCTGATTTCTTGCGCGGAAGCTAGTCTAGAATAAAGATCCTGGCGGATGTGGAAGGGGAAGAAGATTTGACTCAGGCGATCTGACGGGGAGGTACCTGCGTGACGTATGCGGGGCAGATTTTCACCCATTGATCGTTCGCTGTTTTCCATCGCATTCGATTCCAATGCGAACTAGCCCACGCGGGGTGGAGAAGGTGTTTTCGAGGCATTAGTATTCATCATTTAGTCTGGTGAGATAGATGGAATCTTAATGCTCTATGGCTTTTCTTCTTTTCATTCCTTTTTGCAATTGGAATTATAGCTTCCACGCTCGTACTCGCCGTGGATTGATTGGGTCTCGTCTAACTAACAACCCCCTTGGTTCAACCCCCAGTGTCCTCTGTCGTGAAACATAAAAAGGAGTAACTCTATAGAATCCTCGAGCCCCTAGAAGAAAGCAAATGGATAGGAAATACCAAGTGAACAGACATCATGAAATAGAATAAGCAAGCAACATGCATAAACCACGCCGGAACCAGCCAGATACGAATGATGAAATGAGAAAACAATAGAAACGAGAAGACCACGAAAAGAAAACAAATCAGATGCAGTATATCCATGCCAACCACACACATAACCATACCTTCCCACCTTGGCACCGACTCTACATCTGCCGCAATCCCTCCGCCAGACGCCGCTTTCCAAGCTCCCAGGCATTGAGGAGACCTTGTTCGGAGAGATCGATGCTCTTGAGGTTGGGCGCATCGGGCGCAGGAGGACGGCTGACGCGGGAGGCGATCAAGATGGGGTCGGTTTCCAGGATGATTCCATCATCGATGATCTCGTCGATTGCGAGGGCGACGAGGTCGTAGTTTTCGACGATTGTGCGCTTGTCAGTGGCGCCCCTAATGCGACATTCAGGTTAGCAGACATTCATCTTTCTCCTCTCTCTCTCGCACTCATCCATTAGACAGATCCAAAAGAACAGACAAAAATACATACTTGAACAGAATCCCCAAAGCATCCCGCAACGACAGAATCACATTGTAAAGCAGAACTTCATTCTCATCGGCGCCTCCGACCACGTAGAGCATCACGTCGCTCTCCATCTTGAACACGACGATCCGGTTATCGTACAGAATGACATCACTCGTCGACTTGTTCGTCTTCTCCAACAGACCCTGCTCAAAGGCCTTCTGCTCCTTCACGGTCGGGTAGGGGTTTGCGCCGGGGTAATCGGTCGAGTTAGGAGCCACGCCGGCCGGAGGGTGAGGCGGCGAGTAGTACTTGGCGAAGATGCGATTGCCATCGTCGGCCGACATGAGAATGACGGCATTGACGGAGAACAGAGATAGTGAGCCGGGCATTTTGAGAAAGGTAATTGTTCAGCGACGGGGGTTCGTGGGGTTCGGCCGTGGTTGCTTGCTTGCTATTTACTCCTACTCGGGCTGTTGCTGTCAACTTGTCCGCTATCCGGAGATCGCGGGAACGTTGTTCCGGGCTATACACCAGATATTCTACTCGCGCCAGGGAGTTGTCCGTTTACTACTGGGTTGGAAGAATTTACTAGTATGATCTCTGTTTTTATGAAGACTTAAAAGAATACTCGGGACATTGAGTTTCATATCAGATTTTCACTCAATAATATCGAGTGCAGCCTAACTCACTAGATAATACGCGGGACATTCATATATATAATTTCCACTCTGAATACCTAAAACCCAACCTAGCACGAACTTTGACCATTTACCTAAATATATTACAATACAAATACGGTCATGAATTGTCAAGAGCAATCTCGATTCTAGACTCAATATTAACATGAGTTATATTATATCTTATATGGAGATGTTTCGTGTTGAGATGAAACTCCACATCGGCGATTACTCAGGGACAAAAGTGCCAATCCTAATCAGAAAGAGAAGAAACAAAGAAGGATCGTCAGGGATACAAATTTCGATTGGATAGTTATACATACATGGTTGGGCCGAGAACGGCCGAAAAACAGAAAAGCCATTAAATAATGTATACAGAAATGTTATCACTCTATAAAGGAGTATATAGGTGGATCATATATGTTCATCAAGGAGAGGGAGGGGGCATCAAAAATGGCCAAATCATCATCACAAACAGTCTTCAACGTATGTCTCAATAATAGTAATAAAAAAAAAATCCAAGCATCGTCCAGATAGAGGTAGCATAGCAAGAATGCCCCGTCAAAAAGTGGCCATTAGACGTCAAAAAATCAATCAGCACATAGCAAGGGAACCAAACAAAAGGACATTAGCCCAAGTCTATCATGATGATCAGTAACAGCAAAAAGCCACAGGGTATTCAAACAAAATGGCATCCTGGCCGTCTCCTATAAAGCCCACAAGGTTCATAACAGCGGCCAGTAAAGAGATAGGTAACGTTCCATAACCGGAAAGACGCGTCAAAGAGGGCATAATAAACAGGAAAGGAAAGTCGAGAAAAGAACATAAACAAAGAATGTAAGAAGAAAAATTCAAGGATATACATCAGAAATTCAGGTCTGGGCGGACTCGCTGCCGTTGGAAGTTGGTCGGTTAAACCATCCAGGAATCCAGCTTCCACGGTTGGCCTTTTTCCGAGCAGCCTCTTCTTCCTCGATTGCCGCTTTGGTCTCACTGACCAGTCGCAGGGGACGAAGCTTGCTCTGGGTCATAACGGCGCCGGTATAGTTGGTCATCCCGGAGCTGGAACGAGGCGAGCTGGAAGTGGCCCCGGTAGAAGCGGTGTCAGCGATCGGGTCGCTGGTCACGCTGTCCGAGCTGCTGAGTCGGCTGCGTTCAGGCTGGCTGGACAGAGAGGGGGCACGACCACTACCGGACATGTAGGTGGTTCCAGAGAAGGCGCTCTGGCGGTTTCCGGGGCCCATGATGGTCGGGCTGATGGGACCGCCCGAGTTGCGCCCGCGGTACATTTGTCCGACGACGGCAGCGGCAGCAATGTCGGTCTGCTCAGATCTGGCCCGGCGATGACCCGGACCCGACCGCACCGAACCGGCACGGCCGAGAGGAATGCTCGGAGCGGTATTCGGGTTTTCGTGAGCCGTTGGGGGAACGGCAATGGCGCTCGCAGCGGAAGTAGGAGGCGGCATCATGCTGGCCGGACGCGACCGCGGGGGACGTGTAGCATTGGGGCCTGGGCCACCGACCACCGACCGTGCCCGCTGCAAGAAAGTGGGCTGGGACGCATCGTCCTTCTCGGATGGAGTGGGAGGCAGGTCCTTGTTGCTGCCGGCAGGCTGCTGCTTGGCAGGAGGGTCATTCTCGTTCTTGTCCAAGATGGTCTCGAACCCTTCGTGCTGCAGGACGCGACTGATGATACGTTCAATGTACAGAGTCAGAGCCTTGTTCTGATCCTTGAGCATCTTGATCTCTGATTCAAGCCTGCGGTTATCATCCGTGTCCGCCCTTGCATCCACAGAATCTAGCTCGTCAGCTAGCGAACCTAATCCGCTGCCGGACTCCTTCGACTCGGCGTTGTCAGGGTTCACTTCGCGCATGAAATCGCCCTTTGTAAAGTCACCATTCAGCGTTCTCTCACTCAGAAGGAGCTGATAACTTTCATTGTCTTCCATCAAGCGAGCGTTGGCCATGCGAGCCTCAAGCAGCTCCTTCTCCAACTCGCGCTGGCGGCCGCCGCCTTTGTTCTCCATCTCGACCAGCTTGATCTGAGACTCGGCCAGCTCGAGTCGAAGCGACTCGATCAATTTATCCTTCTGCAGTAGCAGCTTCGAGTTATTCCGAGACGGGCTTCGCTCCAGTTGAGACGAAGGCGCAAACTGCCCGTCCACTTCGGGGGACGATCGATTCCGGAAACTGGCTGAAGACGGAAGTTAGCAAATGACGAGGACCGGAAAATTCAGACAAAATGGAATGGGGGTCCTACAAGAGCGGGAGACGTTCTTGTCACCCTCGGCATTGATTCTCATATCCCTCTGGGACAGAGATTCCTTGAGGCGCTGGATGGTGGCCTGCATCTCTTCCTCGCGGCTCGCCTGCTGCTCCTTCTCCTGCAGCATGGCATTCCGCTCCTGCTCATGTGCCTGCTCCAGGTCCCGGATCTTGCGCACGTGGTCTCGCACCTCGCCGTTCAACGACTCGATTCTGCTGTCCTTCTCGTGGGCCTGATCCTCCAACTTGCCCTGCTCGCTGACAGCCTCGTCCAGGCGCATCTGCAAGACGCCGAGCTGCTTCTGGTACTGTTCGGAAGCGGTCTCGGCCTTCTGCAATTGCTCCTTCAGATCCTCGATGAGAGCGGCATTTTGGGCGCGGGCTTCCTCCTCGGAAGGGTCGGTGGTGACTTTGGGCACGCTGGACATGCTCAGGTTGGAGCGACCGGGTTTTCTGGCCGCCGCCCGCGCGGAAACGGGAGCCGAGCCACGCAGCGACGGAGAGCGAGACAGGCCATTTGTCGAGGCACTGGGCGAGCGAGAATGAGTTCGCGAGGGAGTGCCGTTCGCGGACGGGCTGTCACCGGTGATCGAAGATCTGCTCGAGTTGCCCGGGGTTCCAGGCTTGCGAGGCGTCGCAGACATGGTTACCGGCAACAATGAGGCTTTGAAGATGGTGGGATGGTAGTTTGGAGAAGCAACAAAACGATCTGGAAAAGGGGTGGAAGAGAAGTAGACAGATCGGATAAGGATGGTTGAGACTGCGATGAAACGAGCGGGAAATTAACTGATAAATTTAAGGAACGGAGGTATAAAGTCGAAGTAGTAGCGGTCAAAACAGTGGACACTAAAGTAGTTCGGAGTTGGTAGCAGCAGTAACGGAGGACTACCGGTAGTGGGGGAAGTAGTTAGTAGTAGAGTACGGATAGTAGTCAGGAATTAGCCACCTCGGAGGAGGGCGGGAAGAACAGAATTAAAGAGTACAGTAAGAAGAGACAAAACCAAATAAATCAGATCGAATCAAAGTCCAAGAGAAACCAGCAACCGGCAAGGACGAAACAGAGCGAAAACAAATAGTCCGACAAAAGCAAAAAGTGAGGGATAAAATAAAATAAATCAAAAACCGCGACCAGGGTGTATCCGTATGGAAACGGCCGTAAGTTACCGCGTTGCTTGGGGCTTGTCCCAACCCGGCCTGCGCTAACCCTCATGCAGCGCCATATCATGTTATGATCTCTTTTTATTGTTATTAACTCGGTTCTCTCTGTGTTGGTTCATGCACTCTGCCCCCCCATGATGGCAGTCGTGCTCGTGGGAGCTGCAATTCCTGAGGGGGGCTGAAGTCACTACGACTGCTTTCTCGCCCCTACACCTGGGGCTGCATCATGGATCCTCAGGTCTTGCTGTCCGGAGTAGCACTCTCCCAGTTCATTCAATACGGAAGATGTAACCAAGTCATTTGATCAGAGTGATTTAATTAGGTATCTTTTATTGCATTGTTTATCGGAGAATCTAGATACCTAGGTACCTAGTAAACAGTATCTAATCAGTATTCCCCTACCTACGGTGTACGTACCGCCCACCCTCCACCACACCCTCCCGCCTTGCAACGTACAGGACCTCGCCATCTGTCAATCCGGGGGAAGAAAAGGAGGGGCTGGAAAAGAAAACACAAGAATAGAAACGAACAAAACAAAAAGAGGCCGGTATCCAATCATGGATATCCCTCTGTCGAAGGGGATCCAGATGAGCCCGAAACTGCGCCACGTCTGCCGACAACGAGGATGATGCCTATTCCCTGGACGACGGGGAAGCTAGCATCCGACGCATCGATGGATGTACATGTAGGTACCTGCACAGCTGGAACCAGTAGGCAAGGTACAAGCCGCGACATACTTCGCAGTTGCCCCCTCGAGGCCCGATGAGGTGGCTACCATCATTACACAGTACTCGTAGATACGAGTGGCCTTGTAGCCTTACGGAAGGCATCCCACGAAGGCGATGACTCAGCGACCCTGAGGCCGATCGGGGAAACAGACGGACCGAGACTAGCTCCGCCCACAAACCGAAGCCCGGCAAAATCGATCGCCCAAATTTTTTGATCTCTTCATCTTTTATCAAAAGACGGCCGGAGCGCAGTTTCTCATCTTCAACCCTTTCGCCCTTTCTCCCTATCCTAAAGAACTCTAAGTTCTCCCAGCGCAACGATGGCCCCCAAGAGCAAGAAGACCGGTGACACCATCAACTCGCGCCTTGCGCTTGTGATGAAGTCCGGAAAGGGTATGTTCGAAGATCTATGAAATTTTTGGATGAAGCGATCAGTTACTAACGATGGCTTTTCACAGTCACCCTTGGCTACAAGTCCACCATCAAGACCCTCCGTACCGGCAAGGCCAAGCTGGTCATCATCGCTGCCAACACCCCTCCCCTCCGCAAGTCCGAGCTTGAGTACTACGCCATGCTCGCCAAGGCTCCCGTTCACCACTTCTCCGGAAACAACGTAAGTGCCATCGATTGCGCGTGCTTTTGTTTGTTCTTCTCTTGTTCCCCGATGCCACGGCTGTCCGTCTCGGCACAGTTGCGGCGCGGGGAACCGCCCTGAGAAAAAGCCATCCTGCTACAGGCTTTGGAGGGTACAAACAGATGGCTGACCGTTTGACTCTTTTCCCTCGTAATACAGATTGAACTGGGAACCGCTTGCGGTAAGCTGTTCCGTTGCAGCACCATGACCGTCCTTGACGCCGGTGACTCCGACATCCTCACCAGCCAGTAAGGGTGTAAAAGGGACGAAGGGATTCTGTTATGTCTGAACATGAGAAAAGAAATGACTCCGGACTATGCGACCGGGCCGATGTTAGATAATGACAAGAAAACTTGATGCCTGGATCTTTGGTCTAGATGTCCTTTTAAGTGGGACTCCGTACTCCGTAGGTCTTATACTCCGTAGTCTGCAGTGACGGCGAATTACTAGATAACTAGTTATAGTATAGATTGCTTATTCAGGAATAATGTACAGTTGCCTCTTGGCATCGCAGTGCGTGGTCTATATAGCTTCCAACTTTCCCTCTTGACACTGGGTTCTTTTCCCACCACTTCCTTTTTTCTTTGGCTTTTGGTTCTGTCTGGACCGCATTTCGCCACCCCGTTAATCCTCTCTGGCAAGTTGATTTTGTGAAATTGGATCTGCATTTCTTGAGTGAAGAAGTCAAGCAATAAATCAGGAGGCGTAAATCACGTGACGTTTGACAACTTGATGGGTGGGAAATTGCCAGATCCTATCGCGGGCGGGGAGAGAAGGTCATCACCCCGACTTTTCCATTCAAGCTATCCAATCAGCTCAAGAACTGTTATGAAATGCACAGGGGAAGGAGGGCAGAATGATACTGTATCGGCTACACGCACGTAGCCTACTAAGGAGCGAATGCCTTTTGAATGATAGGGCTCTTAATTCTCTTGCATAACGATTAAATTTCTTCTTCTATGATAGATAAAGGGGTAAGTTTCTCAGGGTTGGAGTGTGCGGGCCAAGCCGCTAGATCACGTAGTCTCATAGATTCGTATCAAGAACCACCCACCCACCTTCACTGTCACCTGCAGGTGTGAACTTGCCTCTAGCAGTGAAAGGAAATGAAACTTTAACAGGGTAAAAGCACGTGACGCGACGTAAGTCATCACTGTGGAACTTTGGCTGTTTCTCAGTTCTCACGGTGTTGTCCACGGTCTATCTGTTTTTCATTTTCATTTTGATATTCGATGTGAGAGATATTCGATGTGAGGCTGATACCATACACTATGGCTTCTAGTCATTCAACTACCGCAGTCATGCCAGTTTCGACAAGAACTTCAAAGTTTCCAGTTCTGCGAATTATGTCCGGGAAGTGCAATTCTCCCGTCACGATCGGGAATCATACCGTCTGCTGTCTTTGTAAAGAGTTCACGGGAATGTCTAAGGACGGACAGCTGGATATTGTCTGTCAAAAATGTCTTCATTCGCTCACCCAACATGGAGACGCAAGTTCAGCAGAAGTTTATTCAACCCAACAAGGAAGCAGCCAGCTGGAAACATGTTAGATTGCATCCTCAATCATCTCATGGCATAAATAATGATATTTATGATGAACAGCTTCCATTATCTGTCAGTATCTCAGCTCTCGATCAGAGACAGTCTCAAAACTCGCCGACCTCATTGATTCGCAGAAAGTTGTGCATGTGCGGGGGACCCCTGCGAGCGGAAAAACAACACTGGCTCGACTACTGCAGAAATATTATAGAGAAAAGAAGAAGAACTCGATGTTTGTTGACACATGGCGCGAGCTTGATGAATACACTTCAGTAGGAGACAACCCTGAACTTCACGCCTGGAGCAAGCTCGACAGAATGTTACGGACAAGATTTGGTTCAAATATGGATTATCTGGCTCCAGGGACTATTCTCATTATCGACGAGGCCCAAAGATCCTATTCGGACACCCTGTTCTGGAATTCAATAATCAAGGAACGGTTGTCCCACGAAGGCCTAGATATCAGCTTCTGTCTTTTTTGCTGCTACGGGAGCCCGTTGAGCGGTGTTGACATAGAGTTCGATACTGATACCAGAGATTTTACGCCCGCTCATTTTAAGCTAGCTCAACGCGTGACGTTAACCCCTCAGTCACGTCCATCATCGCCCCCGATTGGTCTATTCTTCACCCGATCGGAGTTCACGGATGCTGCACAGCGATTGATAGCGAACTCTCGTTTTCAAGAAAAGTTTACCCTCCGTCCTGACGCCGAAGACTATCTATTTTCGTTGACAAACGGACACCCGGGTAGTCTTAGCTCTGTGTTAATGTACATTCACGACGTGAGTCTCTTCCTGCATTCCAATCAAACGCAGTTTATTTTTATGCACCTTTGACTAAATGAGTTTGCATTAGTTTTATCGCCATGCTATCAAGAGCCGTGAGTTATCAGTCATGGCCAAGGAGCATGTGGTCGACAGCTTGAAACGGGATCAGGATGTCTGGGACACGCTGGCTCAAGAGCCAATATCACGTTCACTGCCCCAGGGCCGTTGGCTCACCACGGAAGTTGCAAACCTCCTCGCTAAGGTTTTGGAGGAAGGAAATGTACCATGTGAGCTGAACAAGGAGGCAGAAATATGCTACAAGCGCGGATGGTTGCACAGAATGCAAATACTCGGAGAGGATGGTTACGACAAGGAAGTCTATGTACTTCCTTCAAGACTACATGAAAAGCATGTTCCTCTATGTGTCTACCCCAGATCTTTCGGCTGCATTATTCTAACCATTCCTAGGTGGATCGAACACTACATCGCAAAAAGAGCAAAAAGTCTACCCTCCGAATTCCAAAATTTACGAGATTTGACTCTTGCAATATTACGAGAGTTTTCAAGCTCGAATCTGAGGCACTCAGCCCAAGGCAAGACATTGTCAAGTGGTGCACAGCCAAAACCAATTGAGGCACAGTATCAAGACGAGTTCTATCGGTGTTTTAATAAGATAGCCGGTAGAGGTGTGCCAGTCTGTACCGAATGGTCCAGGACCACAGACGGCCGAGTCGATTTTTGGATTCCTGGCCAGAAATGGGCAGTGGAGATTGTCCGGGAACAAGACCGAATTAACGAACACATTATGCGTTTTTACGAGAATGGCCAGTATTACCCTTGGCGAGTAGATGGTATGATCCAAGATTGGATTATTGTCAATTGTACTACTTCTCCGCCAACACGTGGTCAGTATATACCCCCGCCTTATTCACCATTGACTCAACTAATATATGAGTAGGGTACGAAGAGACACGGCTTATTCATGCAGTTTTCAAGAAGGACTATGCAGAATTGCAGATTCTTGATAATCAGATGGAAATTTTACAGACCTCTTTTTCGCACAATTGAGAATCAGGTGCTTCATTTGGGACGGGCGAAAGGTGTATGGTAACCAGTTCTGCTTACAACAGTTGACAAGTTGTTGATTCAAAATTCCCAGTAGTCATTGCGAATTGATGAAATATCTTTAATAATATCAGGCTTCGAAGTCAATTTTGAAGTTATTCAAAAGCGACTTGAAGCGCCTTAAAGCGTCCAGGGCCTCTACATACCTCGATCATAGCATGACACCTAACTAGCGTCAATTGGATCTATCCTAGTAGATAACTTATAGATAGCCTCTCGGTTCTCGTTTACAGCCTGCCTAAGGGGGTTGAATAATCGGTCCCCTTGCATAGAAAGCTCCCCACTAACTAGATTCTTTGTCTTACCCTATACAAGGTTCATATCCGGTGACTAGGCAGGCTATCTAATATAATAGAGTCCCTGTTTCACGAGATCCTTGTAACAGCGCTCCCACGCCCAGTAGCCATCCTGCACGAAGCAGAGATCAAGGACTACGAGCGAAGCGTATATGAGCCTCTCGGTGAAATATAGTAGGGCCATCTTTTCAGAGAGCTTTGTAGCGGCGATTATGTTATTATAAGTCTGGCCTAGTATCAGTATATTAACAGGCAGCTGCAGCTGTCTCACAACTATAGTGAGTTTTTCTTGACGTTCTCTGCGAAAAGGCCACAGTTTTTGTGCCGAAGGCCACACACATCCGTGTCCTTTTCGCTGTCACCCAGATTTACTCCGTATATCAACTACGTAGAAGGAGCCTTCGCCGAGGTGTGTAGTAAGCGGAAGGTCGGAAGGTGAGATGAGCATGGATGATGCCCCTTCTCCGTCTCCCGTGTTGGTACGGAGTAGATACTACACCATAGGTAGACACTTCCCGACCTCAACATGACTCACCATTGCCATCATGACTCACATCTGAGCGGAGAGTAATTCCACCGTTTGCCTCAGCGCTCGGAAGGATCCATGCGATCATCAATAATCATCATCAGCAATCAAGAAATCACGAATGATGACGACCGAAAGAAGAAAGCGGAGTAACCTGACAAATCGACGGCGCGGATGCAGTCCCGTGATTGGTGCAGAGGCTAGGGCTTAGGGTTCTTGCCACTCGTTAGCGGGCGCTGCTTGGAAATCAACCGTCGAAAGTGCCCGCGCCCAAAGAATCCCCTTCCCTTTTGAACTCCCGACACCACCCTTTTCGACAACCCACCCCCCAGTTCGCAGGAAGTGCAGCCAGGTCATTTCCAGCAGTCAAGATGGCCCGTCGTCCCGCGAGATGTTACCGCTACTGCAAGAACAAGGTGCGTGCGACTTTTTGAAGATTTTCGGATTTTTTGCGATGTTTTGTGGATTTTTTTGGGCTTTGGTATCTCGCTTGTGGGGAGGAAAGGAAACGAACAACGTCAACCACCACCGGATGAAAACGATAGACGCCATGGATGATATATCGATGCTCTGCTTTTGATGGATGAACATGTTTTTTGATGGAATACGGAAGACTAACATGATTTCGACTTTGATAGCCTTACCCCAAGTCCCGGTTCAACCGTGGTGTTCCCGACCCTAAGATCCGTATCTTCGATCTGGGACGTAAGAAGGCCAACGTCGACGACTTCCCCCTGTGTGTGCACTTGGTCTCCAACGAGTACGAGCAGCTGTCCTCCGAGGCTCTCGAAGCCGCCCGTATTTGTGCCAACAAGTATGTCGAATCCTCCCTCTGTGTCTCCATCGGGCGCAAACCACCCACCCGCGAATCGACCCTCGACCGGCAATTGAATCCCAGAAATTAACATTCGATCTCTCTAGGTACCTCGTTAAGATCACCGGTAAGGAAGGTTTCCACCTCCGTGTCCGTGTGCACCCCTTCCACGTCGTCCGTATCAACAAGATGTTGTCGTGCGCTGGTGCCGATCGTCTCCAGACCGGTATGCGTGGTGCCTTCGGAAAGCCCAACGGTCTCGTTGCCCGTGTGAACATCGGCCAGATCATCCTGTCCGTCCGCACCCGTGACTCCAACCGTGCCCCCGCCATCGAGGCTCTCCGCCGCTCGATGTACAAGTTCCCCGGTCGCCAAAAGATCGTCGTCTCCAAGAACTGGGGTTTCACTCCCGTCCGCCGCGAGGACTACGTCCAGCTCCGCCAGGAGGGCAAGCTCAAGCAGGACGGTGCCTACGTGCAGTTCCTGCGTGGCCACGGTCTCGTCGAGAACAACATGAAGCGATTCCCCGACGCCTATGAGAACCTTGCGGCTTAAATGGGCGTGTTATCTAGCGTTAGGACAAAAAAGAGATAAAAAGAGACCAATTTTCCGAGTTTTTTACCATCTTCTCTTCTGTTGCCACGACTGTTTCCTTGTTTTTTTCTTACCCCGTGATGTGTCATGTACCGATGTCTATCACGCACGACGGAGTTGTATAATCATGGATTTTCCTCGGATTGTTCTTTTTTTTTCACAACTCCATTCTTTGAACGTAGGGTTTCTACTCTAGTAGACGTCGGGTTCTTCGTAAGAACTTCTGTAGTCACCAACACTTGACAACGTTTCGTACGGCAGTATCTTCAATTTTTACGACATGAGTAAGAATACAGTTTGTGTCAATGCCCGAATGCCTCTAGAATAATTGACAGTCGATTGATCTTTGCAGTCAGCACGACCGTTGCTCAAAGAATGAATTCGTATGTTCAGATGTAAATGTATATATCGAAACCCAGCCACCAACACATCTAAAATACTCCCAGAAACCATAGAAAGGCCTCGTTGGATACATACACAAAATGACACCGTACATGCACCCGACCGCGAAAATATATATAGATAGATGAATGAGTCTTGAAAGAACTCACACACCGAACACCAAGAACAAAAGACAATCCGTCACTCATAAAATGAAGCATGAGGGGATCATGAGCAATAGACATTTGAATCAGAATGTATGTATCTGTATATATGTGTATATATGACCGACCATGTTGAAAGACCGAGTAGAGAATAAACAAAAAAATCAAATCATAATCCGAACAAGATGGGAAATGATAGATATAATAGAGACATGACATCATGCTAGAGACTAAACCGGGCGAGGCCAGTCTTGAAAAATTATGGGTATTGATGGCCAGCATGCAAAGATCTAGATATGCTTGGATGGGATCGGCTCTATGGTACAGATCCAATAGCCAGCATCGCGATAACCATCCAAGCCTGGAGATAGCAGAGGATCAACGACCTAGACGTCTCCCCACGCCCCGAGACCGGCTCCAACGGGTGCAACGGCGCTGCCGCTGTCAACGCTCCCCCCGATATCCCAGTAGTTGCGACTGGACCCGGTCAGGGTGCGTCGGCTGGAGATAGCAGAAAGCTTTGCACTTTGACTAGCACAGCTGGAGCTGGGTCGGCGGAAGTGCTGGCGTAGAAGCGGCGACGAGACGCCCACCGGGCCGGAATGGCTTGCAGAGTACTGGGACTGACGTCGAATCTGGGCCTGGGAGCGGGAGTGGGCACGCGCGACCAGCGGGTGGTGCTGACGAATGATCGCCGCCCGGCGGGAGGCATCTTGTTGGGGTCGACGCGACGTAGCGTGGTGATTATCGGGGTTACTGTTTCGACGACTGAATCGGTTGCGGAGATAGCGGAAGACCATCACCACGTCGAGTTCGCGTTCCCAGTACTCTTTCTCCTGATGATGACGGGCGGATTCCGATAACGGCTCGGCCGCGGAGCGATTGGTGTCGTCATCCTCGATGCCCCACTGAGCGGCATGTTCCCGACTGCTACTAGGGTCACGAAGAGTGGGAGAGAACTGAGGCGATAACGCAGGCGATAACGCTGTATCCCGATCGCTTGTAGTCATCATGGAGTTTGGGAGAGCTGCCGATCCTGTTTGGGTTTGCGTGGCTTCTTCTTCCGGTAGACGCCCAAGGGGCATCCCGGCGTACTGATTCGGAATGTCATTAGACAGGTTGAGGTAGGTTGTGAAAGCACCGGGATGTTCACACAGTTGGTGAACGAGAACTCCCAGTTCATGTGCGATACGCTGGAGGAGCTTGGTCTGCCAGAGACTTTTGTCGTCAGGCACGGAGTCCAGCTCCAAGCCCAGTGCCTCATCCATATTCGGCTCGTAAACCGTGCCCGCCGAGGTGTCCTTATCTTCATCCTCGGTGGCTGGCAAGGACTCTCCGAAGATCACGGACAGTAAGGAGTCATCGATGCCGATCAAATCTCGGATGACCTTGCGGGTAAGACGACGCCAGAGCGATTCGTCCTCGCTGCCTTCTGATTCAGCCGCAGGAGGCAGACTGTCTCTAGGTATTTCCGGTACACCGGCCAGCACGTCTGCAACTTCAGTGTGCGAGACGGGTTGATCACTCAGGTTGCTCACGCGGCTGTTACGCCGTTTCCGCGTCTCTTTCTCGATTTCTTGTAAGAGCGCCCGGCTCTGGTCCATCCTCCACATCTCGATCCGCTGCCATCGCTCTCGCTCGACATCGGTGGGACCCTCATCTGCGATAGAATCCAACTGTCGCTGGACACTCGAACGGCGCCGGTGTGATAGGTCGGACCTCCGATTGGGATTGTAAAGCTCATGCTGCCACAGCTGCTCCTGCACGGGCCAACTAGATGCCTGAAAGCTTCCCAGTCCATCATGAGCCGGTAATAGAGCCGGAGCTCCTTGATCAAGCCTCGCGGCAGACTCCTGGTTTAAGGATGGAGCCCGGAACGCATGCAGCCCATCGTCCAGGCTGTCCAGCTCCGTTCCGTCCTCGTCCAAAGGCTCCTCCAGAGCATCCTCCTCCTCCTCTTCGTTGTCCTGATCCCAGGCCGAACGAGTCGGCGTCCCAAAGGAGCCAAAGTCGCTGAGACGCGAGGCACCTACTGTTCGTTGGGTGCGATCAGTAGAGGTCGTGTGAGTGCGGGCGGTAGTGGAGGGTTGCGTCGGAGAGAATAGCACCCATTCTGCGGAGTCGGATTCGGGGAGTTGCGCAAGATTCGACGGCGGATCAAGCTTGGGGGGAGGGAGAGAGGTGGAGTAGGAGCGCTGACGGCGAGGAGCCTGAGGTGGTAGACGAAACGCCATGAGTTGGTGAGTAGCGCGCGATCAGGAAGAAGGATGGAGAGATCGATAAGAGCGACTTGGGGTGGATCTTCCCCGCGTGGTCAACGAGACAAGTATGTACAACGACAATATGAAAAATAGAGATAGAGACAAAGTAGAAATAGAAGAAGAGAAACAATAGTCGAGGAGGTAAACTCTATTCAAACAAAGATACAGGCCGAAACAAAGGCCAGATAGAGGAAAAAATGACGAGTCGCAGGTCCGGTGGTGATCCGATGCGAACCAACCAAATCCCGACCGGCGGATGAATTGAAATGATGGAGATGACGTTTCGCCGACCAACGGAACCACTCGACCTGAAACACTTCGATTCCGTCGCAGTGAAAATTTCTCCAGAGAGGAAGAGAAGAGGAAAAAAGGAGAAAGAGAGAGAGGGGAAAAAAAGAGAGTCCAACTGGTTGAGGATGGGAAGAAGGAAAATGATGAGGACCGACTTGCGGATGATGCAACCGTCAGCCGACCGTCTCGCTTTGGATGGATGGATTTGATGGGACTTGATAAGGACGGAGATAACCGTTATGAACAGAACGACAGAAGATAGAAGATAGAAGATAGAAGATATAAGATCAGATTCTCGGACTGATTCTCTCGTCAGCTCAGCTCGGTCCAAATTGCCTGACGCTGTCATCCCACCTCGCAGGTCTTCCAGAACAACTCTTTGCTTGGGTTTGAGACTTGAGTACACCGGTAGTTCCTTCGTCCAGTCGATCCTTTCGTTCAAATCCTAAAATGATGTTGGAAGATCGGAAGATCTTCGTCCACGTGACGCTCCTAAATCGGCCTTGGGCACTAGAGCCTTCGTACACCGTTCTGGTTAACTTGCAGCCAGTTACTTAGTTACGCCTAGTCTGCGCAATTCCAGCGATGATTGCACGTTGACGTGTCGGCTGCCCATCGCTCTGATTGCTGGAAATGTTGCAAAACGCCACCAACCATGCACGTCCCTGAGAGGCTTAACAGGAATCCCAATCCCCCGCCCTTCCACGGATTACCTCAACCGTGTTTCTGCTCCAGGCTGTTACGCGAAACCCTAGACTCTCACCAGCCATGGCAAACGACAAACTTTGAAGGAGAACAAGGATTCAGCAACCGCACCGTAAAGGTTTCGTTGTCTGGGTTGGCTGACAAGTGACAACAAAGAACGGGGCTGTCTCCCAGTGGATTTCTATCTCAGCTAACGAGAGGACTAAGGTAGATGTCAGGAGAGAAACGCAAGGGCGATGTTGATCTTGCTTTCTCAGCGTTTGACCCCTTAGACTGGTCACCCAATCGAATACCTAATCATCATCGCGACCGGTACTCTGTCTCTGGCGAATGGGAAGACATCTATCCCTACACCGTAGGCGAGTATGGTGATGATGTGTCTGCGCGAGTGCCCAATTTGTACTGTACTTATGAACGATATGATATACCGCTGGATCGCCGGACCGTACCTTGCAGACGCATCGGCGTCCTTCATGGCCGGTCTCTCTGCCCGATGCTCCTCCCTTGGGCAGTGGACCTTCAGGTGCGCACATTGTCCCATGTGTAGAACTTAAAGGGCATTTCAAGCCAACCATCTCAAGTCCATCAAAGAAGGAATATTTCCGAATGAGATGACCGCGTAAGTCTGGAGATCGATCAGGTTGGCCTGTAGCGGTTGTTATTACTATTGGTCCTGAGGCCCGCTTTTCCGGAGTTCCACCGCTTGTTCGTTTGGAAACAACGGACAGAAAACAAGACCGGCAACAAGATTCTTATATTTCAACATTGCGGGAAGTTAGGAGTAAACCTCAGACAATTCCTCTTAACAAGAAAATTTCGATCCGCAAAGGTTAAGTCATGCCGGAGCTTAAGTCAAAGCTTCTCTCGCGGGGTCCCTTGGTATGCGTTCTGAACATAGGCTTCTCTGCCATGACGTGTTCCTGATCTCAAGTGAATATCATAGGATCCCAAAGAAGCCGAGTGGAAGACCCTGGTCAAGACGACCTACCTTGATCCGAATGGAGTTGAGAGAACCTGGGAGTCGGCCGAGCGCCTGGTAGCTCATCCATCTCGCTTTTCTCTCCATTCACGGCTAATAATGTTTTCAGACTCGACCCGCCAGCTCGGCCGTTGATGGCGTCGGCGTGATGACCATCTTGCACAAATCCACGGGCCCCGAGCTGCTTCTCCAAAAACAGTACCGACCGCCGATCAATCAGATCGTGGTGGAGGTTCCCGCGGGCATGGTCGACGCCGGAGAAACCGTTGAGCAATGCGCCGTGCGGGAGCTGAAGGAAGAAACGGGCTACGTTGGGGTTGCGAAGAAGACAAGCCCGATCATGTATAACGGTTAGTAGAGCAGCTTGTTTTTGCGGGTTTGCACAGAACTAACCGGGACCGGGCAGACCCTGGCTTCTCAAACACCAACTTCAACCTCGTTCATGTCGATGTCGACATGTCGCTTCCTCAGAATCAAAACCCGCAGCCTGAGCTTGAGGACAACGAATTCATTGAATGCTTCACGCTTCCGCTGAGTACCCTGTACGATGATCTCAAGAGGCTGGAGAAGGAAGGGTACGCGATTGATGCCGGGGTAGGCTCACTAGCAGAGGGTATCCAGGTTGCTAGACGATTCCAATTGTGAGATGACCGGATGGATAGATCGAACTCAGTCATAGAGAGATAGAACATAGAAGATCAATGTCAGTAATTCTCGAGAGCCCATCCAACCACTCCCTCATACCCCCTTCCATAAGCCATTCCTCCTCTCATCTGCACGAATGAATATACTGCCATCAACTACCATGCTTTGAGAAGATCCTTGATCTTTTCTTTCGTTAAGTCTTTGTATCAAGCATTAACCACAATCCTCGTTGACACAATAGAAGTCCTCATTATTAGTGAGACTCCGGAACCCCCTTCATCCCCCCCAAATCTTCTTCCATCGACACACCCCCAGCCTCCGCCGCCGTAGCATCCATCAAGACGTATACCATCCTCGCCCACTCGGTCTCGCTCCGATTCACCCATTGATGCATAGTTCCCCTCTGCACCACTACATCGCCGGGCCTCACCGTCCTCACCTCCCCATCATCTAACAAACAATCCAGTTCGCCCACCAACACAAACCCATAATCCAGGCTGACGGTACGATGCATCGGTGAGCGGCACCCCGGCGGATAATCCACATAGCGCATGACGATACCACCGCGTTTGGCGAGGCCGCTTTCCTGGCTCCGTGCTAGCGTGTCTTTGTAGTCGGTCAGGTCTTGATCGTCGGCCAAGGGTACCGGGAAGGTGGAGACGGTATGTCCGAGGAAGAAGCCCACGGGCATGGCCGGGTCATTGCTGACTTGCCAGAATTGCATGCGCTCAGGGAGGGAAGCCGAATAGACTGCTTTTCCGGTGGTATCGTGGGTGGTGATGAAGCGATGGATTTGAGGGAGGGGGTTGCTGTATGGCTTCTTTTCGGGGTGTGTGGTCATTGCGATGGATTAAGTAGCTAGCAGATGTGATTGTGTCAAACTCAAGGTAGCGAGAGATAGAGAGAGAGCGCGAAGTAAGGAAGGAAATAGTATGGCCTCAGGCTATTCTAGTATGGCTGGTGGTCGGACCGAACGATGTGAACAGTCGGACCGAGCGGGGACCATTGCACCGAATATCGAAGGCTTTATTTTCAAGGCAGGAGTCATTTCCGATCGAATAAAAGAGAAGGACTCTGCGACTTGCAAAACACCAATTCTGAATCCTTTCAACATGCTGCCGTTCGTGCCTCATCCTCTTCCCATCTCCGAGGACTCGCCTTTCCCGGTTACCAACATTCCGTTTGGGATCTTCAGCACACCTGAAAATGTAAGTTAGACACCTAAGAAATACGCTGATATAGCTGCTCAACTATCTGATACTGACCTGTGAGCGGGGATAACAGCCCCAGTCCCGACCCGGAGTTGCAGTTGGTGATCATGTCCTGGACCTCTGCGCGCTAGCAGCCCAAGGCCATATTCAGGGCTCCGAGCAGATGGGGCGCGCCTTGTCTCAGGTACAGAAATCCTGGCATCCATTGAAGTAGCCTTATAAATAAGACTTGACTAACTATTCTATCTGGCTCTAGTCAACCCTGAACGACTTTGCCGCGCTTCTAGGTCATGAACGAGCCGGTGTTCGCAGAAGTATCCAGGAGCTCATCACAACCAGAGATTCGCCATTATAATATGAACAAGAACAATCGGGGTATTTATTCCGGAGCGCTGACGTGATTCTACATTTGCCTATGGCTATCGGCGGGTTTACCGACTTCTTATGCTCCATGGTTCACATGCGCAATGTGAGTAAGAAAGACTCTAGCAAGCTCCTTTACCTGAATGAGAGATTGTCTCATCGATCGTCTAGGCCGGACGCATTGCAGGTCATCCTCAGCTCCCCGCTAATTTCTTCAACGTGCCACTAGCTTACAACGGACGTACCTCCTCCGTTATAGTTAGTAGTTCACCAATTCATCGCCCCTATGGCATTCGACCAGACTCCCACGACGGCCACGTCAAATTCGCCCCAAGCCAAAAGCTAGACTACGAGATTGAACTAGGAATGTTTGTGTCCAACTCTATGTCACTCGGCCAGCGAATTCCCACTTCCAAAGCGAAGGAGCATATCTTCGGCTTCGTGCTCCTGAACAATTGGACAGCTCGAAACATCCAATTCTATAAAATGATGCCACATGGTCGGTTCAACGACAAAGCTTTCGCGACTAGAATCTCTTCGTAAATTATTACATTAGAAGCCCTTCAGGAGGCGGGTGCCGTCATCCCCGTCGAGAAGGACAGAATTCAAGGGGGGAAAGCGTCGTTGATTCCGTTTTTGCAGGCGGAAGAAGATGTTTCGGTAGAGGCTTTGACATTCCTGAACAGTATGTGACTGTTTATTTGAGTTGCTGGTAAACACTGAATAACGAATGTATTGCTTCGCAGGAAACGACCACAAGCGAGTGCTAATTAGCAAAGCCGATCTCAAGCACATGCACTGGTCCCCGTTCCAAATGCTCGCCCATCAATCCTTGTCGGGATGCGGGCCTTTCCCCCGGCGACCTCCTAGGAACAGGAACCTTGTCATCCCCGGGGCGGAAAGACGAAGAACAATGCTTGAATGGACAACCAGAGACTTTGGGCTGCCTTTTTGAGCTGACAGAAGACGGAAGAATGCCGATTAAGCTTGGCGTGTACAATCTACCTGTGAATTGGTTGGAGGATGGAGATGAGGTTATTATCGAAGCTTGGGCGGGAGAAGGAGAGTCGAGAATCGGGTTTGGGACTGTCCAAGGGAAGATCGCACCTGCAATTGATTGAATTTGCTTATTCATGAACTGGCCGATATCCTGTCATTCTGTCTCTATGATAATCTTTCACATTATTGGGTCTCTTGAAGCTTTTCGTCAGACAGATTCGGGTAGTACAACACGCCTGAGACTCAGGGGCTTGAATGGTGTCCCCCCAAAGGCAGTTCTTATTACAACCATTACATGCAATGTCTTGATTTAATATCTTTTACAAAAGCAGGATGGATACTCGGAGGTCCAATTAATTTTCCAGCCTCCGTACCTCTGGAGTTGGCGGAGGTGAAAGTGAATTAGTCAAACTAGACAAAGACAAAGAACTGAACTGGTGACCTGCGTTGAACTGCCTTCCCCTCACCATCCTTTTTCGGCTCAATTGAAAGACTCCTTTTACCTGAAATCGCAGTATGCCTAGTTTTTCGATGTTCAATGTCATGTTCCTCAATCCACAATGTCAAAAACGCGTTCTTCCATCCAGGTGATGGTTCCTGAGTGTTCGAATGACCGAGAAAATCCACTTCCGGAATCAAAGACGGCCTGTGCAAGGTGCCGAGGTCAAAAAGTAAGCTTGTGGTTCTACTGTGGCTCTCCCATTGTTCCGACCTACCTAATTACCTGGGACTATGAGCTCTAGTTGCGATGCAGCAAACACATACCTTCCTGTCTGCGATGCACGAAGCAAGGCTCTTCCTGCGTATATCCAGCAGAGGCTGATCGAAAACAGCTGGCTGCCCTGCGAAAAGCTTCAAATGCTCAGGATAAGGAGAACCAGTCGATTGATGTTCTGTCTCAGGATAGTACGAGGAAGCGGAAACGGAGGTACATTGATCTATAAAGATAGTCGGCTGATGATTAACCATCTATTGCGCCAGTGAGCCATCTGCTTCCCATAAAACCCCTGGAGCTCTTTCTATACCAGTGAAAAACTCGAATGGAACTTCCTCTGCCATTATGCAGCCCCTTGGCTTCGACGCAACACGACGTATATCCACCGAAGAGAACGACCGGGACGATCTTCCTCCGCGTGCATTGGGTCTCTCTCTTTTAGAAATCTACTTTGAGAGAATCTACAATGCTCCTCTCTTGTTTAATAAACACGCCCTCATGAAAGACTATCTGGAAGGACGATTACCGGAATATCTTCTCCGGGCTCTTTTTGCCTTGGCTTCTATGTAAGATCGTGATTCTATCACCACCTGTTCCCGAGCACATGGAAATAACACTATGAAGATTTCTCGAAAGCGGCCAAATTTCGACCTTGCCATCTAATGAGCCGCTCGAACTGAGCACCTTGAGACTGTTTGCGAGTCAAGGTCGACCCTGGGCCGAGTCAGCCAGCAGAGAAGCGCTGTCACTAAGTGGCCAGCCATCACTCTTTACCATCCAAGCGCTCGAATCCCTGACTATCTACTGGTTTGCCGCTGGTGATAACCAGCGGGCAGATATTCATTTGAGTATGTTCTGCACCTGGTGTGGAATTGTATTATTTTTATTATTATGAGAACACAAATCTTACTCACAATTTCTTTTTGAACAGCTGTCGCCTATCGATCCTGCTATAATGTCGGCTATAACAAACTCCTCGGCTGGACAGGGGACCCTTGCAGAATGATGAGGACAGAAATAGAACGAAGATGTTTCTGGGCTTGTTGGGCAACTATGTGCATCGCTGGACAGCCAAAGGCGTACCTCAAGTCTGCCTGGCTGGAAGCTGCGGAACTACCATTGCCGGTTCCCTTTGATCAAGATCAATCCGCCTTCTGCACCGATCATGCAGAAAAAATGGACGCCTGCTGGAACTGCTTGTTTCTTGATGGCGCCCACCATGATGGTAGCCTTCCTGATAGTGTCGTGTTAGCAGAACTCCTCAAGTTAATCGGAATATGGTACGTTATTTCTCTTTGTGACATGCTCAAACGGACTCTGACGAGGCAGGCACAGGGCAAAAACACAGGTTCTAGTTAAGCAGACACCTGAAGAAACCTCTATCACCGAGGCACTGAATCTTTCCGCCCAGATCACCGCACTATACAATTTACCTTCATTCCCCCCTCTCCCTAGTATCTGGAATGACCCCTCAGCCAGCAAAGAACATGTCCTTTTGGTCCACAGCCTCTACCACCTCTGCCAGATGACTCTCAATCGCGCTATCGTCCCTCCACTGTGTGGTCGACGACAGAGCCAAGTCGTACCTGCACATATTGAAAGGCAGTGTGCTCATGCCGTTTTAGACCACGCCAGGCTACAAGGCCGGTTAGTGTTAGATCATCTGGCCCAATCCTCCGATGTGACGAGGATATCCCCCATTGTTGGCTTCACTGCCTTCTCTGCAGCGGTGATTATTGCCCTCGCAGTCAGATCGCAAGACCTCAGAGAGGTCTTAGAAACGCCTAGCAACATGTCAAACGATGACGTTACTTTGATACAATCGCTGACAGGGCTAGTCAATGGACTGTCCCGGTATTGGAAGACTTTGCAACGATTGGTAAGTTTTATAAACCTTTCAAGGGCCTCTGAGTCGATTCCATTCCATTCACACATCTATTCTAGTCAATCAAGCTTCGCACTCTCGTGACGCATCTATTACCAGCCGAACCCGGCGGTACCGAGCTTGACCCTGACTCTATATCAAATCCCGGTGTGCAAATAAGAGGTCCGCCATCCATAGAAACAGAGAAATCCGTCATATCTAGTGGATACGTCTACACATCTGAATCCGAGACTGAAGGCGATTCTGCAACCCGATCGCGGAAGGCTGGTAGAAGCAATACTCATTTCGAAGCATCGGCTAGTAATAATCACACATATACCAACAAGGAACCGGAACTGCCTTTAAACTCCGGGCTTCTTGACGATGCTTGGCAGCCGACAGGAAACTTTGACGCCTGGGAAGACTTCACGGATTTTGTCACTGGCGACGCTGACGCTGAGGGCCTGGAGACACTAACAGTGCTTTTTCCTTCGGAGTGGCCGCTATATTAGCGTATAGTCCTGATCCCTGGTGAGCAAATTCATTTACCTTTGTCATCTAACTCACAAAATACACTATCTAATCTGTAGCGTGGCCTAGATACACTATCAGCTGTACTCATCCATTGCCAATAAACCAGAGTCTCATACCGCCTCAGTCCTCCCGCTTATTCTAGAGCGCCCTATTTACCTCTATTAGTTCCTCTAACAGACCCTCCGGCGACGGGTTCACCCCCTCTGGCTCAAGGAGGTCGGGGTTCAGTACTGCGTTCCTCCGCAGACATTTGGGGCCAGAGAGGACTTTAATGTTCAGAGGGGCCTGACCCCCAAACGGGTTGGAAGGTGCGATCGTTGAACCGGACGTTCTTACACCTGTGTGATAAACACATTATATACTCCGCAAAGCCACTCAAGGCGGGGAAGGTGGAATGGAATCGATGAGAGCGTGAAAGGTAGCAGCTATAAATAGAACAACTATTAGAATATCGAGTTATGCAGGCTGGTAGAATGTTGATCTCTTCTAGCTCTCCCCTTTCCAGCAACATCATAGTCCAGATATCTTCGAAGCATCATAGCTTGTAATGAGATTTAAGAAATGCCTGCTCATTTAACAAAGATTGGTCTCTTCTCAATTCAGCAAATTTTTGGAAGGCATCACAATCCCCCGGTCTTGGCACTGGAGGTCTGGTTTTTAACATGACCCGGGCAAACTGGAGAGCTGGGGATCTCATCGAGTTCCGTAGTGATTTGCGAAGGGGAGGGATCTTCTCTGGCCTTTCTCTTCTCCGGTGGCATGTTCAGTGTACTCCGTGGTGGAGATGGCAGATAATTGTGACTGGATGACTTTCTGGTTCCGCCGTATAAATTCATCTTCATTCTCTCGTCGATTTCCTTCCATCTCTCCCGATTGAGTGGCGTTGCGGAGGAGAGGTTCACGATCCCACTAGACACCAGCGCTTAACCTAAGTCCCATCACACCGATTCGCTAGACCATACGAACATGCGGAGCACTAACCATAACAAGGACTCTACCCATGAGTATAATGAGGGGGAAAGCTCTTAGCTCGGAGAAACAACCATATATCTTGTCTTCGACTGACCAGGACAAAGAAAGCAGCATCGAAAGCAGCATCGAAACAAAGAAAAGTAGCAAACATGACCGAAGGACCAATTCTGTCCGAACGAACTATGGGCGAAGGTCCGAATCCTTGCCTCCATTTATAAAAAGGGTTCACTAAGCATGTCGCTGTTCAGAATCCAGAATTTATACTCGAAATGAGTAGGAGTCTACACTAGATATCCTAAGAACAGAGAACTCACAATGCAGCAGCCCCAGTTCACCCTCATCCGCTCAGCCACCGTGCTCAGCATCGATCCCGACATTGGCAATCTAACTGACTGCGACATCCTAATCAAGGACGACAAAATACAAGCCGTGGCACCAAATCTCACAGTCCCCAATGACGCCCCAGCGGCCACGATCATCGATGGAACAGACTGCATCGTCACACCGGGTTTCGTGGACGGCCATCACCACATTTGGCAGCACTTACTCCGCGGCGTCGCCTCGAACTGGACCCTGTTGGACTACTGCATCGAGATGCGCACCCTCTACGGCAGCCTGTTCACGCCCGACGACGTCCACCTCGCGCAGTACGTCGGGGCCCTCAGTCTGCCGAACAACGGCGTCACCTGCGTCCTGGACCACTGCCACGTCGTGAACAGTCCCGCACACGCAGACGCCGCCGTGGACGGGCTCATGGAGGCCGGGATCCGCGGGACGTTCTGCTACGGACAGTACGAGAACGCAGTTCTCCCGGGCCAGGGCCAGGATTAGCCAGCGTCAGTGTTTGATCTGGACAGGCGGAAGTGGGACGCCTTGCGCGTTCGTCAGGAGCTATTTCCCATCTGAGATCCCGAAAAATCACTCCTAACTTTTGGGTTCGCCCCCCGCGAGCCAGAAGGCCAGGGTATCAACGACACAGTGGCGGATCTCCGAGTGGCAAGGGCCCTAGGTTCCAGGATCATCACGATGCACGTGGCCATGGGCCACTGCGACACTCGACACGCTCGGGTGGTGCAGGATCTGGCGGACATGGACCTCCTAGCTCCGGATCTTGTGTTCAGTCACGGCGCGTCCTTCATGGATGGTGAGATCGAGGCCATTGCACGCGTGGGAGCCGGGATCGTCGGGACGCCGGACACAGAGCTGCAGATGGGCATGGGATATCCGGTTGTGCTTAAGGCAAGGGACGCCGGGTGTCGGGTCGGTCTGGGACTCGATATCACGTCGAATTAGGGCAATGACTTCGTAGCACAGATGCGACTGGCGGTGCAGACGCAGCGGGGGATAGAGAACGCCGAATTTGGGTCATCGCCACCGGCAACTCTGAAGCGGACCACGGCTGATGTGCTGCGGATGGGGACGATGGGGGGCGCGGAGGTGATGCATCTTGAGAATCTGGTGGGTTCGATCACGCCGGGGAAGAAGGTGGATTTGGTCCTGTTCCGGTGCGATGATATTGATACGGTGCCGGTGATGGATCCGGTTGGAACAGTGGTGTTTCATACCTCGCCGGGTAATATTGACACAGCGATTGTAGATGGGAGGATTGTGAAAAGAGATGGAAAGCTTGTGGGTGTTGATTGGGCGAGTTTGAGACACCAGGTTGAGGAGAGGTCGAGGCGAATTGTTGCAGAGGCTACAAAGGTAGATACGTCAATGCAGAGGGAGCAGTGGAGCAGAGCATTGGGGATCTAGTTTGATTAGTATCGTTTGTATGTACCCTTATAGACTCGTGAGTAGTGATATCGTGAGTTAGATGACAATAGCAAATGTAGTTTGCTCACGCTACAGATTAGATAGTATAGGGCCCTACCGAAATCAAAAAAGATTTTCGCTGTAGATAATGTGTTTATTATGCTTGGTACTCTGCATGTTCTCATGGCCACTGAATTAGCTTAATAGCCCGTAGCCTATGTGCTGATGCTCAATAATAAGAAGACTGGTCAAGAAGGATCGGATCCATGCAAAACGAATATCGTAAGCATGGAATACCGAAATAGAAAACAAAATCATGCCATCTCTCGATCCAACTGCCTTTCTTTACTCGCCGTACTATAAACCACCTTTTCGCCATCGGAACCCAGAACAGGCGGAGGTAGTGGTGATATCACCCGGTCTTCATGCCGATCCCAGATATCGTCATCTTTAAGTTGACGGTTTCCGAGATATCGACCGAATCGTTCCTTTCTAGTCGTGCGGTCAGTATTAATCGATGGAGTGACCTTCTGCTTCTTTGTGTTTGGCTGATTTCTGTTCCCGTGGAGCATCATGCCCAAGGGACGGAAAATAAATTCTCTCGTTATTCCGAATGCGACTTTTTGCGCTTTTGCTGTAACATCGCGGAGCCGTTCACTGAAGGCCATCAACAGGGCGATTACGATGATTGCGAAGGAGGTTGGGCCTTGGGTTAGCATGGTTGTCAGTTTATGGGTCAAATAACATGTATGAGGTCAATCCATACCTGAAATGGACAACATTTGGGACATGGTTAGGTTGGTCTCTTCGCCGCTCCATTCGCGAACGTTGATGCCAAAGAGGGAAGTAAAGAAGGACAAAGGTAGGAAACTGTTCTATTCATCAGTAACGATCCCAAGTGGTAAGGCATAGAGAGGCCACGGACATCACAGTGAAGATGGTGAAGACCATGACGGACTGCGATTGATCGCGTGTGACTTCGGCTTGCCATCGAGCCATCCGGGACTCGTCAATATTGGCTTGCTCTTGTTTTATGTCAAGGAGACTTTCGGCCTGTGTGCAGAGCGTCAGATTGGTCTCTCCACTTGTCGAACAACAGGCGACTTACATCCTTCTGTGCCGAGTATGCGTTTTCTTTCATCTCAAGAACCTGGGTGTGGTAATCCTCCAGTCTCGAGAGGGCGGATTCAATGAAAACTTTGCCGTAACCTTTTTCCTCGAAGTAGCTGGCCATAATTTTAACAGTGGCTGTCTGTTGTTCGAGGAGCTTCAATACCGTTCCTAGTTCATCCACGATATCCCTCAACTCTAGAAGGGTTGAGAGGTCCGCGCGATGTTGGTTTACGATCCGATAATCTCTTTCAAAGCGCTCTTCCGTAGTCATTGGCTTTCCACCCTGTGTTTTGTTGTAATCCGAAGGTGTGACGATGAATCCTCGGCCTCGAAAACGCTTAAATGATCTGGTCATTGACTCAATCTGCTGTCGTCAGTTTCATAGTGATTTAATGAAAACCGAGAAAAGCTGTGTTACCAGGATACTGATGGACTCTTCAAATATTCGGAGTACCTGCAGATCATGATGCAAGGTCCTATCCAGGAGAACAGTGACTGCGTGCAACACTATCAGTGCCGCCAGGTCACCAACAGTCTCGAATCTCCTCGCAAGGTCTCCGTTGAGTTCGTTATAAATACTATTAAAGAGATTTGCTTGTTCGTAGAGCTTTCCTTCGGCGGTAGTGGCTTCTTGCTTAGGGAAAAAAGTAACGACGGTTTTGGGGTCCACAATCCATAACCAAAGTTGGTCCACCATGAGAACCTTTCCATCCATTATTGGCTTTTGGGGGTCATCCACATCTTGAACAGACGACAGTTGTCCAAGCTCCTCATTCGGGTCAACAAACTTCTTTGTGCGTTTCCACAGCATTTGATCATCATCTCTAGCCACTGTTGAACGTAGATTCGGATATCCATACTGGTCCAGGGTTCTCCGTATATGGATAGGAGGCTCACTGCCTAGAAATCTCCAAATTAACTGCGATTCATGACTGGCTTTGGATATTGAATCAGGAACTGGTTTTGATCGTCCTTGCTGTAGTCGCTGTTCGACGGCGTTCCGCCGCTGAACCAGGTTACAATATGTGTCCCAATGAAGCTAATCAGAAATGATGAGCTTAATTTGTCATTGGTTTTGAGATCAACAAAACTTACATAGGGAAGCTGACAGAGTATTTTGACAAATTAGCATTCGATCAGAGCGATACTCGGCTGCATAGACTTACGTATATGGCAAGCTGAGGGCCATGGGAGCCCTCTTCCTTGTCAACAGTCGTAGGGTCATCCTGTCTGGAATGGATACATGTAGGTCGTACAAACCGAGCATGAGGCTCTAAATGACGCGCCCTGACAAGATTTGAAAACCAGTTCTCTTCGTTTATGAACTTCCTGAAACTATATTGGAGGGTATTCTGAGATTAGCTAGCAGACTCAGGGATATCTAATGACAACGGACTTACAATTCTGGCCTTTGCTCCTCTTCACACGCTTTAGACAGGACAGGGGGTACCCATCCAGTATGTGTATACGGAACGTGTATCCAGACAAGTTTCTCGCTACCCGGCTCGGGACGGTCAAATCGAGGAGCAGCTCGGGGAATTTCGCATCGGTCTTGATTATGCCGATCTCTGGTAGATGGTGGTACGGGAAGAAGTCTTTTGGGTTGCGACGATAAACCAGCCCTGAAACTCCTATGGTCAGTTTACTGTGGCTCACGCGCACATGAAACGTATTGCAACCTACACGCTTTCAACATGGGTGTCACTTTTCAGTCCTGCATTATTGTCTCTAGATGCCGAATCACCATTTTGTTCATCAAAATAGCTTTCAACAGCCGGCTCTGAGACATGAATTCTTGGTGAAGACTGGGCTAGATAACTGCGACTCCTTTTCATAGTTGGCCTGGATGGAATGCTCTTGGTGTGGGCTGCGGTAATGTCTTCCGAGTCCAGTTCATCGTAAGAGCTGTAGTCAGGACCTGCCATAGCTGACGATGGTCGGCTGTCGAAACTGCTGACTGATGAATCATCGAACGAGCCAGAAGGAATTCTTGCGGTGCTCGTCAAACGATCTTCCAAGCAAATCGAGGGTCCGTCCTTCAGATAATCACTCAGTCGGGTTTTAGTGGACCAGAGCTTCAAAGGTGTTTCATCGCTAACACCGCGAGCGGTATCCTCAAAGAATCCGTTGACCTGGATCAATGTTTCGTCCTCGACGTGCAACGGAGTATCCGCCATGAGAGATAATTGCCGAGCTACCGAAGTCGATGCCTCCAGTTCCTTGATGAAGCTTAGTCTCGTAGTCGCTTCTTGGCCTTTGAAGCACGCTGTTCCAACATGATCCGTTGCCAGCGGGATCTCCTTTTCATGCTCAAAATCCAAGAGGCCTGATCTGATGGAAGTGATGGGCACGTTCATTTCCACCACCCCATGAGTACCCGAATCTGTAACATTCAGTACTGAATCGACCGTTTCCAGTAAAGACCATATCTTGATATCCGCCGATATCGACCGAAATTGATTGGTTAAGTGAAGAAGACTTGGATGCCGAGGCCTAAACAACTCTCGCATTTGATGTGGAACATGATATCTGGGTTGCATCAGGCGACGAACGCTTTTGGCATATTCCGGCGCAGAAAGATAGGTCGACCCTTTGTGTGGAGTGGCCAGGAAAGCGATTCCATAGCAACTCGAAAAAATGGAATTGAGGTGTGATGCAGAGTGACCAGCAATAACAAGGGCTGCTTTTACCACCAGTCCACCGGTGCTGTGACAGATGAAGAAGATGGGCCGTCTGCTATTCTGGACGGGTATGGGCGTTATTCTCTTGACATCTCACAAAGACCGAAGGCAAATACCATACCGTGTGTTGTCTTTCGTGAAGAAGCTGTATGAGTAGTCGGTGACCCAAGGAGTCCAGGCCATCCTGCGGGCTGAGGGTTCCGTGGTCTATCAGCAGCACTCGCGCATTAGGTATATGCTTCGCTAGATCGGTAACAGGCCATGATCTCTGGGAATCTTCGTCGATCCATGTTTTGCTGGGATCGCCTCCAATCGAAGGGACGGCAACGACACTAAGGATAGTTAGATCAAGAGCGTCGCAGATGATAAATCGACACGTACTCGACGTCTGTTTCTGGCTGCACAGATAGCCTACCACTGTTATTGGTACTGGAGACCATCTTTGACACCGTAGCCTATAGGACAGAGGCAGTAAGCCTAGGTACCTCCCCGCCCTTAAATGAAGAAAGGCGGCCATCATCTGACAGCCGTCTTCTAGCGGAAGGAGCATGGTGGCTGACATCATTTGGTGGTTTGCGACAGCCTCGTGAGATCAGCCCTAGCAAACAAAATACCCGTAATAAGGCCAATCATGGCGGGGAAGAAGGGGGGATGATCGTCGAAACCACCCGAGAATCGCATTGAAGGGTGCGCTCAGGCGCCGTGACACATGACCGGACGGGGCAGTCACCCGCAAAATCAACCTTTTACTACTAGCTCTACTGACAATACACAGTCAGCCTCCATTGCTACGTAGTTGGAGAAGGGTTGTAGCAGGCGTCACTAACTAGTTCTAGTTCTAGTTCTGTTACGATCGTATATGGTTAAGCGCTCGGTATTGGAATAAGTGATATTCCACTAGTGAGGGGCTATATGAGTTGTACACGTGTATCTATCATCTTTCTGTTCTCTAACTAAGTCCACGAGCTCGCTCACTCAGTCAATGTTCACTTAGTTCTCTCTATTCTGTACCAGCTTCTTCTGACCAACCGTAGGTTTCACTATAAGTTCTAAGTACAAAATTAAGGGACTGTTATGAAATGCACAGGGGAAGGAGGGCAGAATGACACTATATCGGCTACACGCACGTAGCCTACTAAGGAGCGAATGCCTTTTGAATGATAGGGCTCTTAATTCTCTTGCATAACGATTCATCTCTTCTTCTATGATAGATGGAAGGGTAAGTTCCTCAGGGGTGCGGGCCAAGCCGCTAGATCACGTAATCTCATACCACATTTGTAGTGGATACAGTTCACGCGAGCTTATCGATAAGCTCGCGTGAACCGTTCTAGGTATAGAGTCCGCCAAGGCTGATTAATAAGCCGAATGATTCGCATGACCTTTAAATATCTTACAGTAATCCGCTTTCCTGAAAATTTCAACTTTCTTTCTTATTTCTACTCTACGATTTCTTGCACCTGCTCAAATACTTGCTAAGCAGTTAGACGGTACTTCCTACCCACCATATTATGGACCCTACTGCAGACCTTTTGAATGAGGTGATTGATGTGGATGCCTTGCAAACAGTAAGAAACTTATTGAACCTGCAAGTACTTGACAACTGCTTAACAAGTACTTACAGGAACATGACATTGAAATCCCAATTCCATTGACTAATGCGAAAACCAAGCCTCTTACTACACTAAAAATTGAATATATTGATGATTTACCTGATTATCCTCAAACTCATTTGCAAGGATATTCATATATCATTGCTTCAAGGGGACGATCACGTGAAGAATGCAAACTTCTACTTTCAGAGGTATGTAACCACTCTCTAACTGCTTAGCAAGTACTTAGATAAGATAAAAGATTCAATATTCGAAGCGGCAAATATGTGGTCGAAAAGAATCAATTTTTTGTTCATTTCTGGATTGTTTCGTCACCCGATTCACATGGAATTGCTCAGGGATTAAAACATGTGAATTTCTTAATTCAGATCTCCGATTGCAGCATCATACTGCAGTAGATGAAGCTTTATGGGAAAGACTTCGAAAGGCCCGTGAAACCATTGATCTTTCGGAGATAGATCAGAGCAAACGAAATGCATATAGGTATGTGAATTGTTTGTAAAGCGGTTAGTAAGTACTTATAATAATATATTTAGCTATTTTCGAATGGTCACCCAACGATTCAATCGGAAACATGCATGCACTTTTGATCAGGCATCATGTAAACCGGTTTTCAAGCGGTATAATCAAATGGTTAGTTTTATCTTTGTTCAAGTACTTACAAGCCGCTTAAGAAGTACTTTAGAACGTTCTAGGGGAATACCTCCCCTACATTGCCTGTATCAATGATCCAGGGGGTCAGAATCCGCCTCATTTACGAGAGTCTATTCCAAATCATACAAATATGAATCTACTCTTTCTAGAAAAACTGTTCAATGAAGGTCTTTTACCCCCTGCAGAGGAATGTGGTATTTTTGAGCCAGTGAAATCGAGACGATCGCGATGTGGTAAGTATTCAGGAACTGCTTGTGAAATACTTAGTAACCGCTTTAATAGATCAAGATCATCCGCAAGGCAATGGACGGCTTATTTCAACTAAATGTAACGTCCAATTCAGTGCCCTATTGCCTTTGCAACTTCAGGAATGTCCATATCTTATCTTTACATCACATGGCATTCATCAACATGTCCCACCACCTCCGAACAAACCGCCTGAGCAAATTTTGAATGGTATTCAAAAGATTATCCGTGAACTTCGTAATCCTTCTTTAACTACTGGTAAGTACTCAGGGACTGCTTAAAGAGTACTTACTAACTAACTATATTAGCTCAATTTCTTCGGTCTCCGCAGCTTGAAAGCTTTTGTGCAAAACATCGTTCTTTCACATTAGCTGAAATTCATTCATCATTTTCAAATAAAGATCGAATATCTGCAATTATTCAAAAGGAACGTCTTCTTTCCAACCCAGAAGGTCAAGGATTGAATGGTTTAATCTTTTTACGAAACCAGGATCCCTTAATGAAGGTAAGTACTCAGTGACTGGTTATAAAGCGTTTAACAAGTACTTATATTTTTCAAGGAATACATTCAAGAGTACTACCATGATTCGAATGGTAGTATGGCTCTTTGTGCATTTAAAGAACAAATCCAACTTCTTTCAATACAGGGATCCTTTGAAGTTGATATGTCATACAAACGGATTCGTACAAAGGGATTTAATGAGGTCCTTTTTTCAACCTTTTTGACAGACCAGAAAAAGAGTGAGTTAACTTAATCTAAGTACTAATAAAACGTTTACTAACTACTTGTCCCAGTTATTACTCTTCTGCGGATTTTTACCAATCAGGAAACAACTGAAGGCTATTTCTACTTGTTTAAAAGAGCTTTTAAGCTTATTGAAAGAATAACAAGAAAGCCGGTTGAATTCTATCCTATTCATGGTAGTGGGATTCATGGTATAATCGTTGATATGGATGATAAGCAATATACCGGTAAGTACTTACTAACCGTTTACAAACTGCCTACTGAGTACTTATTTAGGTCTGGGGCGATGTCTTTCTGAAATTGATCCTCAACATCGAGATTATGTATGGCAATTGCAGAATATAATTGTATTCTGCAAGGTTCATTTCCAACGATCAATTCTAACTGCAATTGGCACTCAAAATTATGGTACTGGCTTATGGAGTCGTATGATGAGTCTTATTGAGTGCAAATCGGAGGAAGATTATGATGAATTAATCAGGATATTAATGAGTATAACAATTTACCAACTGCTTACATAGTACTTACTAACTGCTTGCCAGCATTGGAAGATGAGAGGGTGCGAAATTGGGCTCTTCATAAAAGTCGGCCAATTATTAAAGCAGGTTTAAATAAAGCCTGCTCTCAAATTCCGCCTATTTTCTTTCAAACTATTCGAGATCATACGAATGCAGTTGAGCAATCTCATGAAAAGTCATATGCCTCGGGAAGATGCCTACCATTAACTGAGGCTGCGAGAAAGTACTTGGTAAGCGCCTATGAAGCAGTTAGCCATTTATTAACTATTCTTTAGTTCTGCGAAGCTTGATAAAGGTGATATTGAGCAATATTCACACTTTAATCAATATAATATTCATCATAGCTCGCGGACCTCTAGTATAGAGAGCAATTATCGAAGGCTTTATTATCGTGGGTGCCTCTAAGGACTTGATAAGTATTTACAAATTACTAAACATATTTTTAGGATCTCGCAAACGGCCTAGATCAAGCTCTCCAGGTTCAATGAATGATTTTGAGGAGGGGCCTGCATCTCAACCTGTTTCTCGACCACGATCTCAATCGTCTAGGCATAGTAGGGATACTGAGTAAGTTTCTAAACCCCCTCAATCACTTCTAAAGTGCTTAGCAAGTACTTAGGTCTATTCGATCAACTACCAACTTTCGTCGCTTTACTTCAAGTAATACTCTTTCTGCTGAGCAAAAACGTCAAGAACTTGAGCTTAAAAAGCTTGAAGCTGATATACGAAAACAAGAAGCTGATATACGAAAGCAAGAGGAAGAGACAAGATTACAGCAACTACGAAATGAAGAGTTGGAATTGAATCTTATTGAGCGCCGGCGCCAGCTACAGGAAGAGACTGAAAGTACTTTGTAACCGATTGTCAAGTACTTAGCAAAATCCAAAAAATTATTAAGTTCAAAAGTTAAGCACTTAATAAGTGATTACCGACTGCTTGACTATAGGTGAAAGAGTTCTTGTCGGAACCATCACAGAGAATCTGGGGATCTTTCTTGAACGCCTGCATATATATATATATATTTTAACTTACCCGCGGTATAAGTGCTTATAAACTACTTGAGACAATACTAAAAAGATTTAGTATGGAGAAATCTTAAGCGCTTAGAAAGCACTTTATAACTGCTTGGGCTAAAATAAAAACCAAATTTCTTCAAAAAAAATCATTGCCATACCGGCCCTTGCCCGAAAGAAAAATTCCTTAAGTCTGATGAACTACTTTGAGACTGCTTAAGGAGCAGCTAAAAAATTCTAAGTAAAAAAAAAAATTCCTAACTCCCTTTCAACTCTGCTTAAGAACTACTTGCTAACCAGTTGCCAGCTTTTTTTATGCCTCTTCTTCCTCGCCCGCCTTTGAAGTGGTTGGCTGGGCAGAATTGGTCGTGGGAGCCAAATTCTGGCAATTAAAAAGCAGGAAATGGTCGCAAATATTGATATTTTTGCAACAATCCTTAGCGGTGCCGCAGCTGGCGCAGGGAACCTTGTGACCGAGATTACGTACCAATTTGCGCATGTTGGTGATATGTACCTAAGCAGTTAGCAAATGCCTTTCAAGCAGTTAATAAGTGGTTCTATTTTACATTTCCATCTTTCTTGGTCAGAGGGAGAGCGGGACGCGGAAGGTTAGGCGTGTTCGGGCCCGCAGTGCTGCTGCTGCCGCCGCCGCCGGCAGTACCGGTACCCTCCTCAATATTGGGCTCCTTACCACTAAACAAGTCCTTGTACCAGCCTAAGTATTTTGAAAGTGGTTAGCAAGCACTTGCCAGACGGTTCTAATATTCAAAGGAATTCGTACGTATGGCGTTATCCAATTCTTTCTGTCCAACGCGGCCGCCCTTGTTATCATTATCTACAGGGACGCCATCATGGGCCTTAATATGGGTCCGGAGATTGTTAGTAGCCGTATACTTGTGCTAAGTGTTTTTAAAGCAGTTAGCAAACGCTTAAGAAAAAACGAAATTTTTTTTTTCTTACATTTGCCTTGGCGCAATCTTCCACCCGACAAAAAACTTCTCCATAATGAATGATGATCTTGCCGTTGCTGTCCTAAGCAGTTCCAAATTGATTAGCAAGTATTTATTAAATCAAAAAAGTATTCTATAAAGCACTTAGAAAGCATTTAGAAAGTACTTCTCCGCGTCCGTTTCAAAAATTTTTAGAATCTTTTCACTTAAGCGCTTTTTAAGCGCTTTTGAACCAGTAATTCCCTCACTTTTATATATAAACTTATTTTGTATTGTATTTCGTCTGGTAAATCGAGTGAGGCAGGAATGAGTCTGAAATGAAGCGAAAAACAGGCTTACCGTAGTGTAGGGGGGGAGGGTGAACCGGCCGGTCGGAACTAGGCGTAGATACCATGCGTACCACTTCTAAGGGGAGATGTTAGAATAACTGCTGTTTAAACGTTTCCACATCACTTACATTGGTACTTATATTTGCCATCTTTGCGACTAGAAGTGCTTAGTAGGTGCTTTCGAAGTGCTTTTGACGAAGTAAGAGCGAAAAAAGGGGGGAAGCCGAGCGAGATAGGATAGTTACGAAGGAAATATCGTGAAAGAGGTCATGCGAATTGAAAAGAAAAAAATTTACTGGTGCGAACCTTACATAAGCAGAACCCGCTTAATAATCACTTTCGATTCGCATGACCCACTTCCAAGAGGTCAGGTCACCTGTATTCACACTTTTAGCGCATTAAATAGCTGCTGCATTCAGGAAGGAAAGCCTGTAGGTTAGGTAGAAGTTAATGCTAGCTGCAGAGCTCCTCGGACCTCCTAATCTCCATGACCTATCCTACTATCTCTATCTTCTTTTTTGGGGGGGGATCTTAGCCTAGCTGAGGTAGTGGATGTAGAATGTACATATCCTCAAAGAAACGAGTTTCTAATAGCCACGCAGCCAGCTCGGTTGCACCTTTTTGGGTGCCTAGTAGGTAGGGGATCATGTCAGAAGGGGACCCTGAAGGTCGGGGCAAACGACTTTTTGCAATGCAGCAGAAGAGGAAGTGAACTGTAGCCTTTCTTGCACCACAGCGGCAGAGAAGGTGGGCATCTTCATGATTAAACCGTTCGTGGTAAGCTGCAAAGTCTCCATGGCCCGTACGACCAGCCAGGATCCGTGCTAAAAGTGGCCTTGGGAGCTTTAGCTCTGCAGGGCATCTAGAGAAGTTGGTGATCCAGAGATCTTGATAGGATTGAGGGGCCGAGGACTGCCAGTATCTTTGAAGAGCAGTTATGACATCTGCCTTAGCCTGCCGCCTTAACGAGGCGTACGAGTGTTTGCTTGAAAGGGGAGGATCCATGGCAGCACCCTTCTTTGCAGCTTGATCAGCTGCCTCGTTCTCAGGTATTTGTTAACTAACTAACTAACTCTACTGACAATAGCCCAGACTGTAGTAGATGTACGTGATAATACACGTGACTGCCATTATTTATTCTTATTGTCCGCCTCGCACGTTTACAATGACCAACGAACAAGTCAATCAACTCCAATCAAATACGGCAGCCCTCGACACTGCTCGGTCTACACGCGTGCCTGAAGACGAATCACTGGGCGAGGTGTTCCTCCTGTTAATGAATCGCGGCTCGCTCCCTTAAGCCATTCGGCTACACAACTATCTACGTCCACTTTACTAATGATCTGGCGATTTACTAGGAAGTGACTCAATCACGCCAGTGGCCAAACAGAGAGCGACAACCACCTAAAGGAACGCAGCGACCTGAGAAGACGCGGAGGAAGAACCGAGGTGCGATCGTAACTCGACCAGTTCGTTCATGCGGCCAGATACAAGCAATGCAGCGCCTATTGGAAAGAAACTGGACGCTTTTCGGCACGGTTTCGGGGAAGCATGCCAAAATTCGTATTGGATGAAATGGATTGAGATTGCTGGGAGCAGGGGGGAAGGTCCTAGAAACTTCCCCTTTATCGGCCAGAACTGGTCGGCAAGTACCGGTACATACATGATATTATTGCTGGCAGGTCACGCGGTGAAAATGAACTCCAGTCGAAATAAATAAACAAACTGTCGCTGATACACTGATACATACCTATTAACCCCGATACCAGAATGGCGACCTGCAGCAGCCAAACATCACTTTATGATCTTATGCGACGTCATTGCGAGCTCTCTGTTTATCCGCTCTTATGGACTAACCATCACCTTAGCCTGGTAGGCTGTCAATTCGAAACTATTATTGATGTAAGCACGGAGTCCATTCAGGTGAACTATAAAGGGGAAGAACAAAGACTCTGCTCAGGATCACCTAGCTAGTGATGCTGAGAAAATCGCAATGGGTTATTTAGATTACATAAAGCATCGCTGCCTTGTCAATCTTCTGTTGGGTGAGAGACACGCATTTGCTAGGAACTGGTAAGAGATGCAATGCAATCCAACACAAAGGGAACCCTACTAATCATAATATCTGAGTAGCACAGGGTCCGGGTTTTCCTTTGATCGTACGCTTGTTCACCGACCAGACTATACTGTGTTTCATCGACACGGACAACCTGAGGAGTGAGGACCACATTCGTGAAGGCTCACTCCCATTGGTGGGTTATTTCCACTACAACAATGTCAATGGAGGCCGCATAAAGAGATTCAAGGCTTGCCCAGATCCATGCGGATGTCGCAACAGGATTGGTGCGAGCATTGGAAAGAAGCGACTGGCTCAAATAAAACCGAAGGACTGGACTGAAGATCCGTATTTTGTGTGCCTCTTGCTGGCTCTTGCGTAACTTTAAGAACGCAAGTTGAAGTTGTCCGAATCAATCACTTATACTGCACGTTACCTTTTAGTTCAAGTCCATTTTTGCTCCTGGAGATCTCAACTGACCAACTTCTAGTCGCGTCTTTTTGTGACCAACGTATTTGAACACGAATATCTCTACTTGTACGACGCTGACATTACTACCGAGCTTCTCAGGATGCTCAGGGAACCGAAAGCTCCTACTACCTGCATCAAATGGCCTACGATTCGGCGCAGAAGACTGCAATTTAAGCCTTACGACACGTTCGCTGAACGCCTTACTACTGAGCTAGTGGCTCCTAATCCGTTATGGCTTACAAAAACTTCAGACGCTACAAAGGATGTCAGCGAACGCGTTACTAAAAGACCTTCTAGTCTAGAACAAGTAAACGAGAGGCCACACAAGATAACGCGACTAACATAGAGCTCCTGGATCAATATCAATTGACCGCGATTGCTGGCAGCAGTGCAATGACCCGGGAGCTTATAACCGAAGCGACTGCGATGCTGACTACTGGGACGTTGTTTCGATTGATGGGGTATTGCATGTAGCGAAGGCGCGCAATGGGGATTTCGACAGCATTGTTGCTAATGAAGACGAGACGGCAACCTACCAAGCCAGATTTTAACGCTGGCACATCAACACTGCCCCTCGGCGCGATCACCAGAGAAAGTTGGAGACGCACCATACCAGCGCTAGCCATAGCATTGCTGTCTCTAACAGCCCCAGGAAGTAGTCCGTCGTAGGTAGTCGGCATTTAGAAGGGAGTGCCAGAGAATTTGGTATTCAAGCTATAGTACATGACAGAGGGAAGATGTTCGTCTATTGAGAAAATACATATATGTACAGAACGTGCAAACGCAAGGCTTTTGACAAGGGGTAAACAAGAAAATAACTTCCGTCCCCTAGACCATATTCACAACCAGGTCTGGAGAAAATGCTCTATAATCTGGAATGCAAGGCGGTATCATGGCGGTTAAGTGTATAACAAATATAGTAAAAGCAACGAAGCCGGATCCCCGAGTGAACTACGGGGTATTAGCAGTAAAATAGCGTATGCAAACCGATGAGCAATCAAAGTTAACTCAAATTCGGATTGGAGAAGCGGTCGGAGCAGTCTCTGACCGTAGCGAAAAATGTAGGTTTATAGGATGATATGGAGAAGCTTTGGAGGTTCACGAAGACCCGTGTTCTGCATCGGGGGTGTCCCGTTTCTCGTTGACACCCCGTGCCATTCTCTTTCCAAGTTCATATATTGAGATCATAATGGCACAGGCAGGGGCCACTTTCAGGCAACGAGCGACCCAGCCACGGAAGAGTCCAGATGTACCTTCCTCTCGGAAGATGTGTAAGAGAAATTTTGGTAATGAAAGTTGCTCCGGCCGCAAGGATTTCTGTGCAGCGCCTCCAGCGGAAGCAGGTACATCGTCGCCCATGTGTCGGAATACCTGCTGGCGCGTTTTACCCACGTCGAATGGCGTGGTAACGAACGCCGCGATTGATCCCGAGGTAGCACCCGCAAAGAAGCTCTCGAAAAAGGTAGGCCCCTCTGCATCATGTGATGAAGACCGGCTCAGTGTCGACACGTCCGACGAAGGACGCTCGTGCAACTTTTTGCGAGCCTCCATAAGATGTTTCTTCACTTCCTCATATCCCCACCAATACAGGCCAGAGAAAGGGACATCACGCCACATGGTCAGTGTCAATCCTCGCCAAAGAGAGCCGTAGCCATGGACCTGAGTCATTTGGTGTAAATCCGTGAGAGTGTTCTTGAAATGGTCGGTGCCAGTACCGGGAGTAGCCTGCAGCCGCGTTCGGAACATTTCGATTGGACTGATAACAGAAGCCGCAGCAATGCGAGCCGTTGACCCTGCAACAAATGCAACATAGGCGTCCGGAAGGAATCGTTTAATGGGACTTCGGTCATCCGATCGCAACCAGTCGTAACCAGCAAAATATATGATATTCGCCGGAATACTCATCATCATGGTCGGACTCAGACCACGCCAAAGTGTCCATACTCCTTCATTGCGAGCGATCTTTCGCAATCCGTCTAAAGTAGAGGTGAACGTTTTGCGCTGAGATTCCTCCACGGCGCAATCCGCCATCGAGGCCGAATGGGCGTTGATAGCCCCCGGGCTAGGTCCAGCCATACATATTTGCGAATTTTGTCCAATCCAAAATACTTCCCGGCAACAGGCGGTTACCCCCAGGTTCGGAGGCATGTTCTTCAACGGTTGGAGGGCATGGGAGGCGAAGGGGGATGTGTTTTTGATCGGTGACTGCGACTGAAGACGAACGCGCACAACATCGAGCGGGGTCACTAGAAAAGCCTTGTCAGTTCCATGAACTTTCGCAGATGTATCTTCTGAGAGTGAAACTGGGGATGTTCTCTTTACCTAGCAGGTTCGTGAGGATACTGCCCGAGGTGGCGGAAACCATCCGCTGGGTGAGCGAGACATCGTCCTTTCTTTCAATTTCACTGGCGTCCGGGCCAGGGAGGGATCCTGTTCCAGAAGTAGCCGCCATATTTGTGTCTTCAAAAGAATGCCATGACTCTGCGGAGTCTCTGGGGAACCCAACAGCAGCCAGCGTATCGGTCGAGCGATATCGGTCTTCACGCGCAAAGCCTGTCCTAAGATCGGACATTCATTCAATGGTAGGGTGCGAGGACAATGTTTTGCGAGGTTGAAAGGGATTGATATTCGATAGTTGATGAATTTCTAGTCGGAGACAATGGATCCGGGATCTGTTGACTTGAGCGCGACAAGGTGGATGCACAGTGGGGGAAATCCGCGGGCAACGGACAGGACCAGGCAAAGGCAAATGCGTCAGAGGAAAAAGATGCTTCGGCTGTTGGCGGTGGCGCTCGGACCAGTTTCGATGGAGGCCGGAGATAAGAACATCGCCGCGGACTTTGACTGACTTTCCTCCTCCCTCACTTCCCGTCTGACATCGGTCGAGTCATCTCCATTGTTACTGCAATTCCCTGTATCGATATGGATTCTTGAGATCTCAGTCATTTTTTATTCTATTCCCCCGAGATTGAACCCCTCACTCTCCATCCTGATCTCGGTCGAGAGCTCTGGCACACGCTTATCAATCAACGGGGACGGAGTACCGTCCTTCCGCCAACGCCCACTTCCCTCCTACGGACACCGCTGTCGCAATCATGGCGGACAACGCCGAGCTCGAGTCGTTTCGGCGACAATGGCGCGAAGAAGTTGCGCGTCGCTCCAGGCCTACGCCGCCTCGACCGTCGCAACCGAGACAGACGACGCCTTCCATCGCCCGCCCAAGTCAATTCCCGCCCACTCGCCACGAAATATCAGAGCGGAAGGAGATCGAAGATGAGGAAGGGGCGGCATCGTTTGACCAGGGAGAAATTGTTCAAGGTGTTCATCAATTACACCTGAGCGCATCCGACGAGGATGCATTCCACTCTCAGGGCCCCCGGAAAGAGCCCAACTCCGCCCTCGAGCACTTCGAACGAGCGGTCGAGAAGGAGGCGGAGGGGAACTTGGGGGATAGTTTGCAGCATTACCGGAAGGCCTATCGGGTAAGCTCAGGAGTATTCGGTTGATCTGTGCTGGGCGTATACTAAGCTTTCCGTTCCTTTTCCACAGCTGGACTCGGCGGTCGACAAAACGTACCGCGACAAGCATTTTGCCTGGGCGTGGAAAAAGAAACCGGCTCAAGCTCCTACCTCTTCGGACAAGACTGCCCCCACGGGTCAGCAGTCCGACGATGCTCCCGAGACGCTGCCAACGCCTGAGCTCATTGCGTCGTTTGCCAACCTTCCCATTCCGCAGGCGGAACCCATTATTGAGAACACCCCTCCGCCTCCCTGCCCCATTGCGAACGTCCCGTCCGAGGTCTTGGTTGAAATTCTCAGAAATGTCGCATTAATGGACCCTGCCTCGTTCTGTCGGACGTCGTTGGTCTGCAAACGCTTCGCCTATCATTTTGCCAATGAACAGCCCATCTGGAGACGTCTCTGCCAAGGCTCTGAATTTGGCTTTAAATCAATGCATTATTCCTTCGCATGTGACATCATGGGCCACCGGGAGTACACCTTGGGACCGCGCTATACGCTTTTCCCCATGAACTCTTCGGCTCAAATCCCGAAGCCTTTGTCTTCCTGGAACGAGGTGTTTCAAATGTACCCGCGCATTCGCTTCACGGGTATCTACATCAGCACCGTCAACTACACCCGCCCGGGTGCAGCTTCATCCTACCAAAACGTCGCGTGGAATAGCCCTATCCACATAGTCACCTATTACCGATACCTACGATTCTACCCCGACGGATCCGTTGTCTCCCTGCTGAGTACCGTGGAGCCGCTGGACATAGTGCCGCACATCAGCAAGGAGAACGTGATGGCAGCGCGAGCAGTTTCTCACAAACAACACCATCGTCACGCCGCTGATGGCGGTACTGCATTATCTGGAGCGACAGAGCCAATCCCTCCCGTCGCGATGGGAGCATTGAAACAGGCGCAACGGGGTCGTTGGCGTTTAGCTCACCCGTCGCCGAGCTCCGAATCACCGGAAGAGGACACACCGACAGATCCGATCTCCGATTTCCTATGTTCCACCGGTAAAACTTCGTCGGATGACATGCTCGACCCTCGGGACATTGTCATTGAAACAGAGGGCGTCGGCCCAAAATACACTTATATCCTTTACCTATCCCTTCGGTCGACTGCGACGGCACCCCGCCCTAATTCCGGCGAAGCTCCGCCCAATACATCTAAAAATACCAAGTTAGCCTGGAAAGGATACTGGAGCTATAACAAGCTCACTGACGATTGGGCCGAGTTCCGACTACGAAATGATCGAGCATTTTCATTCCGACGTGTTCGGGGCTGGGGTATGAGCTAGGTAGAGGAGCGAGATTGATCATCTATACAGAGTATATAAACGATTGAAGGAAAGCTGGCTTAAATAGAATAGTTATACGACATAAATGGCGCTTCATTCTGGAGTTTAATGAAAAGGATTGAATTTTTTACTCGGATCAGATGATAAGATTTACTATAGTTTAATGTATCTGCTACTTTAACATATCAAATAGCCATAATATGTTTTTGATAAGTTCTATATACAGTAACTTAAATAACCTACAATCAAGCTAGAAAAAATGATATAGATTGATCATCTTCTAATTGCCCAGCTGTTCGACGAGAAGATTAAACATAAAGAGGAAGAAGGCAGAGAACAGAAATGGTGACACGACCCAACGTCACGGGTGACTTTATAAGATCATTGATTCCGCCACATCACGAGTAGGCACATACATTGAACTGCGAATATACCCAATATTAGACTGCTATACGTTCCATAAAATCCCTATCCAAATTGAAATCTGGAAATAGGAAATCAGGGAGTCCCATCGCAAAAGAGCTATTTCCAAGAAAAGCATCATCGACATTGTTGCGCACCGAGTCTGAATTCCAAAAATCCAAGGTTTCCTGTTCTTCGGTCGATTCGTGTATTGGACCAGAACTGGAAGAGGAAGGCGCGCAATCGACATTGCTCTCAGCATTTGGTTTGGTGGTCTCGATGGATTGGCTAGCTAGCTTCAACAATGGTCTGGCCGTGTCTTCCAGGAAGGGAAGCCTCTTCTCGAGGCAATCGACTCTATTTTCTACCAGGTGGAGGCTGATATCGAGGGACGGAGCTGGTGCTCTTCCACTTCCATTGAGGATGCCGGACTGAAGATGACCGCTGTGGAAAGATCCGTATGATTGATGAGAGTGCCGGAAGATGCTGTTGAGGATTGAGGAGTTGAAGAACCAGATGCTCTTTCATGTGGGAGTGCCGAGGGTGAATCAAGACCTGTCTGTACCATGGGCGGAAATGGCTTTGCAGCGCTACCCAGGTCTAAAGACGTGCGTTGGTTTTCGACAATACTTTTAGATATTAAAGAGAGGGTCCCTACATGGATCACTGGGAACAGGTATGTCTGGGAATCTGGCAGTCCATAAACCAGCCCAGCGCTCTTCCTGGGAAGAACGTAGCCGCACTTTGCATTTTTCCTGATGATTGCGACGTATTACATCAGTGTCGAAGGTTGAAAGGCATTTCCCGCAGACGAACTCCTCGTGAGTCCTTTGAAGATGTCGACTAGGATAAGTGAGCATATTAGCCTATCAAATGGCGCAAAAAGGCTTGACCTACTTCAGCTCTGAAAAGTATTCAAATCCCGCTCCTGCACAGATCAGATATTGGAGATTTTGAGTCCCATACTTTAATGGATCATGTTTGTGATAGATACAGGCGAATTTCCGTTTATTCTGGGCTCGCGAAGGCGAGCTAAAGCGCCTTTACTTTCGGCCTGGTTTGTCATCGTCACCATCGGATGAGGAACCTTTATCTCCCCCGGTGAATCGCGGCATTGCACAATCGGCTGGAACGCAGGGTTCTGCATTAGTTCCTCTGCGACTCTCTCCTGCCATCCGGAACGGCGATTCGTCCGGTAACGGTCGTCCGATTTCATAGTATCCTCGCAGATACCGATAGTTGATCGAGTGCGCGTTGGACTAGTCAGGATCACGGTTTCGATTAATTGAGTATAATTCTTGGTTTCATGCACCGAGTTTTGTTCTGTGGAGACTGCTCGTGGATTATGGCCCCGTCGCCATCTCCTGAAAATATCTCTGAGCTGATGTTTCCAAGCATCTTTGCTTGGGTTGCTTGTCTATCATGGTTAGAACACTGGACGCAGAGTAGACAAGATGGATGTTGCATGGATATAAAATAATTATTAACGTACCTTCTTGTTTAGCTTGGGGTCTGATGTTGTAAGGGGATCGTTACACAAGGTGTCTCTGTCTCTCGCCCTGTCGGTAATATAAAGACAGCTGGTCTGGGCTCAGGATTGAAAGGTGCATTAGATGATGAATTAGATGATGGACCAGATGGTAGATTGGACTCCAGGTTAGTTGGTGGGTTGGATAGTGGATCGGGCTTGTGACTGCAATCTCCTTCCCGGTCTAGGAGACTTAGGAGTATAGAATGAGAATCGTCCACCAAGGTTGATGTGCCAGACGAAGGGCTGGGTATGTGGGGCGATCTGGCCGGCGCTTTGAAGGGCGGCACTTCGAAGGACGGCGCTTTTGAGGCCGGTGTTTTCGGTTGAAACCCAAACCTAAATCGAGAAGTCATTTGCTTTCAGTATGATATGTAGTATGGAGTATCCTTAGATGGCAAGGGTTTCCCATGATGGATATATATCTGCCTAATAGTTAATCTTGTCAAGGCTTGTCAATTGTCAAGACCCTTAACTACCTAACTACGGGGTAGTTACCCAGATCCTATCCTCAACTTCATACAATGTTGCCAGTAGTCAAAAGGGCTTGTCTACCGCTTCTACCAACCGCAGTGAACATGGAATATAACTACACTCATAAGACTCTCCTAACCAAACTCACTACCTGCCATCAGTTCGATTCCAATGATAGAATACTTTTTATTCCCCTGAATTTTCACTAAACTACTTAATCTGCTTACCCGAGTGCATGATGGAGCTCTCATATGTTGATTACACTCCTATCAAGTCCAATACCGAAATGGCGGATTTCTTCCCTGAAATAATCAACCCCCTTCATTATGCGGTGGACGATCGTGCTAGGAACCCGCTACAGA